TCGGCCGCAAAGACGTGCACCTCCTCTTCCGTCCAACCGTGCACCCGCGTCATGGGCGCCATAATCATGCCGGCCGTGTTGGAGACGAGGTTCTCGCGCGTCCAGGACCCGAGCTCCTTGAGGTGCGGATCGCGCGGCCAGCTGTTCAGGGGCCAGATGAACCGGCGGTCTTGGACGTCGCTGAAGCCTGTCTCCGTTATGAGCGTCGCGAGGTCGTCGAGAGGGATAAAGGGACATCCAAAGACTTTCAGGGCCGAGGAGACGTAGGCGAGGGATCGGGAAAAGGCATCGCTGGTGGATGTTGAGCTATCTGCGCGGGTGATTGTCTCTTCTACTTCTTGAAGCTCGATGTAGCCGCCGGGGTTGAGGTTGCTGTGCTGTCAGTACGTGATTGATGCGTTAGCCAGTGGATTGAGGCTGAAGGCGACGTACTCGTAGCACTTTCTGAGGAGTTCGGGCCAGTTGCGCACGCTTCCTGACATGCCGCGGATGTGGATGTAGTCAAAGTGCCTCGAGTAGATCCACTCGTTGTCGAGGTCGTCTACTTCGAACTGAACGTTCGGCGGGACGCTGGGAGCCGCTGTCAGCTATATCGCCAGAACGGACTTCGCAACGCACAACTCTGGCTGCGTGGCCGACAGATCGAAGCCGAGGACGTCCGCGTTGGGGTGCTCGTCGCCAAAGTCGATGCACCAGATGCCAGTGCCGGTCCCGACGTCGAGCACGCGTCCGCCCTTCCACTCGGGATCATTCGGAGGCGCGAATCCCAGCCTGTTTTCGAAGGTGAGGAGGAACAGGTGGTGTTGCAGGTCTAGCCGATCGGTTTCCAACTCGTCGTTTGGCCCAAAGTATTCTGAGCGCTGTTTAGGGCGGGATCTCGGAGGTCATGGGTTTGCGACTCACTGCCTTCTTTGTAGCGATGATATGTTCTGCCGTTTTCGACGCGGTAGTCTACGATGGAGCTTCGGAGGCCTGTCGTTGCAGAGCACTCGTCCTGTTATCCCGTGAGTAGAGGGCTAACCGGGTGTGGAACCTTGCGTACACTCCCGATGGTCGAATCCGTGTCGCCCTACACGGGTGTCAGTCATGTTCTGCAGTCTCGGAGGTGATCTCTGGCCACGCACCGGCACGTCAGGCTCCGGGGCGAGGTCATCTTCGGAATTCCCTTGAGACATGCTTTCTCGTGAGATGTAAAGGCATGGTGTTGCTCTCCCAGAGCCTCCAGCCCCTCATCCGATAGTCCGTCGCCTCGGATTCGGAAAGCATGTTAGTTGGAGGATACGACGGATACGACCCAGCGAGTCAAGGCACCCCCAGCCGAGCGGGCCCGGAGTCTTAAACTCGCCGCAAGGCGATTGGGATGGCAGTTGCTCTGATGTGTTCCCCAGACTCTGTCTTGACCCACAGACCTGACCTCTATCGTTGTCGTCGAGAGTCAAAGGCCTCGGAAAGTCGAGCTCACATCCCTGCACCATCGTCGGCGTGCTTATCTAATCTCGGTCACCATCCCCGCATCTCACCACGGAGCCCCCTTATCTCTCCCGATAATGCGGACCGGGGTCTTCGGCGTCAAGTCGGAGGACACTTGTGTTGGAACCTGCATCTTTCATCAAGTCAGTCGTCCGAGCATGATCTCATGGCTCTCCCACCAGGCCATGACCACGTCGTAGACCCACCCATCAAGAAACATGGCCGGCAACGGGACCCGGAGCCGAACCGGATGTCTGGACTGTCGGCGGCGAAAGCGGAGGTGCGATGAAGGGAAGCCAAAGTGCGCCAGCTGTCTCAGGCACGGCGTCGCGTGTGTGTACGTCAAGTCGAGCCAGTCTTCGCCGTCCAAGTTTCTCCTGTCCGTGGCATCTGGCCACTTCATCGCGCCGTTGGAGTCGCCGGCGAGCGATTCCTTTGTGAACCTTCGCAGCGATGAGCTGGCTCTCGTTTGTCAGCAGTACGCGGATGGTCCCAGAGGGGTGTTGCCGTCGTCTCAGGAGCAGCTCATGCCGGCTTTAAGCTGGCTGCCAAAGTCGAGCACGCTCCCTGGCGGACGAGAAAGCATGATGGTTCAGTACTGTAAGTAGTCGAGGTCTACGCCAGACAGCCGCTCTGACAAGACAGACTTTGAGGTCATTAGCAACAGCCGGGTGTATGTCCCTAGCGAGAGGAACCTCTTCCGGACGTGCGTCATGCCTATTCTCCTCAGCAGCAGCGGCCCTCTCTTTTCTACCGTCCTGGCACTCAGCGCGGCGGAAATGGTTCGGAGGACCCCGCAAGACGGGGTGGACTATGCCGGGGCGGCTATCCGGTACAAGATCAACGCCTTGACGCAGCTGCAGTCGAAGCTCGACACCGCGATCGAGGCGGAGGAGAACCTCCTGACGTGTGTGCTCCAGGCCTCCCTGGAGATAGCCGAGGGGTCTCGCCCGTCGTGGCTGAGGCATCTGCGGGGTGCTCTAGCCATCATGGACGCCCACGGAGACTGGATTACGCCTGAGTGTGCCGCCCTCGTTCTTCAGTATTTTCGGTTTCGATACATCTTGATGAAGACAACCGGATGCAAAGCGCCGCACCCTGATGGACAGGCTGACGACTGTGACGAGGCCATCCAACGCCTCGAACGGCTCCTGCCAGGTCAAGGGACGTTCCGGACCATTGATCCCCAGATCGGCTGTTCGATGGAGCTGGTTCAGTTAATTAGCATGATCTCAGCAGGGGCTCGAAAGGATGGCGGATACTCAGAGGAGGGATCACGTCTCGAGAGACGTATTCGGGAGTTGGACTTTTCTGCCGAGAGCACGCACGACGACTACCTCGTCAAGAGCGCCGAGTGCTTCAGGTCCGCTGCTCTGATCTACCTCCAGCTGACGGTGTACGGCGCTACCGTACGGACTCGGGCGATTCCGCAGCTGTTGCAGACGCTGTTGGATCGTCTTGGCGAGGTGATTGTTGAGGACCAGCCGAGGCGATCATTCCCCATGTGGCCGCTGTTCATCGCCGGGTGTGTCAGTTCCAGTGACGAACACCGCAAGGCTGTTCTTGACCTGTTTAACATGCTGGATAGCAAATGGCCCATTAGCAATATCTCGACGGTGAAGAGGGTCGTCTGGACAATCTGGCAGACGCGGGATTTTGACGGCGGTGGTGCAACGTCTACGGATCAAGACTGGCAGGAGATTATTGATAAGTTTGGATGGAAGCTTTCCTTGTCGTAGGGGCGTGGCTTTGGCGCTCATTCACAGAGTTTGGCGAGTCTGAGAAACCCCGACACAAGGGCCACGCGGTAGATGTGCCGAGCTGGATTGAGACAGAGATGGAGGCATGTGATGCAGGTTAGGGTTAGTGATAGGATTAGATGTATGGTATATGGAATTTGTTAGGATCAGAGATTAGGCTCAGAGGTCAGGATCGGAGGTTAGGTTAGGACGCAACGACCAGCGGAACGGATCTGCAAGGGGCATCTAGGTGGGTGGCAAACGAAAACACGGGGTTAGGAATATCATTCGAGTTCGCTATACTCTCCAGGGCGTCGCGTTTGCAGAGCAACTTTCTCGTTCAAGCCGTTACATACTGGGAAACGTCCCAATTATCGGACGGGAGCGCGACAGCAATCCACACGCGCCCCCATGCTGGGTGAGATCCATCCCTCGCCGTGGTCGCAACGGAAAGCGCAGATCGATGTAGATACGCGGCTCGCTGGCTTTCAAGGCCGAGAACCCTCTTTCGGCATACAAATGATGTTGTCGCGGGAATGAATCAATTAGTCACGTATGCCAGGTCCGTGGGCCCTGGTCTTCCACGGCGAGGATCGTTCTCTTTGCCCTCCTCTTCCCGTGTTGGATGATAGCGAGCAAGTCTTCCGGTAAGTTGTTGCTCGTTTGACACGTCGCTAGCTTTGAACCATCACCCGGAGGCTCAGGTCATCGCCAGCGTATCCAGAGTGAGTTTAGTTGTGCAGATGGATGGGTTTGACAGACATCAGGCGTGGGAGATGCGTGCTTGTCGTAGAGTTTCAGTAGTCACGCAGTCTTACCCAGATCTCTCGCTGACAACTCTGGCTTTGTCAAGAGCCAGACCTCCCGAGGAAGCCCGCCAACATCCCCAACAATACTGACAAGCCAGGTGTCATCGCCCCTGGATCCGCCGAAGCAAACAAAGTCTCTGGTATCGTGCGTCTTCTACCAATTCTGCGGTTGGCTTGGCAGACTGCTAAATGGACCAACAAGTTCCACAGACCTGGCCAAAGAAACTGGCTGAACCATCCCACGAGTATGTGGTGGCATTTATTCGTTTCCCGCGACAAGAAAACTTCCGTCAAGGGTCCCTATGTACAGCGCAAATCATACCTCTTAGTCGTCTTGAACTCCTCAAAAGATTAGAGAGTCGGCACTGGCGAAGTGGCGCATGAAGGTCACAGATGACACAAACCTGTGACTGGTAGATTTCGGACACGGCTGACGCTCGTAGCGATCCAACCGCCCTGGTCGTTAAAGCAAAAGCTGATGGAAGGACGAAGAAGCGAGGGACCAAGCGAACGCAGACAATCTGAAGCCGTCGGAGCAAAGGGGCGGACGAGCTTCAGCAAGACATCACGGGGACCAGTAAAACACATGACAAAACAACAAGACGAGGAACTGCAGGTGGTCCATGAGGTTGTCTAGGAGATCGTGAAGCTCGAAGCCCTTCTACGTACCTACATGTAACGAGATCACGCCGAGATGATCGGACTCCACTTGTTGAGCTTGCGTACTTGCATTGCGACTGGAAAACTACCTATCATCCTAACGCAAGAAGTACTGTATCTGGAAGCCCAACGCCATCTGGACGATGACGTTTATTAAACTCGTCCGTGACTGCATAATGACTGTGTAACTTGGCGAGGGACGGAGTCTGGATGATGCTTCATCGAGACAAGTTTCCTTTGGCATTGGCTGTCACCAACGCATCACTACCTGTGAGCTGCTTGCTCGGCAGGATCTCCATACACCGACAGGTCCTCGCTGCAGTCAGAAGCGTTGGGAGGCTTTGAGCGTTGCGTTTTCCTCTGTCGGGTCTGCAATGTCACCAGCCTGCTCTGCGATCCTTTGGGCCTGCTTCGCGATCGTCCGGGCCTGCTTAGCCTGACTTTGTTCGAGCTCTGCAATTCTCCGGGCCTGCTTGGCCTGGTTTTGGGTCAATTCTGTGTTCTCCTTCTGGAGATCATCGCATTTCCGTTCAGACGCCTCTAGCTTGTCTGCAATCGCTTGTTTCTTCTCCTTTTCTGCTTTCAGGACCGGATTCAGGATTCTCAACAGCCCAACATCCAGCTCCTCGTCCAGCTCTCTCCCACTTGACTCCACGTTCACGGCAGCTGGCCTCTCCCTTCTCTCCTGCGAATCCTCAAAAAGCCCATCACGCTTCCGCTTCTTATTGTTATGACCGACGGCCTGCTGGCCGTCATCACCCTGTGCAGCAGAGACGTCTGAGGATCTGTCGGGGACAAGAATGGGATCATCAACGTTGTCAACTTGGGTGTGTGATACTGCTTGCGCTGCTGCTGCTGCTGCTGCTGCTTCTGCCTCCTCTTTCTCCTTTAGCATCCTTTCTTCGCGATGTGCCCTGAGAGCCTGGGCTTTTCTGGTCATGCCTGTAAGCTCCCGGCTGACAGGCCGCCATCTTCTTTCCTCAGGCGGCATCATCCAGCGTCGCGGCGCGTAGGAGTTGAGGTTAACCACCTGATGTTCATAGATGAGATGGTCACCCGGACGGGAATTTCTGGCCTCCAAAGCATCTAGGTTGTTGTTGAGGACCTGCCGAGCATGCTGAATGGGCACGCTACCCGTGCTGGGTGTATTGCCCATGGACGCCTGTGGTGCGGCTGGGATGTGCTCGTTGATCTGACTCGATCCTGTCATGAGCGTTAGTAGTGTCCGACCAACCCAAGTGCAAAACTGACCTGTATTTCCGAGCCTGGAGTTCTCGCCCTGGCGCTCTCTATGGACTTGATTCGTGTCTTTATCCATCTTGAGATGTTTGGTGGTGGTGGGATATAAAGGGAAGGAATCGGCGCGAGAAGAAGTTGTGAGAGTGGTGGTTCTGGCGCTTTTGATGAGAAGAAAGTAAAATTGGGAGGCCGGAAGGGGTCCGGTTGGGTTTTCCTCTGTCCTGAGCTGCGGCCCGCGTGCCGTGATGGCATCAGAACCGAAGGCCTCACCGCTTTTCCACGTGACTCTGGACAAAGTTTTATTCAGCATCGTATTACGCATCTCGTTTGGCATCATTCTGATAGCAAATTCCGAAATGTACTTGATCTCAATATCCCGACACCACCGGGAGGGCACTGTTGGTGATGGCTTGATCGTTCCTCCAGAATTGGTTGAGGGCTTCCATCAGTCTGCCCTCTAACGACCGGGCCGGTTCCAGTCCTGTAGTCTCCTGGAGCTCATCGCATCATCGTTCCATCGCTGTGAGCTTTTCTACATTTGCTCGATAATTTAACGAGTGTGGCTTTCCTTTTGAATCTAAACATCACATATCGAAAGACTAGGAACTCGGAAGGCAATATCACAAAATCACTACTTGCATTGTATAACATTGAATCAATTTGCTATCTCGTCTATTGAAAAGCTCAATCCTGGGGTCGGAGGACAATGTAGGATTTGCCTGCACCGTCGGCCGATGTCTCACACTTCGTCAGGATGCAACGTCCGTCTTGGCCTTCATGGTCAAGGCAGTGACCCGTAGCAGACAACGACAAGACAGGCCGGCCCTCAGATGCCTTGATTGCGGCAATGAGACAGTATGTGTTGTCAGGAGCTGAATATTCGAGGAAAGCTTGGAAGGCTTGGGCCCCTTTGCTCTCGGACAGTAAGTGGGCGATATTGCGGAAGATGGACCCGTGGTTCACCGACGTCCTGCTTCCCTCGTCGTGCGAGACGTCAAAGTTGGAGAAGCTTTGGATCACAAACCCCACCGGTTGACACCATGGAGTGGACTGCAACTTGGTCAAGGCGTCGTGATCGGACGACGCGTGGGGCCTTCCCGGTGAGCTGGAGCGGGCCCTTCTCCGTGACATCTCTTTAGGAATCAACGTCCTTGCAATGGCCGTCATGAGCTCCTGGTGCCGTTCCTGGCTAGACTCCTCTGTTCCCTTGACGAGGATCTGGAAGCCCCGTTCCGCTTTAAGAGTGGACTCCATGCCACGAAGCGTAGCCTGGCTGTCCGTCAAGTCAGCCTCAGCCTTCTGACGTATGGCCACTTCCGCACTGAAAGCTTCCGGTGTGACATAGGTGGAAGTCCTCTCAAGGGCTTCCGTGAGCTTGTCTATACGACTCTCGTATTCCCTCTTGTGCTCGATCAAGGCGCTGTTGAACTCTTGCGCTTGTCCTGCCAAGGACCGTTCGTGTGTGCGCCGATTCTCTGTGATCATTGCCTCTGCGGTCGCAGTCTTCCTTTCCCACTCCACGTTACTATCTAGGAGGTCATCGTATTGTCGGCATCTCTCGTTGGTCTCTGTCAGCCGCCTTTCGAAATCGTCCTTCTGTGCAGCTGCCCCGTCTTGTTGCGTGCGGAGTCCGTGGTTGGTTTGGCCGGTTGACTCCGCCTTCGACTGAATCTCCGCCTTTTCCTTCTCCAGTATTGTGATCCGAGTGAGATACCCCTGAATTAGGGCATTCTTTTCCCTCAGTTCCTTCATGTGAATGGCGGTGCTGTCGATGTCTGGCTTTGTGGCGGAAGCAGAGGCGAGCTTCTCGAGTTCGTCGAGCTTTTTGACGATGGCATCCAACTTTGCAAACATAGCGCCCTCTTCATTGACTGATGAACTCTGGCTGACGTTGAATTTCTCCATTTTTGCCGTTATGCCCTTAACAGAGGCAAATGTCGTCTTCGTATCCTGCCCAATGACCACCAGGTTGCGTCTAATATCCGAGAGATCCTGTTCCATTTCGGTCGCTTGTTCCAGGCCTCGAATGGTCTCATGCGCCCGGCCCAGCGCCGCGTCCTTGTCTCTCAACGCGGCTTCCATACTCTGCAAGGCTCTTATGGCCTGCTTCGTGTTGTCGACGATTTGGTCGACATTCATCTGGCGGAAGAAGGAGGGATCTGCTTCAAGCAAGCGAACGTAGTTTTGGAGGGCCTCGATCTGAGCGCTCATGATGGCGGTTTTGACAATGGAAGATTTAGAGGAGACTGGATCGATTTCGGGCATAATTTGGGGTTGTATGAGTGACGAGGATGGAAACTGGGAGAAGACACGGATAAGGAAGGAAGTATGTCGCTGCAGCAGTAGGTACCTTAGGTTATATTATTTTTTTGTCGCACTGGTCGCAGGCATGGCATCGGCAGTTTAGTCAACCTGCTACAACCGCGCCTGATCACCAGCGAGAGCCAATCCCGAAGAAGCACCAAGTTATCTTGTGTCCTTTCGAGATACAATTGCTATTGCATTCTGCTGCATCTCAACCATAGCGACATCCACGGCAGTAGTATTTAAATCATTGTAACGACATCTCCGTCCAGTCGAACTCCTCAAGGTTTAGACGGGGCGGCCGGGCCCGTGCGCCCCCGGAAGGATGGTCCAGTCGGATGCGCTCCGTCCTTGCAGCCATTGCCTCTTTCGGTAACAGGCCCAGCAAACCCGCAGCCATGCGAGGCCGATGCGGGCGGAAAGACTTGAAAATGGCATTCATTACAGCGATTGAGGTTCTTTCGCAACGCCGGAACCTGCCCGGCATGTCCTCTGCCGCCGTTGTGCCTTGGTCTGAGTTTCTTTGACTCAAGTCACCGGGCCCCCCACTTGAAGACTGAGTTGGCATCTCCCAGCGGTCTAATCTGAAAGAAGGCTTTGACTCTGGTTCTACAGAGCCATTTGAAGTTCGACTTCCATAGACTGGAACGTCAAGTTACACGACATGTCCGAGAAAGGCAGAGTATTGATGTCGGATACGACAGCGACTGCGTCGGAAAGATGGCGGCTTCCAGCCAGGTATTCGCCCCCTGCCCCACGGTAAGGCTTAGCGGTCAGAATCAGGGATAGAAATTAGATATATGATACGGAATCCGCGGTTAGGTTCTGCGGTTTTCAGCTGACCCGCAAGAAGAGACCCGTTGTCAAAGATCGCATTTGCAGCACCGAGGCAACGGAAAACAAGAGATGGAGGAGGCCAGCGACGATCACAGTCTGTAAGATCAGTTGGTGTCCCAGGCTGCAAAGTCACGTTTCATTCAACAAAGAGCTACCAATTGTTTGACCAAACCATTGCTATTCTACTTCCTACCTTAATAGAGAAACAAATTTGGTCTGGTCATCTTCCTCTTGTGCCTAGCGAACCGACACCCTTCAGAACCGCTGTCATGTCCATCAACCTATTGTTTGCCTGATAATCGACTCGAGGATTGATCCTCGAGTCAGAGATGCCCAACAACTCAATCATAACGCTTTCTTTCCGAGGCCAGTCTAAACCCCGGCCCGATGACGATACGCGCCGTAGGTGGCACTCGAATCCTCCCAGTCAGTCTCGAAGTACTTGTGTGGACGTACCTGGCCAGCCCTTGGGGGCGATGGCATCTTTCTCAAGGTCGTCCCGATACACGAGGAGCTTGTCATACGTATCTGTTCTCAGATCTGGCATCAGGTGGCATCTTCTGTTGATGAGACCTTCATCTGTGGAGTAGTTGTAGGTCTGCCAGATCTTAACAACCTTTCCATCGGCATCCTTGATCTTTCCAGTGAGCATCTTCTTGACGAACTTGCACGAGAGAGGGAAAGGACCATGCTGCCCGTCATAACGGGTGCTGTGGTGACTCTGGCAACGCAACTTCCACACCATGTCGAAGATTGAGAACGGCATGCGGAAGCAAGGTTTTCCACCACGATCTCCAATCATGACATCGTAAATGGCCGACCATGTCAACGTGTCTTTCAATGGATGATTGCACTCGCACCAGTCATGAGACTTGTCGTTGCACAGCCAACAGCCTTTGATAGTGCCACTGATATCGGGGAAAACGCAATCGATCAGGCGGTGACCATGATGGCCACAGTTGGCGCATCTAGCGTTATCCAAGTCTTGTCGCAGAAGAGAGGTAAGAGTCGCCCCTGTCTTGATGTTGGATTCTTCCTGTGCCGGTATAGTGATCTTGAGGAGGAAGGGAGGTTTGCTTCGAGCAATTTTGGGGTCCAAAGCCGGTCCAACTCCATAGTCGACATCGCCATGTCCATGACTGTTGTGTGCTTGACGGGAACCGCCGTGACCACCCTGGGCGTGAGAAAAGCCGCCGCGGCTCATGTGAGAGAAGTTGCCACGACCTCCACGGTCAATGCATGAACCATCGCGGCCGCCGTGTTGATGGGCGTAGCCGTCGTTGTAGTGGTCAGCGCTTCCGCCGCGATTGCTTGCATGACTGCTGTGAGCTTGCGTTGGGCCAAAGCGAACATCTCCGCCATGAGAAGAACTGCTGCAACGACCTCGAGCTTGTGTGTAGCTGTCGTTGGGCAAGTTGATATGGCCACCACTGGTGCGTGTGGTGCTGACATCTCCTTGGAAGTTACTGTCGCGCACGCTGGAGTCAAGTCCTCTTTCGAATGGAGGTGGGAGCTCGGTCTTCTGTCGTGACTGCTCAAAGCTTCGGCTCTCATCTTGCGCCATCGTCGCATCCTCTTCGCTAGCTGCGACGTCTACGCTGCGAGGTCGAGTTTTCGAATCGACGAGCTCAGGCGTAGTCATCATGCGCCTTTTGTTGGAAGGACTGTCGTGAGTGTCCCCCGAAGTCGCAACAGCATCATGGGATCTCTTCTTGCTGTCTGCCTCGACCCAATGACAGGTGATGATGGCGCGCTTGTTGCCATTCTCGGGGCACTGCGTATCCCACAGCGACAGGAATGCTTCGCGGGCCTTGACATAGTTGTCCTGGATGTGGAAACCGTCGCTGGTACTCAACACTATGTCGAGGTCAGGACTGAGTCCTGCAGCTATCTTTCGTAGCTCTGACATGCCTGAGCATGAAAACTTGCATTAGCGTCATCTTCAATGGGATCATTATTTGAGAAAGTCATACCTGACAGAGTTTGGCTCTGTTTGCCGTGTGGCTGGTCGGGGGATATCTCGTTGTGACTGCAGCAGGTTGTTTGTTGTTGTTTTTGACGAACCGAGGTGAGGTCGGATGCAAAGAGAGAAAAGGCAGGGCACTTTGGGCATCTGCTAGTCCACCAACCGGTCCTCGCTTAACTGAAAAGACTGATTATGCGTGCTTCACCTTTTGTTCTTGAAGCAGCAAAAGCTGGGCGGTGAGACCGACGTGCTGGTCCACGTGACTCAAATTCAGTCCTCAGCCGAGCGCTTTTATCAGAAAGGAGCCGTGACTGGCGTAACTTTAGGTAGAATCAACTAGAGGAGAACATTCTTGCGCTGATCATCGCTGAGCTTGGTGATGCCTTTTGCTGGGCGGAGCAGTAGCACTGTGATAGGTAACAACACCCCTACCTCTTAAGCCCAACAAGAGATGTGGATAAGTCCTTGGTATTGTGGAATTCCTGACAGTGGACTGGGCCGGACGGAGAGTCTACCGCTTTCCTTTCTCCCTCAACCACCAAATCATCGCACACCAAGATGGCTGAAGCTCGCCTACCCGATCTCCTGCGCTTGGCTCCGGACGATCGTAGAATCTCCTAAAAAGCCGATGGCCTACATGTTCTACTTCTTCAGAGACTTCCTTCAGCCTTCTACTGTGGACCTCCTTGATTATCTGGCGCCATCTGGGACTGTTTGGTAGATGATGGTGTCGCACATGTGGATGGAGATGGGGGAACAAGTGTAGCGTCACGAGAAGCAAAAGTGAAAAGCCTCCCAGGAAAAATAAGGCCCATTGAGATGCCTCAGGGTCGCGCCGGTTACATTCTTCACGAGCGAGGCAAACGTCACGTGCGATATCAAGTCATTCACGCGAAAACGGTAAGATGTGTCAAGCTACTGTTTCATTGACCGAATGGAGCTACTCTGTGTCTCCTTTGACTTTCCCGAGCGATGTATCTCAGGCCTTCATGCTGGCGTTGGCCTTGTCCCGGACGATGTAACTCAATCCTCCTCGCGCTTCATGTTGGCGCCGGCCTTGTCGGAGTCAGATCCCTGGGCGGTGTCGCCAGGCTGCTCGGTGCTGGTGCCGCCTTCCTCGGCGTCGGGCTCCTCCACGGAAAGGAATATGGTGATGCGCCGCTGGCTTTCGTCGAGGTTGCGAGCCTTCCAATACTTCTGGAGCGCATCATAGGCCTTGTTGGCATCCTTCGACTCGATGTGGAATCCGTTCTCAGTCTCGACCACCTGCACATCGTCTGAGTTGACGCGGCTAGCCATGTCTATGATTTTGGATACTGCATTAGTTTTTTTCTTGTCTCAGATGCCTATAGTCTGCTTGACGTACCTGACTGAGCCTTGCTCTCGTTGGGGCGCTTGTCGGAGTTCATTGTGAGGGATGTTGGGAGTGGATGGTTCGTGGATTGTGGGTTGGGAATGGATGGTTTGCGGTTTGTGAATTGATAACTTGTGGCTTGGAAATTGAAGAGGAGAAGTTTGACGGCGGGTGGGAAGTAGATAGGGTTTTATAGAGACAGACTCGGCGAATCCCACAGTTAAGGCGGTGTCTGTCGGCCTCAATCAACCCTCACCTTACCTGAGGTTGGCTTCGCTGTCACATGACCGCCTCAGATACTCGAGGTGCAATGATTCTGGATATTCGTCACGCTCAGATTATTTCCGAACCTGTATTCAGCCTGTCTTAGGCACCAAATACCCTCTCGTTCGGTCCCCTAGGTAGATCCCACTGTTCGTGCTACAGACGAGATTTGCAAGACATCAATTGGGCTTTCTTGTATTCCTTGTTGAAGGCGATTGCTGCTCTTTTCAATTCAGATTGCGAGAGGATTTAGATATCAAAGACTGGGCCTCGGAAGCCGACAGCGAGTACCTTACTACGACGACAGTCGACGCCAAAGAACCGCGGGCTAGCGGGTTATGTTCTGGGCAGACGGCTTGTTCATGACCACCGATTTCTGTTAATTCAAGGTAGACGACGAGAATAGGTTTTGCAGAGAGGTCCATAACGCATCACTTGACAAAGTTTTAGGAATCGCTTTCTCTTACCTACCTACCTTAAGGTACCTAGTCACCCAAGCCAATAACTTGGATACACGCTTTCGCTAGAGAATTCCTCCTGTCGCTGGAGTGGAGAACCTGCCGCTGGAGGAGCATTGATTAGCACCGCCCCACATGCCGAAAGAGGCATCTCAGGAAAGAATCCGACTGGACAGACATCCGGCGCCTCACGGACTTCAACCGGGGTCTGAACCGGAACTTACAGACAAATCCGACGACACCGGATCGTTACCGTATCCATTGCTAGAACAGCCCAGGGGTTTCTATGAAACTAGAGACTCAAATTTGGTACCAAGAATCCTGCTATTATATGGCAATTCGAAATGGGAAGAGCAACAGTCCTCTATTCCCCTCCAACACCACAAGCATACCAGAGAGCCCAACGGCTCTGATGTCGTGCAAATCCCGTCCGTACCACGAACAGTGGAAATGACCCAGACAAACGAACGAGGGTGCCTATGGGTGCCTAAGGCATGGACTCGCAGTTAACTTGAATCTGACGAGTAGAACCAAGGTCATTACACGGCTCTTAGTCCACCTTTCTTCGGTATCTGGTGCGGTCATGTGATGGCGCAGCCAATTTCAAGCATCCAAGATAATAGTAGTTCTAATTTGTACTTTGTAGACATTGAGGACTCGCAAGAGATGGCTAGTCGCTTCGATCCAGATGAAGAAGTCGTGGTCGACGCCGACAAGAAAATCTACGTCCAGGCGAACAACGGCAAGAAAGCATTGAATGTTTTCCACAAGAAATGGCAGGCCCAGGGTTCAAAAAAAAAAAAAAAAAAACAAGCGTTTCAAGATCACTGTCGTCGAGGACCCGGACGTCGAGGCAGTCGGTATCAACACCCTCGAGACTACCAAGAAGCCTGGCATCATCGCCAAGGAATCCGTTGTCTCTGAGAAGCCCGGCGCCAGTACCAAGCGCGAGGAGGATTGAGCTACATCATTCGGGGACATCAAGGGAGAGGCGACACAGAGTAGCTCCATTAGGTCAACGAAACAATCGCTTGACACATTCTACCATAACCGCGTGAAGATGACTTGTTGTGAAAAGTATCTCATGCAACATTTGCCTTGCTCGTGAAGAATGTAACCGGCGTGACTTCGTCTGGTACTGCTACCCACAGCAACCTCAGGTGTCGTCAACTGCCCCGTCGATTCAACGAGAATTCTGTTTATTCACACATTTAAAGCGCGTCTAAGAGGTCACCGCGCCAACAGTAGAGTGTTAAACAAGTCATCACATAGGGTTTGAGAATCCAAAAGACACCGCCAAATTTGTGGGCCCATATCGAAACGGGCACCGCGTCTATCTCACATTCACCCATTTCCTTTCCTCCCTCCCACGTTCCCACTCTTATCTCATCACATCACAACCGAAAAGGCTGCCTTTTTATCGATTTCCACGACAAAAATGGCGTCCATTCCGGGCAACAATGGTGACAACCCCGCGCCGCTGTTTCGCGCAGTCGGCGCTCCAAGCCCCAATCGCGCTGTGGATTGGATTCCGTCCATTGGTGACCGGAACTTGGCTGACGAGAGCGAGACGGACGCTTGCAACCAACTGCTCATTCTGATCAACGGTGATCAGAACTTCATGCTTGAGGGCATGAACCTCAAAGCAGCCTGGCCGGATATGGTACGCCAGCTGTACCCATGGTTCCAGAGCAATGGCTGGATCTGGATGGGCACAAGCGCGATCAAGTACTGGGCCATGCGAGAGTTCTACAAGAAGACCAGTGAGTTACACGAACCGACTGTCGCCCCAGATAACTAATCAGTCCAGATAATCAATTGGAGAAGCCCATTCACACGCTGGGACTCACGCCGCCCCCGAATTTTATCGAGGAACTTGACGTGGGCTACTCGAACTACCTCAAGGCCAATCACCCCATCTACTACGAGCACAACAAGCACAGAATTCCCAAGAAGAAAGTGTCGGCGGCCTCTCCCGCAGTCGGAGCAGCAGAGTCTTCCAAGAAGGACGCCCAGGTGGAGGACATCGAGCCCCAGAATGACGGACCCGAGAATCCAGCGGTTCCTGCCAATGCACCCAACATGCTCTCTCCGCTCCAACCGGGAACAGCAAACCCTGGATCGCCCATGCCCACGCCCACGCCTAGTGCCCCCGTCGTGAACTTGCCACCCAGCAAGTTCGAGTCAATGGTCTTGGCGGCAAGAAAGGACCTCAAGGAGTACTGGGAAGATTGCGGAGGCGACAAGATACTCCTCGACAAGGATGGATACCCTTTCGAAGTCCGAGTTCCCGATCGATTCAGTCCCGACGTGGCCAAATACATCTACCGCAACGCAGGACAGATGGCCGAGGTCAACAAGATGATCGATGCGAGACTTCGTCTTTGCTGGATTGACCACGACGAGGCAACCTTCCTGGTCATTGTGAAGAACGACATGAAAGACGACTACGGCGACATCACTACCTACCCAGAGTCTTGGAACGCTCTCAGGGCCTGGTCCCAGAGTGTCGCGGATGGTCAGAGTGGCAACTCTGGGTGAGTTTGTCCGAAGCCACAACGATAAGGCCAGAATTGAGGCTTTTCAAGCCTACAAGGAAATTGCGGAAAAGGAAAAGCTGGCTGAGGCACTGGCGGAGCATGACGCAACGATGGCCTCGTCTCGTCGTCAGGCCGAGAATGAGCAGCTTTGAAGCTCAGCCGCATCATATTCGACAACCTTGTAATTACCGGATTCTGGAAAACAGCACGATGGCAAGCGATGGTCGACACGTACATCAACTGTCACCGATGGATGACTGAGCTTGAAAGGTCTATCTCAAATCTCTCACATGAAGATATCGAGATGTCGTTGCCAATGGGGTGGCTTGTGTATAACGGCGACGGACAAATCAGGTATAATGCCCAAGAAGCAAAGAAATGGGCATGGAGGATCATGCAGAACTTGTAATAGTATAATATCGACGAAGTGCTAAATAAAATAAATCCGAAAAAAAAAAGGAGAGTGCCACATGAAAGTAACTGCCATGCCGATATTCGCATTGTGCGCTTTCCCTTCGCCTGGTGGAAAAGCATCGCATCAAGCATCAAGCACGCCCTGCACATCCAGGGTAAATATCAGCAGATGTCTTCTGTAGAGTGCAAGGACGTTGATCGGCATCCCGTCGCGGTCACGCCAAGCGGGCCGGATCGGCCCCTCTCGACATGTTAGCTCGGGCCGCCCAACCCCGCATTCCCCGTAAGTCCACAACCCGAGGCAAGTCTACCCTGGGCGTTGGGGAAGCGCGCCAAACTCCCCGATATACCCCAACCTCCCCACGGACCCATCTTCCCTGGTCGTCCCTTCCCTCATCTCCTCCACTCAACTCCGAACGACAGCTCTTGTCCCAGCATCACACCTTCAATTCAACACAAGAAAGGGAACAAACATCATGGACACCCACGAGATCCCCCGCAAGCTCTGGGAGCACCCAGACCCCAAGAGCACACAAATGTACCAATACCTACAATCGGTCAATTCCAAGTTCAACCTCCAGCTCAAGGTCAGTAGTCCCCGAACGTCCCCCCAATGTTAGTCCGTCCGTCCGCTTACACGATTCTCAGACTTTTAACGACCTCCACAACTGGACAGTCGCTAACCGCGCCACATTCTACGGCCATCTCTTTGACTATGCCAACTTGATCCACGAGGGGCGTCCAACGTCCGTTGTGGACGAATCGCTCACGATAGACGCCATCCCCAAGTGGTTCCCGGGGGTGCGTCTCAATTGGGCCGAGAACCTCCTTTTCACAAGGGGTTCGTCCGATGCGGCTGACCACCATGGCACCGAGGGTAAGGAAGACGACAAAGTTGCCGTCACAGAGATCCGAGAAGGTAACCGCGGTGATGTACGCAACCTCACCTGGGGCGAGCTCCGTCGTGATGCCGGCCGTCTGGCTGCAGCCCTGAAAGCAAGAGGCGTCAAGGAGGGAGACCGCGTCGTCCTCGTCGGTGCCAACTCCATCGAGACGCTGCTGGTGTTTGCGGCGACGACATGGTTGGGCGGCATCTTTAGCAGTTCGTCCACGGATATGGGTGTCAAGGGCATCCTGCAGAGGACCACGCAGGTCGATCCCAAGGTATGTCAACTCCCACCTCTAAGAACTGCACTCACACACGCCAGTTCATCTTCTTTGACGACGCCACGGTGTACAACGGCAAGACGGCCGACTTGCGAGATAAGATGGCCGAGGTCGTCTCCGGCATGGGCTCGTGTCCTTCCTTCTCCGGTCTCATCTCGATTCCACGCTTCTCCAAGCCCTACGACGTCTCCTCGATCCCCAAGACCGAGACGTGGTCCAAGTTTCTTAGCTCTTCCACCTCAGCAGCACCGACATTCACACGCATTCCCTTCCACGCACCGTTCCTCATCTACTACTCGTCCGGCACCACGGGTATCCCCAAGGCTATCGTGCACACCGTAGGTGGCGTCATGCTCAACAGCTTCAAGGAAGGCCGCCTGCACGAGTCAATGTCACCTGAATCCGTCACTCTGCAGTACACTACGACCGGCTGGATCATGTACCTCGCCAACGTCGCAGCGCTGTTATCGGGAGCCCGTGTCGTAATGTACGACGGCTCGCCTTTCGTCCCCGACCTCAAGTCGTTCATCCGCATCCTCGGCGAGCAGCGGGTGACAAAACTGGGCATCAGCCCGAGGTGGATGTTTGAGGTCGCCAAGAACAAGATCAGCCCGCGGGAGGTGACGGATCTCAGCTCGCTGAAGATTGTGACAAGCACAGGCATGGTTCTCTCTGACCAGTTGTTTGAATGGTTCTACGACGCAGGGTTCCCGAAGCATGTTCACCTTGCCAACATTTCTGGTGGCACCGACATTGTAAGTCACCCACACATACCAACTTCTTTACTGACACTTGCAGGCTGGCTGCTTCGGTATGGAGAATCCCTTGGACCCCGTATACGTGGGCGGCACCCAAGGCCCATCCCTCGGCGTCCCCATCGCCATCTACGAAGCCCAGTTGCCCGACGGACCTGGCGAGGCTGTGCCAAACGGAACACCTGGCGAGCTCGTCGCCACTGCCGCCTTCCCCAACATCCCGTGCTTCCTCTGGGGCGATTCGGCGCCCCCGAAACTGTCACCAAGCTCGCCCAATTTTGCCTCTGCCGCCCCAGGCTCCAAGTACCACTCGGCATACTTTGCTCGATTTGATAATGTCTGGGCACACGGCGACTTCTGCTCCATCCACCCAAAGACAGGCAACATTTCCTTCCTCGGACGTGCCGACGGTGTGCTCAACCCCAGTGGTGTTCGCTTTGGCAGTGCCGAGATCTACGCCGTCATTGAGCGCAACTTTTCAAACAAGGTCGTCGACAGCCTGTGTGTGGGGCAGAGGCGCCCTACTGACAACGACGAGAGAGTCATGCTGTTCCTGATGATGCGTGACGGCGAGAAGTTTGACCGCCAGCTGGTCGGGGAAGTCAAGGACAAGATTCAGAAAGAGTTGACAAAGAGACATGTGCCCAAGTACATCTTTCAAACGCCCGAGATACCAGTAAGTCCAGAGGTTTCCTGTCTACGAAGCACGCTAACAAGACAGACGACGGTCAACCTCAAAAAGGTCGAACTCCCGGTGAAGCAGATTGTCTCGGGCCGGACTATTAAGCCAAGTGGCACGCTCCTCAACCCGCAGAGTCTGGACTTTTACTACCAGTTCGCCAAGATTGAGGAGCTTCTCGCCGGTAAGGAGAAGCTGTAAGATGACATGTATAGCAGACGTTGGATCTAGAGCGATATAGGATACCAGATAGAGTACATCTCACCCCAGAATCAAAGACACATCCTCTAGAGGCAATCCCTCCCATGCGGTCTTGTCGACATGGCCGCTCGCGAGGCGGTACGCGACCCCGTCGATCCATTCCACCCACAGCACGCTATACACTTCTGAGGCCGTGAACGGGTGTGTGTAGCGTTTGATCGTCTCATCAAAGGTCTTTTTGTAGTTTCGCACACGGGAGATGGCAACCAACTCGACCTCCTTCGCAGCAGCCCAGCCAGCATTCAGCTGGGGGAAACTTTCGAGTTGGTCCTTATTGTGCAATCGCAACCCCCCAATCTTTTTCTCCTCACTATAGAGCGAGACGTCATTGTGTTCGTCTGTCTGAAAAGCAGACACGCGGGCGCGGCGGGTGTCGCAGCTAATGTACAGCGTCTGTTCCGGCATGAACGGCTGAGTCGATTTCTGAATGTCCGGCACGGGGAAAGGCCAGTACCACGGGTGCTCGTCGTCATGGTCAGACATGCCGCTGTGCCTAAAGGTATACTTGTCGCACCCATCAGGATAAAGCAGTACGTCCCCCTCCTCGCCACGACCAGGAATCTCCTTTCGAGACCACCCTGGAGGCAGGGGCCGAGTAAAGTCCTTGTACGCCTGGCGATTCTCGAACCAGGAGGGTCTGATCTTTCTTCTCTGCGCTGATGTCGGTGTGTCGCAGGCGTACCACGTGGTAATGGGGATTGTCTCTCTGATTGAGTAAGCCAGAGGATTCGCTGGACCGGCTTCATTGCGCCCGACGGAGACGAGACCTTCCCAACCCACCCACGACCAAGAAGGAAGACCACATGGACCGAGCTGGCTCGCAGTGGGGCGATCAGAGACAGTTCGTCGTCGGAGATCGGTGTGGCTCCAGTACGGCGTCCAACCGAGTGCCGCTTCAAAGTACATTTCCGGGATGCCATAGAGGAAGCCGCCCGAGAAGCACCGGCTGATGACATTTAATAGACCGCTGATGCTGGGCAGGGCATCTTCGTCGTATGTCAGAGCTCTCGGGTTGTAGTCTGCAATGATGTTGGCCAAGGAGTCGAGATTTGGCATTCCGCGCATGATCTCGCCTAAGCGGGGATCAATGTACTTGCCAGCCTCAACGCCAAGGTGAAGTTGCTCCTCCCATACGCTGCACTGACACATCCAGTGCAGAGAATGATTACTGACGATGAGGCGCCGTGGGGACATTTTGAACTCTTGGTATGTCCATGCGCGCTTATGATAGGCTCCCCAGTGACTAAGGCTGAAAACGTTGTTCTTGTCGCGGATGAACTGCTCGTCGCCAAAGGGTATTGGGTTCCAATCCTCGTCTTCGTCCTTTTGGGTTTTTGGCGATGATACGCCCCGTAGACCGGGAAAGCCGTCCTCGGCATCACCATCAAGTGCGACGATGGTGAGTGAGGCGTTTGCGAAGATGGCGGCCATAAGCTGGAGCTGCTGATTGCTCTCTTCTGCCCGGGCATGGTTGATGCAGAGGGTGTCGACCCAGAGGTACCGCTCGCCAATGACAGATGTAAGGTGCACGGCATGAAGTACCATAGGTGCGAGCTGGGAAGCGATAGCAGGGTCGTCAATGGCGCCAGGCGTCTGGAGCTTCGAGATTGTATCGCCGAGGATGTGCAACCCGGGCGTCTTGCCCCAGCGGTAGCTCAGCGTGACGTACGATTCGCACCCGTCTCCCGGAACGATGCATCGCTTCTCGGTGTCTACCACCCAGGCTGGACGAATCGGCCAGATCTTGACGGGATTGACGCATTTGGGGCCGTGGGAGGACGCGCATTGCTGCTTCCAGGATGTTACAACGCTGGTATCGATCCATTCTGGGTCTAGGATGCGAGCTATACCCGGGTGGCTCGAAATGGAGTCCCTTTTCACAAGCAAGAGGTCGGCGTATCGGCCGCCGGTCTTGATGTTTTCTGTGAACTGGAGCGCACCTGTTCGAGGGAATCTGATGCCCACATTGGCAGAGTCGAGGCTTTTGACTTGCCTTGACTTACTGCAAAGCTCGTGGAACATCTTGACGATGGGTACATGTCTGCTGCATTTCGAAGAGAGGGCTTCTTCGAAGGAGCCTAAATTGACAGTATCGTGATATTTGCCGCTAGGAGACGTCGTGAGACGGGTCCAGATTTGGTGGCACATTTCGCAGTTTGATATGTCATCAGACTGCGTGGTGCTTGGCACAGTCTGCGAGGGAGTTGAGCTGGATTCGTCAGTCTTGATATTCAGCGGCGTTTGAGCCATCCTGACCTTTCAGCCATCATGTCACAGGCTTGAGGTTTCTAGCCGGTGAGGCTCAGTCACTTGGATCTCGCTGACATTTCTTGGACTTGTCAAGAAGCTTACGAGCTGCTAGTTAAGGGGGTCCGTCTTTCGCACACTGGGGATCGCCACCGAGCCCCTCACCACTAACTAGGCACCAGCTTCCTCCAGACTATACCAAGGCGGAGTCCATCAGCACAAAATACACGCTTGTCAGCAGCGAACCAATCGAAGTTGTCCGCCATGTCACAAAGTCAGGCGGCCGGTTTACAACACTAGCACACATTACGAAGACTTGCGGCATAGTCCAGGTAAGCAAATCCATTTGGGGTATTGATGTATCTAACGTACAGGCCTCGCAGCAACCAATCTTCAAACCGCGGCAGCCTCACACCCTCGACAACGCAGCCTCGGGACCGACATACTCGGGATACTTCCCTCCATGCACACCATACCTCCAAACCATATACCCTACCGTCCCCGCAAGACTCCCCAGCCCAGCAGCACCAGCAACGACCCTCACACCAAGCGCGCTACCGTTAACCCGCGCCACCCTCGCGATCCCAAGGGTCGCCACGCCCGCCGCCGCACCACCATACGTCCAGTCGTCCACCTCCAGCTGGCTCCGGCTCTCCATCAGCCTCCACGCGCGATCGCGCCACTCAATGTCCTCGCGGCCGTACATCCGCGCCACCGTGGCGACGCCGGTGAGGCCTAGGCCGACAGCGCTGGCGGTGCCTGATTTGCGAAGGACGGTGTGTAGTCCGCCTGCGCTTCGGAGTGCTGTCGTTGCTGATGTGGAGAACGGGGTGCCGGCGACGGCGGTGGCAGGCACGGGCTTTGTGCCGCGGATCCGGCGGGCGACTCCACTCGCGGCCGCGACGCCGAGACCCACTACCGTGCCCGTTGTGTAGCCGCGTGTGAGAACGTGGACTGTGAGGATCGTGCCGGCGAGGGGCTGGTCTTCTGCGTAGGTCGTGTGGGGAAAGTAGCGAGACATGGTTGTTCTTTTTTCGCTTTTTTGAGAAGACGATGTTTTGCGGAAGCTGACAGCTGGCTGATGGACGGTTTAGATTCCTAGGGAGGGCTTGACGACGCGCAACACAATGAGATGCAGACTGATCAGTGATGGTCAACAGCCGTGTCCTCTTCCTAGACAGCAAGCCGGCACCTTATATCACAACTCGCGCGAGCCACCAGCCTCCATGCGGCCGCATGTTCCGATCTAGCGGGACCCGGTCGGCATGGGACGATAGCAACCCCCCCGACTCTGTCAGCGCGCCGGGGTATCGTCCCGCCGCGGAATCCCACGCTAGCGAGCGAATGCGAGGCCACCCCCGACGAATGGGGTCAATCGCATTCGTCACGGCGCCAGACTAAACCCACAGCGGCATGACTCCCAAAGCCACGTTGCTTAGCTGAACTCACCACCAAAACCAGAGCTGATCGAGATTTACGGTATTCATAGGTTTATTGTCATTAACCGATATCTATGCTGGTGGACCCCACGCCAGATAACAGCACTGCCGCGCCGGGCTAATCATCATCAGTCATCTCCATCATGCTTTCGCCTTTTTCGTCCTCGTCAATGAGCACCCGCGGCCGGCCGACCTTGGCCTTGCCTTTGGCATCACGCCGCAGCTTCGGGAGCTTGTTGGATATGCGCTCCCTGGCGGCCGCTTTGCCTATCTCGAGCTCCTGCTCAAACGCCTCCAGCTCGTCGCCCTCGGCAACGTCAATCGTGGACGTCTCTTCCAGGGCCTTGTTCAGTAGCTCCGTAGCTATGCTGTCTTGTGGGTTAATTGCGAGCGCCTCGTGCAACGGCACGACGGCCTTTTCTGGGCGGCCCTCTTCAAGATAGATGAGCGCTTTCGCGCAGAATATCGTCGCGTCCTTGCCGCCCTGTCGCAGGACCTCGTCGAACTCCATGTGTGCGTCCTTCCAGAGCCGCAGGCGACGGTACGCATGTGCCAGGTTCGTCCTTGGCGCCAGCCAAGCCTGCGGGTCAGAGTCAATGTCGGCGGCAATCTTGAGTGCCGCCCGGAAAAATTGGACAGCCTCTTGCGGCTTATCCTGGTGATATTTGACGACGCCCATCTCGTTTAGAAGAAGGGGGTCCGTCTTGCACAGACCGTACGCCGTCTTGAGGAACTCCTCAGCTAGTGTCATGTTGTTGAGTGCGTGGTTCTGCATGCCCAAAAAGACCTGCGGCAAATGTGTCCCCATGAAGAGCCTCGCTGCTGTGGAGTAGGCCGAAATGGCCTGGTCGTGCTCGCCCTCGGCGGCAAACGTGTGTGCGAAGCCGATCCACGCAGGGCCAAAGTGCGCATCCATCATGCTGGCCTTGCTGAAGTACCGACGGGCTTCTGCAATCTTGTCAATCGCAAAGTAGTATATGCCCACGGCCAACCACGAGCAGGGCTCCTCGGGGTGGTTGTCCGCTAGGTCGTGAGAAACCAAGAAGAGCGCATTCTTCATCTTGAGCTGATACAGACATGCCAGGTGCAGAGGGTGGACGCTAAAGTTGTACTTGTCGTCCTGCAGAATGGACTCCGTAATGGCGAGGGCGTCTCTATACCGACACTGCGTGTAGAGGAGGTCGGCCTTGGCGAGGAGGAGGTCAGGGTTGTCCGCCAGACGGTAGTGCGTCGACAGAGAGTCGCACGCCGCGGTGAATGCCGAAGGTTCCCTATACTTTGACAGCCGCGTGGTGTACAGCATCTTTGTGAACTCTGCCGCCTCTTGTGATGAGGACACGTCCCCGGAAACGCTGATGGCGTCAAAGTCGAGCGACTCGAGAAATGCCCACTCCTCGTCGGGCGAGAGCAGAGCATTGGTCATGAGCTGCTGGAAGGCCTCGAAGCACTGCACGTCGATCCGCACGGCATCCTTGTAGCACTCCTTGGCCCGGTCAAAGGCGTTCTGCTTGGCGTAGCAGATGCCTCGTAGGTAGCACATGGCGGCTTCGTATTTGCGGTTCGTCGCTTCTTCCTCTGCCGCCTCGTCGCGGGCGTGTCTGTCTCTTGAGCTGCTCTTGGGGTGGCCGACCGCGCGACCTAATGGCGCCGCATTCTGTTGCTTCCGCTTGTTGCTCGCATTGTTGATGAGGTGCGTCGGATTCCGCTCGCCGAGGATGGCCAGGGCCTCATCGAATCTCGACTGCTTGACGAGGCAGTGCGCCGCTAGGTACCGACAGGAGACGTTGCGAGCGACAAGGTCCTGTTTTGCGAGGAACGTCTGCGCTCGTGTGTAGTTGCCGGTAGCAAAGTGGACTTGAGCCAGCCAGAAGGCGTCCTTATCGTCGTCTGTCCACGTTAGACAGGCAGAGCGGGCTAATGAGTGCCATCTCACGTACTGGTCAGGGCTAGCAGCTTGTCGCCGATGAAGATGGCGGAATCGTACTGGGCCTTGTTCAGGGCATCCTGCCTCCATTCCCGCAGGAACTTTTCCATGGCGCAGCGAGGAGTGCTAGATCGTGGGCATGGCCGTGTGATGAATGTGACAAAAGAGTGGTGGACTTCGTGGTTGACGTCGGATGCCGATCAACGGTGAGGTAAGCGCGTCGTGGGCTCAGGCGCGACGGGAATCTGCACTTTCTTTTCTTTGGATGACGGGCAGGAATTGGAGGGGACGTGGATGCACTGTGCACCGGGCGCCGCCAGGGGTGTGGGCCGAGTAAATGGCGGGGTAGGCCAACCAGAGGGCGTCGTTGCGTCTCTCCCAGGCACACCACGTGGGTGCCGTTGATGTTGAGTTGCTGACAGCGTCTTGATGACCCATTGATATCTGTGTTATGGCATCTTGTCTTTGGTGTTGTCTGTAGATGGGCATCTGTGGTGTCTTGTCTGTAGGCTGTCTTGCATCATGTCAGGTCGTTGTTGTGAGGCTCTGGCGCTTAGACGGCACGGCGCTGAAAATAGCACGTCAACCGCCACAGCCAGAGCTCCTCGCTGACCGTCACTGCAACTTCATCCATGACTCCATTGTGGCCAATGCTAGGCACCTGGGCTGGGTCAGCCGGCAATTGTTTCAGGCCATGCACGTTCTGCGCTTCCCCATCCGACCGTTGTGCTTTTGACGTCCATCCCAAGTGCCGTCAGTGATGCTGGGTATCTCAGACGGGACTATGCGAGTAAAGGCATGTCCGCCCAATCCGAGAAATGCAAGTGGTGAATTAAGAGGTTGGGTGCTGGCGCTGCCCTACCAAAGGTATCCGGGCCCAAAGCTGGGTACGGCGGGCGTCTCCAGCCCCGAGGCCTCAAGGACACCTCGCTGTGACCTCACTGCACCTCACTGTGGTGCGCCGTTCCAGCGTGCCTTTCTGCCCTTTTGGGTCTCCTCATTGGCTGCAACCTCCCAGTGGACCCATCAGGGGTAAGGCTAACCTGGGCTAAGCGAGGCGCTATCGCTCTATCCGCCATCGATAACAAGGTGACGACTAAGGTCGAGGAGGATGGGGCATCAGTGTCCATACTCCGTATTATTTTTTTTCTCTTCAAGCTGTTCATTGTTCCCCATCAGTCGATAATCCATTCGCCTTTCCCACTCCCGCCTCACAACATCGCTCAAACACTGCAGAGAAAAAATCCCAACCAACGTCTGTAATACCCACACACAAACAAACCTCCCTCGAGATACCACACCGACGCTACCTTGCCTCTCTCCAAACGAAAGAACCTCCCTCTACCCCCCCGGTCAACCTCACCCCCGCCGAAGCTCTCGCACGCCGCCATCTCTCCATCCCGTCTCTCCAACGGCCATCGACTCCTCTCCTCTCTGTGCCTCTCCGTCTCCAAACCAGCCCCTGCAGCAGGCCCTCGTCGACCGCCTCTGCCCGCAACGCCCGCCGCCGCCGCCATCCCGACCTCATCGCATCCCAACGCCATCTTGCCCTGTCCCAGCCGCCACAACTGCGACCATTCACCACAAACCAAGGTGCCGCCGCCCTTGACGTTTTGAGGGATTGACGAGACCAAGCCAAATTCACTCCTCCCCGGAAGCCGTCGAAAGCAGTCCTAATGGATAACAACCTATGGACCCGCCGCACAAAGTGAGCCTTTCGTCCCTGCACGCTATGCCTTTCCCCACTGACAAACGCAGCTCTGGCAAGCTTTCACTCTCGACAAATGGTAGTCCCGCGCCGGGCGGTGACGCCAACCGAAACGGCTCCTTTGCCAAACGATTCGGCGGCGATACGTCCTCACACGGCGGCAAATCAAATCCCTTCAACAACGTAACGACCCCCGGCGCGGGCGGCATGGCGTCGCCCACCACCGCCGGCGCGGCCAACGCCTTTGGCCTGGGTTCCGGCGCCTTCGCCTCCTTCGGCTCCGCCAAGACGCCCAAGTCCCCCGGCAACCCGTTCGACCTCGCCATGGGCAAGATTGGCGGCGGCGGCGCCAAGGCGGCGTCGCAGCACGACCCCGCGGCCAAGGTCCCCTCCATCGCCCCGATCCCCGAGAAGAAGGCCCTGGGCTCCCAGCCCGCCTCGACCCGGACGTCCTCGGAGCAGCTGCGCGTCCACCCCCTCAAGTACGAGTGGGTGACGTGGTGCCGGCCGCCCCAGCCAAAGGGCCAGCCGTACCAGGAGTACGCCAAATCGCTGACGCCAATGATCCACTGCAACTCGGTGGAGGAGTTCTGGGTCGGCTACCCCCACCTCAAGCGGCCCTCGGAGCTGTCCGTGGGCTGGGAATACCACTTCTTCAAGCGGGGCATCCGCCCAATCTGGGAGGACGACGAGAACAGAAGCGGCGGCAAGTGGGTGCTCCGTCTCAAGAAGGGCATCGTCGACCGGTACTGGGAGGATACCGTGTTTGCGCTCCTCGGCGAGGCCTTTATCGACGCCAGCGAGGAGGTCTGCGGCGGTGTGGTGAGCGTCCGCAACGGCGAGGATATCATCAGTATCTGGACCCGCTCGACCGGCGGACGCGTGCTGAGGATTCGGTGAGTCCCTTGGATCATGTGTCGAGACTTTTGGCTAACCCCCGCAGTGAAACGTGGAAGTCGTACCTCAAGTGCCCGCCCAACACGCAGTTCGAGTTCAAGTCCCACGACGAGAGCATCCAGCACCGAGCCGCCATCGAGGAGTCCCGCCGCGAGAAGCAGCACGACAAGCGAGGCAACAAACAGACCACCGAAGAGCAGAAGCCCGCCGCTTCGTGAGGAGGCATACTACTCCCCGAACGACATGACCCTCCTCGCCCGGGAAAACGCCACGCCAACAACCTTGTTGCATTTTTGTTTTTGTTTCTCTCTCCAAAGCCATCTTTGATGTTTATTTGTACACTATTGGATCCACTACCCCCCTTACGACGGATCTTCATAGCATTCGGGGGTTTCGTGAAAACTCCCGACAAAAAATACACCTATATGGGGAAAAAATGAGGAAGCAGGTTTGGAAACATTGGAGACGGATGTGTGCTCCCCTTGATGAAGGGGGGGGATCGAAAGGCTCTCTCCCTTTGGGAATTTACGATCAATCTTTTTCGGTCTCGGAAACGGGACTCGGCAAAGAGGTTTGTGAGGAGGGGGAAGGGAAACGGAACGGGGGGTCAGCGGTCAAACGTTTAGCGGTCACGTTTGTTTTATGGGTTTACGAGCCAGGGCGGGCGGGTTTATGCATTTGGCTACAGCCCACCAATTCCCAAATCTCATCATCTTTCTCGGGAGGTGTAACACTAACCTGCGATGCGAGTGTCGCATGCTTCGGTATGCTTTTGTTTGGGCTGCTGGAGGCGCGGTCTGAAAGGCATGGGCCGTATGGATAGTCCCAAATGACTACGAAATGAGCTCACTCTGGACCATCACTGACATGAACGTGACTTGGGTGACATGGGACTAACGCATCCCGTATGGCATTAATCGTACAATCTACGCTTTCCTCGGCGTCCTCCGCCTCTCCCACACCTGCAGATACGTCTCGCCCAGGTACAGCAGCTCGCTCTGCACCTTTTCCACAAATAGATCCTGGCACGACACCCACTCGTCGCGCCCCTTATCCTTGAGCTGCACCTTCCACGTCTTGCGCTCCTCTCCGCTGTCCGCGACGTCCTCCTTGGCGCGCACGGCCTCGTGGACGACGTTGGCGACGAGGTCGTACCAGATGGGTTCGCCGGGGGGCCACTCGCCCGGGTTCGGCTCGACGTAGGGGCTCACGTCGAGGCCGCGCGGGTCGAATGTGACAATCGTCGGGTTCCGCTCCGACACGAACTTGTTCTGGCTGAAGCGCTTGACGTGCAGGACGAGGTAGGGTGGTAGGGGGTGCAGCAGACGATACCGCTTGCGCTGGGCGAGGTGCTCTTGCGCGTGGATGCCGTCGTATTTGGAGAGGATGGTCGTGAGGGGCACTTGCGGGATGATGTTCTTTTCGAGCTCGTCTTGGAAGAGGGGCGCCGCGGGGAGGTCGAGGGTGAGGAACATGAAGCGGGATGAGGTGACTGATACAGCAGCGTCTTCGAAGCGTAGACGGTCGCCCGCGTCGGCGCGCGCCGTGATGGCTTGCGACTCGACTTTGAGCTTCCCCTGGAAGATGCGCTGCACGACGGAGCTGCCGGGTTTTGTTTTCGACCCGCCGAGGCCCAGGTGTAGGTTGTTCAGGAACCACGACAGAAACTCGACGGGGTCGGACTGCGCCGTGAGGGTGAAGCGCTTATTCGACAGCAGGGAAATCTCCTGGAGCAGCTCGTGGGGGGAAACGTGGGCCTTGAAGGCGCGCGGGTTCCAGATCTTGCGGACGAGGATGCCGAAGCGCTTGGCCAGCTCGGAGCGGGATGAGAGGTCTTCGAGCAGGCAGAAGTTGCGCAAGGGGGCGACGTGCGCGAGGGCCTGCACCACGACGTTGAGGTAGTCGTTCTCCTTTAGGTTGTTCATACCCACGAAGCCGGGTGCGTATTCCCTCCCTGCAAGCGTAAAGGATGCGCGCAAGGGCGTCCGGTCGAGGGCAGCGACTTCGGGTTTCGTGTAGCGCGGATCCGAGACGAACTTGATGTCGTCGAGGGACTTTGACTTGACCTCGTACCCCTCCGGGAGGACGTAGACCTTTTGCGTCTGCATGTTGATGAAGACGTGGTGGTTCTCGTCGAGGGCGTGGAAGTAGGCGTGCGATTTCGGGCCGCGGCCTTGGTAGTAGCGGCCGCACACCAGGCACGCGTAGACGTTGATGTTGGACAGGCTGACGGAGCAGAGCTTCTCGAAATCAAAGTCGAGAACGTTGCGGTCTATCGTGTCGAGGTAGAGGTCGTCGTAGCCGTCTGTCGGCGCCGATTGACGAATCGGGACATGTACCGGCGCGTCGTCCTCTATTTCGCTGTCGCTTTCGGCATCGTCGTCTTTTGGTGGTATCTCGGCCGTGTCGTTTGTGGGTGTTGCATCGTCCGTCGTTGTCGCTGTGTCGTGCCCGTTTTCGAGCGAGCCGTTGGAGATGAGGGAGTCGACGGTTCGTGAGCGTTTCGACGCTGGCGAGTCGATCCCTGCGATTTCGTCGAGGGGATCCTCGGCGTGACGTTTCCTATGCGCCATGCTGTGTGTGTGTGGTGTCTGGAGGGGTATCGAGTGGTGTTGGTGGTTTCGTTGCGAGTGCGAGGCTGAAGTCGCAGGTATGGATTGGTGGTCCCTGGTTGCAGGCGTGGAAAAAGTCGCCAGTCTATCGCTCTAGGTGCACGCCCCCACTGTCGGAAGCCACGCCCAGAGCTTCTCACAACCTCATCCAGACATCAGTCACTACACGGCCACAGACGACGCAAACCTATCTGCAATGGCATACACCAATCCCGGGCACATCAGGCTGCCGAGTCGCCAGAGGACACCTCGGATGCTGGCGCATGCAGCACATGCCCAATGGGCCAGTCAGCGTCGCTGCGTATCATCCAATAGCATCGGAAGCGCGTGACCTGGTGTCAGCCGCAGCCTGATCTTGAAGTGAGGGGCTCTGGCCCCGTTTGCCGCAGTTCTGTCATGATTAACTGATGTCTATCCGAAGATTGCGTCGCAAGAGCGATAGTTCGTTGAGTCAACGCTCGCTCGTGCGTCCGTCGTCGACGACAGCAACACGCCATGGCTACTCTCCCGCCTCGCCGCCGCGAAGACTTCACTGTCGCGGTGATTTGCGCCCTTCCACTGGAGTTCAACGCCGCAGAATTGGCCCTCGACGAGCTGTGGGACGGCCTTGAGCATGATCTTGGCAAGGCTGCAGGTGACGCAAACACCTACACGCTTGGTCGAATCGGCAAACACAATGCCGTTCTCGTCCTCCTTTCCGGCATGGGAAAAGTGAATGCAGCTAGCGCGACTGCCAGCCTTCGTTCGAGTTTCGGGGGTCTCAGGCTTGCTCTCCTATGTGGCATATGCGGTGGGGTGCCTAATGTCAACGGCGATGGGGAGATGCTGCTTGGAGACGTCATCATCAGCAAAAGTGTCGTTCAGTACGATCTGGGGCGGCTATTTCCAGGCCAGTTTGAGCCGAAAGACACCATACACGACACTCTGGGTAGGCCGGTCAAAGAGATTCGGTCCCTGCTCATTGCATTCGAGACCCATAGGCAAAAGCAGAGGCTACAAAAGGAAATCTCCAAAGGTCTTGCAGAAATCCAAATTAAGGCAGTCGAACAGAGCTACGATGTCGACTATCGTAGACCACTACACGAAGACGTGCTCTTCAAACCCGATTACACCCACAGGCATCGGAAAGACGTACAGTGTAGCTGCAGCGAAACGCAGACGTGCGAGCAGGCGACTAAAGCGACATGCGAGGAGCTTGGCTGTGACTTTGGGTACCGAGTGTCTCGAAGACGCCTGGAGAATCGGCAAGCCGGGCACGAGAAAACCTCTGCGGAGCACCAGCCTTGTGTTTTCCTTGGCTCGATTGGATCAGGAGATACCGTCATGAAGTCTGGCAAGGACCGTGACCAGATTGCGAGGGACCATAGCCTCGTCGCCTTCGAAATGGAGGGAGCTGGAGTTTGGGACGAAATCCCCTGCATCATCGTCAAGGGCGTATGCGACTATTCCGACAGTCACAAAAACAAGACTTGGCAACACTATGCTGCGGCAATAGCTGCGGCGGCAACGAAGGCACTTCTCGATCGTTATGCGCCTTCAGCCGGCCTGATTGAACAGGTTAAGCAAGTCGAGACGACTGCCTTCTCGCCAAAGTGTAAGCGCGTCTCCTACTTGCATCACCGAAATCATGCTGAAAGAGCACAGTTCTGGTACCATATGTCAAGAATCCCGAGTTTGTTGGCCGAGAAGAGATCTTCAACCGTATCGCGCATCTATTCGGGGACACGCAGACTGGTCCGGCCACTGCGAAGCTACGGTCAAGAGTGGCACTCCACGGGCTCGGCGGTGTTGGGTAAGACGAACTTCACACCACTCCAAAGCAAGGCTAACACCAAGAAGTAAGACGCAAATCGCCTTGGCCTACGCCTATTGGCTACATGAGAAGTCTCCCGAGGTTTCCATCTTCTGGGTCCACGCCAGCAACCGCCAACGCTTTCGCCATGCTTTCACATCGATCGCTCAAGTATGTGGCATCCCGGGCTACGACGGAAAGAAGGCCGATACACTTTTCCTTGTGAAGCAGTGGCTTGAGAGTAATAAGAGCGGTCGTTGGCTACTGATTATCGATAACGCCGATGACAAGGACCTGTTCTTTACGGACTCTGAAGAAGACGGCATTGGAGCAAATGTGCCGGAACCTGCATCTGAAGGGGGACTAGGCCGCTTCATCCCAGAGTGTCTCCACGGATCCATCCTCATAACGACGAGGGATATGCAGACAGGTCTCAGGATGACAGCTGGGACTCCCCCAATCAAGGTCAATGAGATGATCGATGCTGAGGCCGTTCAGCTGCTACAGTCCTTGCTCCCAAACCACAATTTTTCTCCCTCAGAGGCAATCGCGTTAGCATCTCGACTTGAATACTTGCCACTAGCGTTGGCACAAGCAGCTTCCTTCATCCTCAGAAACTCCATATCTATCAACGCCTATTTCCGAATACTGGACAAGAGCGACTCTAGTTTGGTGCGCCAGCTGAGTGAGCCTTTCGCCTCCATAGGGCGGGACTCGGAGACGCCTCATGCCCTGACGGCCACCTGGTTGATTTCTTTTCGCCAAATCGAGCAGCGGCATCCCTTGGCTGGCAACTTGTTATCTTTCATGAGCATGTTTGATCGCCAAGCTATTGCAAAAGACTTTGCCGAAGTCTACTGCTATGAGCAGCTGCGTAAGAAGTCAGACTCTGTCGTCGAGGTGGACGGCCCTTTTGAGGGGGACTCTGGCATTGGCTCCGACTATACTCCTGATTTAGGGAGCGCCAGTGCCTGTTTCGATGCCAGTTCCGATGCCAGCTCTGAGACGACTCTGGAAGTCACCAACGCCTTGGGGATTCTCCAGGCATTTTCGTTTATCTCTCAGGCGGGCAATGACACTTACGACATGCATCGACTAGTGCATTTAGTCACACGCAAACGCGTCTTGCAGGAGAAGAAGATGCGGCAACTTTCAAGCGAGGCTCTTAAAATGATGTCTCGTGCTTTTCCTCTCGGCAATCTCAAGAATAGGGTGGCGTGTTTTACATATTTACCTCATGCCCTCGCAGTTTTGGCACGTCTGGACCTCCAGTTTGATGATGAGAAGGTCCACGCTGCAAAGCTATTGTTTAATGTGGCCGGGTACTTCGCGTACCTACGGCAACATCGGGAGGCAGAAAAGCACCTGAGGCGAGCTTTGGAACTTCAAAGAGCGGTATTTGGGCAGAATCATCCGGAAACTCTTCAGTTGACGAGCGCTTTGGCGTCAAACATCGTCTATCAAGATCGTTCAGAGGAAGGAATCGAGTTGCTTCTGCCCACGTTGGAGGTCCAAAGGAGGCTCCTGATAAAAATTCATAGGCAAGTACTCGACACGCGCCGTCACCTTGCGTTTGCGTATATGAAACAGAAACGCCATAAAGAGGCAGAGAAGCTGCTTTTAGAGACCCTCGAGATCTGGGAAGGAGGCGGCAACGATAAACGGGGAGCTTCAAGAGCCTTAAGCCAGCTAGCAGATGTATACTTTAAGCAGGGACGGTATGTGGAGGCAGAACAGTTGCAACTGCGGTTATTGGAGGGAAATAGGAAATTGCTCGGAGAGGACTCTGAGGCTACACTTTGGACTAGGGAGAGGCTTGGACGTACATATCAAAGGCAGGGCCGTCTATCGGAGGCAGTGGATATGATTTTACAGGCGCTGGTTCGAAGCAGAGTGTTAATGGGTGAGGCACACGCCGATACGGTAAATCTCATGTGGGATTTAGCACTTGTCTACATACAACAAGGTCGTTTAGAGGCGGCTGAAGAACTCACATCCGAAGTGGTGGACATTAGGAGATCATCGATGGGCGAGAAGCATGTAGACACTCTACAGGCCAGCATTAGTTTAGCACAAGTCTACATAAGGCAAGGTCGTCTGGAAAAGGCAGAGGAGTTGCTTCTGAAGGTGCTAGACATACAGAAATCTACAAAAGGCGATGAGCACGAGGACACGATATTGTCCATCGCACAGTTGGGACGAGTCTACAGCAAGCAAGGTCGTCTGGAAGAGGCAGCAGGTTTATTGCTGAAAGCGTTTGAGACGTGGAAAACCACGAAAGGGGAGGAGCATGAAGACACGATAATGGCCATCGCAGACTTAGGAGTAGTCTACAGGAGGCAAGGTCGTCTGGAAGAGGCAGAAGGTTTATGGCTGAAGGCGTTTGAGATGTGGAAAACCACGAAAGGCGAGGAGCACCAAGACACAGCATGGATTATGGGACAGTTAGGGCTCTTATATTATGATAAAAACAGACTGGTAGAAGCGGAGGAGCTACAACAACGAGCGTTGAAGGTGAGAAGAAAGGTTTCGGGGGAGAAGCACACCGAGACTTTAACGCAGGAGAATAACTTGGCTTGGACATGGTGGGGTCAAGGTCGAAAAGAGGAAGCGATTCAGCTGATACGGAGATGTGCCAAGGCTACAGAACGTGTTCTTGGTCGAGGTCACGAACACACAAGCGACTCCCTCAAAGCATTGTCCGACTGGGAGAAAGAGATGGAGGCGGAGGACAATAGCGAGGATGAGTCGGGAAAGCCGAGCGACGATTCCAGCGGGGATGGAGGAGACGCATATGTAGGCTCCGACGACGAGTCGGACAATGGCGAAGGAGCACGCCTATAGACATTCAATCAAAGCCATAGCGAACATCGATTGCAACACCCGCTCTGCCCAAGTCGGTGTTCAAACGCTGCGATCAAAAGCACACTCACGCCGCACCAGGTCGACAGTACAAAACCAAGAAAACCTTCAATTTTAAACTCCTACATCTACTCTCACACCATTATGACATCCGCCGCGGCATCCTCCATGGCCACATCATCTTCTATCGCGGGAGGCGCGAGACTGTCCATCTCCCGCAGGGTATATTCCACCAGGTAACTCTCGTCCACGAGCTCGTCCGTCCGCCTGTAGTGCCGCTCGGTGTACACGCGGAGCGCGTTGAGCACCTCCTTGAGGCTGCGCTGGCCCCGCGCGCCCTTGACCGAGAGGTTGGAGAACTTGGACGCCGGGTAGCTGCGGACGAGCGTCCAGAGGATGCGCTGCGCGACGGCGGCCGTCCGCGCGTTGGTGTTCCAGTCGCGCAGGCGTAGGAGCAGGGTGAAGAGCTGCTCGTCGGAGAGCGTGGCGAGGACCTGGTCGACGGCTTTGAGGCCGCAGAGGCTGCCGGGTTCCGGGGTGGAGGTGACGACCGAGGTGAAGAGGCTGAGGAGGCGGCCGGGGTGGTTGAGCTGGAGGGCGAGGACGATGGCTTCGCGGTAGGAGCCATGGTGGATGTGGTTTTGGAGCTCCTGCTCTTGCTCGATGAGCTTCTGGGCGGCTTCGGTGGCGGCGGCCTGGGATTCGGCGGTGGTGTCCTTCCAGAAGGTGACGAGGGCGTCGCCGTCGCCCGAGACGACGGTGTTGTCGACCGGGTGGACGGCGAGGGCCCAGATGCGGTCCTCGTGGTTGTCGAGGGTCGTTTCGGCCTCGCCCGAGTTGGCGTCCCAGACCTTGACGAGGCCGTCGCTGCCGGCGCTGGCAAACTGGACTTGCTTCTTGCCCTTGCCCTCGGGCTTGGGCATGTTGAGCCAGGCGACCTTGAGGACGCTGTTGGAGTGGCCCTCAAAGGTGCGGATGCACGAGTAGTCGTTGAGGCTCCAGAGCTTGACCGTCTTGTCGGCGCTGCCGGTAAGGACGACGCCCTTGCCGGCGACCTGGCCCTCGTCGCCCTGGATCGCGGGGCACCCCGCGGGGGCGAACTTGACGGACCACACGCCGCGCCTGTGGCCGCGGAGGATGCCCTGGACCTCGCCCTCGGCCACGGACCAGATCTTGACCATTTTGTCCTGGGAGGAGGAGGCGAAGAGCTGGCTGGCTGGGTGGACGTCCATGGCGTTGATGTCCTTGTCGTGGGCTTTGCGGGTGAAGACGGCGCGGGATCCGCCCTTGCGGGTTTGCTGGGGTTCCCGGGGGATCTCCCACTTCTTGACGGTCTGGTCTTGGGAGCCGGTGAAGAGGTATGGCGGGGGGTGGCTCAGGGGGTCCTTGAACTGTGCTGATGATTCTTGGGGGGGCTGCTTCGGGAGTGCCACGGCGCCGACCGATTCCGTGTGGCCGGTGAAGGTGGCGTAGCATGTGTAAGAGTTATTGGCGGGGTCGACGCGCCAGAGGCGAGCGGTGTTGTCCTTTGCGCCGGTAGCGATCCAGTAGCCTGACCAGTCTACGTCCAAAGAGACGATGATGTCGTCGTGGCCCTTGAGCAGCGCGATATCCTGACCAAAGTACGTCGCGTCTTCTGAGGAGTCCTTGACTGAAACAATTCGAATGTCCTCGGCGTTGGTGGCCAGCGCAAGCAGGGAGCGGTCGGGAAGAAGGTAGTTGAGATCGATGATGGAGTCGTGGGTTCCGGAGATGCGTCTAAACGGCTCCATGACCGATCCCTCGACGGCATCCTTCTCTGGCACCTTGTACATCGCCAGTGTGTGGTCGACCTGGACACACAGGATAAAGGGGAGCTCGGGGTGCGACACGGCACTGACGACTCCCTCCGCCTCGGCTTTCTCCGGCTGATCCTTTGTGAGCTCGCGGCCCGTGTCGGTGTCCCAGATCCGGAGGCAGCCCTTGGCGCCAGCAGAGTACGTCAGGCGGCCGCCGTCAACGAAACCAACGGCCTCGACGAGCTCCAGGCACGGCACGACCTTTCTAATCTTCCATGACCGCGCGTCCCACCAGATGATTGTCTTGTCTCTGCTGGCCGAGACGATGGCCTGCTGTTCGGGGGAGTAGTCGAGTCCCTGGACGCTGGAGACGTGCGAGTCGAGGCTGGCGACGGCGGCGCGCTTGTGAAGATCCCACACCCGTACTTTTCCATCCTGGCTACCGGATACCAGGCGCCAATTCGTCGTTGTCGACGTTGTCTCCTCAGTCTGTGTCGCCTTCTTCCCCTTCTTGCTTGCGTCCTCGTTCGACCGCGCCGCCACCTCGAAAAAGTGCAGAGCCGAGACGAGCACGCTCGGTCCGCGGAAGGTGTGCGTGACGTATCCGCCGGCAATGTCCCATACCTTGATCGCTCCGTCGGTGCCTCCGGTCGCGAGGAGGGTGCTCGTTCGGTCGACGGCGAGGACGACGACAGGGGTTCCGTGGGGTTTCAGCGAGCGCGTCAGCTTCGCCTCTATCGTTCCGTCTTCGGTGGTCTTGAGGGCGTAGATCTTCATCGCGAGCGATCGGGAGCAGATGATGAGGTGCGAGCCGGAGGGGGTCACTGTAGCTGTTAGTTGGTGGGTTCCGTCGGGTACAGAGTAGACATACGGGTCAGCGTCGAGATCGTTTCGCCATCCTGACACTTAAGTTAGCCATGCATCTCTACAGACGTCCCGGGGCGCATACTCCTTCAATCTTTGCCAGATGCTTCCCGTTGGAGGGGTTCGTGAGGATGGCGTCCTCGCCGAGGGGCGTTGCGAGAATCTTGGCGCCATTGTCCAATGCGACGGAACCGCCGGTGAAGATGGGCCGTATGACCCGTTCGGGCTCGAATGTTGTCTTGAGGGGCTGTTTGCTCGCCATCTTGTCAGTCTATCGAAGCGGTGCAATCGGTCGCGACATGCGGCAAGCAGCGGTTCGTCCCAGATTTTTTTTTTTTCGTCTGGCGGGATGATGCTTATCGATAGCGTTATCTTATCGGATCCGCTTTCGTGCAGGAGCTCCCGTCTCCAAGACCACTTCAAGCCTGGAGCTTGGGATCATCTGCGATTGCAGACTTGCACCTTCAACTTGTGGATTAATTCTAATCTACCCAGACGATCTAGAGTACTCTCTCAAACCGTCCCATACCGCCCATGGGCCATCCACCCACCTCTCAACATGACGAGACTCGGTCCATTGACCGCGCAGGCCTTGGTACGATTGTCCCCAACCCACCCCAAACCTCACTAACGTCCCTAGGGCCGCTCGCCATTTGACGATGTGGTCGACGGCGAAGGTGAAGACGACCCGCATGCGCCGACCCAGCAGTACGATAACCGCGGACGACCGGTCAACCCCGAGACGAAACGGATGAACCGCGACATGGTGCGATCACACAACGAGGTGATGCAGGTCATTGGCGTCGCCGAGCCGGACAACACCCCTTCCACCGCTGAGGTCGATTCGGTGCGACGATACTTCAACTACGAGGATGCGGTGGGCACGCGGCTGCTGCGGTTCGGGCGCGCGCTGGAGATTGCCGGCGTCTGGGGTATCAACGGCATGCGACTGCGCATTCTCCTGTACAGACGCTACGCCGACATTTCCTTCTTTGAGCTCTTCCAGCACGAGCGAAGCCAGCGGTCGATATCGTCCGCTCTCATCACGGGTCTGCCGACCTTCCTCGGCGGTCATGTCTTCAAGATGGCCACCTACTGGTTCTACCCATTCCCGAGGAAGAACAAGTTTGTCAACACCGCGCTGTCGTACATCCGGGTGCACCTGCAGCTGTATGTGTTCCTGCAGAGGCTGGACATTATCCCGTCTGCGAGATGGTTCCCCTCGTTGAGCTTCTTCATCCCGGGGTCGCCCTCGTCGCCTATCGCAGCGCCGGCGCCACCCAAGGATTTTAGCGTGTCGTCTCTGGTGCAGTACGCCGGCGCGTGGTGTGTGAACTCGATCCCCTTTGTTTCGTACGTCATCTGGGGTCAGATCTGGACCGAAGTCACTGGCCACCTGTGGCAAGAGTTCTACGGACGACTGCCGAATACTGTGCACCACCGCAAGCCTCCGCCCCCGGCGCCTCCACTTCCGCCGGTAACAATCCCGGAGACCCCGGAGCCGGTGCCCGACGTGGACCGGCCACAGCCTGAACCTCTCTCGGAGCTGAGGAGCGAGGACATCCTCGAGGACATACCCCCGGAAGCCGAACCTAGCGACACACCACCCGTTCAGGCAGTGCGCCGACCAAGCGCCTTCTCAGCTCGGGGAGAAGACTACGGTAGCGACGACGAAGAGGACGGAGGCATCAGCGCGACGCTCATCAGTTTCGACGTGGAAGCAACGGACTCGACCGATGCGCCTCCTGGGCTTTGGTCCGCCGAGTTGCGACCAAGCACGGGTCCCGAAGGTTCCGGGTACGGCGCCGCGATTCAGTACATGGACACCATGCTGACCAGGCTGCCGGCGTGTCTCGCGTCAGACATCTTCACGGTGATCTCGGGCTACGTCCTGGTCTCGCCGTACGAAGCCGTCGCCCTCCGGCTGGTGGCAAGGTCCTACCGCGAGAGGATGGGTCTGCCCACCTTTGACATCCACGACACCAACATCTTTAGCGGCATGACGCTGCGGGGCGTGACCAACTTCCTCGGGCTGGAGTTCTTGCACCTGGTGATTGCGGGCGAGCTGTGGGCTCTCATCACGGGTCTCGCGCAGTGGTTCCACATTACGGAAGAGGAGTGGAAGCTGTGGAACGAGATTGAGGAGGCCGAGGCCGCGGAGGAGCGGAGGCGTCAGGGGCAGATTTGAGTGTGGGATGGCGTTTGTGTAAGGTCATTGGGATGGTTTGGCGTCTGGCGTATGCAAAACAAGATACCTCAAGCACAGTAGTCTTTCAACTGGAGTGTTCGTAACGTTCGTAAATTTGGGGGTATCAACAGTACGTAGGAGTTCCGACAGCTGCATCATCTCTTCTGCTTGCCTTTGCCCTTCCTCAGCTTCTCCGCCTTTTGCTCCTCGACGAAGCCGCGGACAATGTCGAGCAGGTCCGGGTTCTTGCGGGCCAGCAGGACGACGTCTTCCGTGTGGACCGTCGATCTCCGCGCGTGCCGGCTGAAGCTCTCTAGGTCGGTGGCCACGGATTCTGGTGGTTTGTCAGCACGGAGGAAGTTAAAGACACAGCACCTCTTGGCTAAAGCTCACCGATCTGGGCCCAGACCATTTCGGTCAGCGCGCCAATGTACTGCGGTGTGGCGTTGCAGTTCTGCTTGATGGACTCCTCGTCGACGATCTTGCCGACTGCGAACCAGAGGGCGGCCTTGAGACGCTGGGCAGTTGTTAGTAATGTTTCGTTTGGGGATTGGACACGAGAGATGGGTACCTCGCGCTCGTCTTCGTTGGACATGTCTGCCATCTTGACTTTCCCACTTTACGCGACGGACGCGTCGCGGGGTTCTTGAGGGTATAAGGGAGTCTGAGGAGATTCAAGAATCACTTGGCCAGGTATGGTAGTCACGGCAGGTCGACACGCCAGCTCAGTCAAGGTTTCTTGCGAGGCACTCGGTATGACTATCTGTCGACGATGGCGGTATACTGCTCTGGGGACCTGGACATGTCGTCGGGGATCGAGAGGATCACATGATGTCGCGCCCCTTTCGTGAGGGTGATGACTAAGCGCTTCAGGCTTGGAGCCAGGCTCCCGCCAGCATCAGGGACACAGGGAGGCTACCATTCGCACTTAATCACACCAACAGTCTCAAGGTCTTTATCAATAGGCAGCTAAGGCATTGTGAAGAAAAGGCCTCTTAGCCACCAGTAGATTGACGCTGACAGAGTCCTCCGAAGCGTTGCCCGTCTGCAAATCCCTAGGGGATCACTTACGGAACGCGCTGTGACATCACTGGACGAGCCCCCTGTAGGACCCTGGACTGACCGCTGAGCCTCCACTGTCCGGCGAGCTTCTCCATTGCCGTGCTGACAATTGGCCACAGTTAGCGGGCTCCTTCAGGTGGGGTCTGCGCAATTTTGACCGCGCGGGCCGACCAGTTCAACGTCGCGATATTTTCTCTCGGCCGCGACCATCTTCGTCTCTGATTCCTTCTGCCGTCGTTGCTTCGAACGCTTCATCAGAGCCAAACTATCCTGCGTCCTCCGTCAATCATCCTACGTTCGATCATCAAACGAGCGCACTCGCGCAACCTCCAACCAAACGACACACCTACGGAAACCACCCCACCACCGCCAAGATGTCCGCCGTCATCAACCTCCTCAACACAATCTGGACGCGCTTCAGCACCAACCTGCGCGGCACCCTCGAGGGCATGTCCGCAGAGAAATGGATCCGCCTCGTCATCATTGTCGGCGCCTACTGCCTGCTCCGCCCTTACCTGATGAAGCTGGCCGGCAGCTCGCAGATGAAGCAGCACGAGACCAAACCCGAGGACGAGTTCGACGGGCCCAAGGCAAAAGTGCAACCCAACACGCTGCGCGGGCAGGTGGATATCCCCGAGGACAGCGACGATGAAGGCACGAGCCAGGCCACGGGCGCGACGACGTCGACCGACTGGGGAAAGAAGGCGCGCAAGAGGCAGCGCGACGTGCTCAAGAAGATGATTGACGCCGAGGAGAAGAGGCTTGCTGAGCTGCAGGAGGACGACGAGGACAAGGACATTGAGGAGTTCTTGGTGAAGGAGTAGGGGGTGTGATGGGTTGGAGCGGCTGGGGATGGCGTTTGGGCTCTTGACGGTTGATAGCATCATTAATACCAATGTCGGTGCCTCTGTCTATGGAATGTGTCGTCGTGATGGAGCATTTGGTCATCGTCTGGGAGAGATTCTGGAGCATGGAATCGTCGATGGGATGCCACACGATGTCTCTCGCACTTTTGGCCTGTCGATGCGACGATTCAGGCCCAGAAACCCAAAGGATGGTGCCCGAGAATGACTCTCTGAATGCCATCAGGTTCCACCCATCGACAGTGACACCGTTCTCGGCCTTCCAGTGCTTTGTTTGCTATCTCCTAAAGTCATCCTGGTCGCGCAGTCATCAGAGACCCAAATCTCTGGTCAGCTTCATCGCCAGCGCTGGAGAGCCTCGTCAATCTGGCGACCTTGCTGACCACGGCCACGCTAGGACCAGCTGTCCGAGACAGGGATGGTAGTTCCACTAAACTTTCGTCCCCTGTGACCTCCACTTGACCAATGCACCTCGACTGCACCTGCTCCGAGAAATCGACTTTCCAAACGCGTCCCACGGATCAGGATCCAAGAATCTTTCTTGATCATCACCAGCATTTTTTGGCCCAGCTTCGCCCGTTGGATGGCAATTGCGGCACCAGCGACGATACTCAATTGATTGCCCCTCACTGAGCGCTTGATTGCACCGGCTCAACAAACACATGCGACGAACCGATTGCGACAAACGCCAGGCGCAACTGCGAGATGGCTTCCGCACTCCCAGCGGCCATGGCTGCTGCCTCATCCATTGACCCGGCCGCGGCGACATCGACCGACTCCCCTCCTGCCTCCAAGAAGTTCAAGGCATCCGACCTCCCCCTACCATCCGCAACCCGAGCCGCCATCGAATCTCTGGCGCACAGCTTCAAGAAGAAGGGCGGATACGACGCCATTCGCAAGGAGGTCTGGGACAAGTTCGCAGCGAGCGTGAGTCTCTTCTGGCATGTACTCACGTAACGAAGACTGACCCGCGCAGGATTACGAGGCCCAAGTCACGAAAGCCATCCTCGAGGTGGCCGAACAGGAAGTCGAACGCAACCCCGGCCAGCTCCTTACCCTCGACCGAGGCAAAGCTGCCGCACTGATTGACGGTGCTCTCGAGCGCTCCGGCGTCTACCAAAAGGCAGAGCAGGTCATCACACAACTCATCGACAGGGCGTCCATCGAGGAACGCATGCGGCAGCTGCGCCGCGCTGACATTGGCGAAGACGAGGCTGCGGCAGAGCAAGAGCGGGGAGCCAAGACGGACGAAGACTATCACGCAGAGACGTTGGCGAAGCAAGCTGAGCGCGAAAGAGTTCGGGAGGAGCTGAGACAAAAGGAGGCCGCCATCGAAGAAGAGAAACGCAAGATTGCGCGGGAAGAGCGCAAAAAGGTTGAAAAGGAACGCGAAAAGGCCGAGGAGAAACGCAAAGCCGAACGAGACGCCAGACGGGCTGCCAGAGAGAAGCTGCAAGCAGAACGCGAGGCCGAAAGAGAAGAGCGCCGCCGCCAACGAGACAAGGAGCGGAGCCGGGAAAGGGAGCGCGACCGCGACCGAAGCCGCAGTCGCAGCCGCAGCCGCCGCAGAGATAGAGATCGCGACAGAGACCGTGATCGGGACCGCGACGAGCGCGACCGCGAGCGTAGGGAAGAGAGAGATCGCAAGCGCAAAGAGCGGCACGAAGAGACCGAGGAAGCCAAGCAGAAGCTTTCCCAGGAGCAGCTCGAGAGACTCGAACAGGAAGCCCTTGCGGACCTCCTCCGAGAGAGCAAACGCAACACGGCAAAGCAACCCGAACTGGAGATTGACGAAGCGCTGGCGCCACCTCCTAGGAAACTGGCTCCCGCGTCTGCCATCATGCCCTTTAAGAAGGTTGCCTCCTCGCGAGACTCGCAAAAGGCCGCAGAGCCGAAGAAGGCGGTAGAAGTGAAGAAGGAAGCTCGGGATGCCAGCGTCACCGCGACACCAAAAGCCGATGCACCAGCTGTCAAGGCTAGAAGCCGCAGCCGGTCACAGGCGACTGTCAAGGACCGCGAGAAGGACAAGGAGGATGACGATAGACGACGTACGCGAGATGATGACGACCGCCGCAGACGTGATCGTCGGTCTAGGTCTCCTCGACCGCGTGATCGATCTCGCGACAGACGTGACAGATCGCGGTCGAGAACCCGGCGCGATCGCAGCAGGTCTCGTCGACCCGAAAGGCGGGAGAGGACCCCCTCGCGCACTCGATCCAAGACGCGCCGTGACCGAAGCAGATCTCGCACACGCCACGACCGCCGTGACAGGAGTCGGTCTAGGTCTCGCGATCGGAGAGACCGTGTTCGCGACAGGCGAGACCGCAGTCGCTCACGGCGCCGCGAGAGGAGTCGGTCACGGGTTCGCAGAGACCGCAGCCGGTCTCGTGTGAGGGCCGATCGCCGAGACAAGTCGCGTTCCCGCTCTCGGACCCGCCGAAGCAGGTCTCCACGGCCTGACCGGCGCGAGTCGATTCGTCGTGACCGCAGCCGCTCTCGCCCTCGCCGGGATCGCTCTTCTGATCGAAAGCCCTCTGAGCGCGATCGCAAGAGCCGATCTCGCTCGAGACATCTTTCTCCCGTGGTGCGATCTACTCCCCGGCTGGAACGCGACAAGGACGAAAAGGAGGCCACCAAGATGGTCGAGGTCCGCAAGCGCGAAAAGGAAGCCAAGGCGTACCTTGCCGCACAGCGCGAGGCTCGAGAGAAGGGCATGCCGGTTCCCGGAATCGACGATAAGAGAAGCACGGGGGATCGCTCGCCCGAAGCGAAACGCAGGCGAGATCTGGATGAAATTGATCGGTATGTGCCCCCCGGCAGAGACCGAGAGCGGCCCCACGACCTGGCACGGGATGACGAACGGCGTCGGAGTCGCTCGCGCAGCAAAGATCGCGAGCGGGACAAGGACAGAGACCGCGCCAGGGACAGAGATCGCGATCGTGACAGGGACAGAGATCGAGACAGGAGAGACAGAGACCGCGATAGGGATCGGTCGAGAGATCGCTCTAGAGACCGACGGGACCGGGAGAGGGCCAGGTCGAGAGATCGGGATCGGGACAGGGATAGGGACCGTGATCGTGACCGCGACCGTGACCGCCGCAGCCGGAGAGACCGCAGCGTCTCGTCGCGGAGGGATAGACGGGATCGAGACCGGAGCCGGAGCCGCCGAAGGAGTAGGAGTCGCTAGTTGCCTCTGCGCCCGGCGGGAATGGTTCGTTTTGCCAAGGAGGGTTAATGGGATGGGACTGTGAAAAATAGGGAGGGTACGGCATCGGGTCGTCTCGCGTGAACAGGGGTTATGGAACATTATCACATGGCTCACTGGCATAGGGCTGGGACGAAGGCATCGGTAGCATCAGTAGCAACAAACGCACAGTGATAGCTCTCGGGGTTGTTGTCTCAAAGTGAAGCTCGCCTTTCCTGTAGAAGGATGTCATCAGCTGTGGCGGACATACGGCAGTTCCGTATCTGATGCGACCGCCGCCGATCCACAACTCTCCATAGAAACACGGCGCCGAATAACTCCACAAAAGCGGCTTCGGTCCGGACAAGCGACCGGAGACCCGGAACAACAGGGATCCCAATTTCCAGACCGCCCACGCGGCGTGTAGCTGTCATGGACTCACGGGTATGGAAACGCGACGGGCGGCGTATCCGAGGGACCTGGAACCCTGCACCATCCTGCCTACGCTTGCGCCGCCAACGCCAACGCCAACGCCTCCACAGAACCTGGGTTGGAAGGCAGAGATGATGGACGCGAATGCCCTCTTTCCCTCCCCCTTCCAGACTACGATTTCTCGGACAGCCGCGAGCTAAACCAGTCCTTGAGATCTTTTCAGATTCCCAAAATTGCCAGATTCCAGTTGAACACAAAAACTCGAGGCGTTCGGACGACAGCGAGCCAGCTAGCATGACTCAAAGACTCTTACGCACAGTCTGCTCATCTGCTCATCTGCCCATGGCGAGATTCGGGCAGAACTTTTCGCTTTCGCGAACCTTTTTCGCGAAAGCCCCATTGTCTGCTCCTTTGACGCGTAGACGATTCAAACTTTCCTGCCGCAAATTGACCCCCATTTCCAATCAACCCCGTCGGGAAACTTACACGTCGTGCCATCACCGCCAGCTTGAAGGCCTGACAAGGGTGCAGAACCCATTGCGGCATTCCCAAACGTGCCAAAGCCTTCATCCGCGGCAGTTTCGAATATCGTAGGTCTATAGCTCTCTCCAGTTCAATATGGCCTCCCTCTATGCTACACTGCTACCCTACACCCCCAAGATAGAGAATAGCAAAAACTCTGATAAGCCCACCGAGCTTCCAAATCCGTCCGGCGTAGCAATCATTCCCGGTCCCTCGAGCCTCAGCAGCCTGGCACCGCTCTCACATTAAGGTTTCCCAAAAACGCACTATAGTAAGCAACCCCCTTCCCTGAATAGACTCACGCAGCCACGCCATCACAATGAACAAACGTCCAGGGTCCAGCCTTGCCACCGTTGGACCCAGCAAACCAATAGCGTTGCCGGTGGGCGGCCCTGTTCAGATTGCCAGAGATCTGTACGCAACAGTGTTTGGGCAACGATTTGACAAGCCAGCCAACCAGCCCCAAAACCACGTCTCAGAAAAGGTCCCGGCGGTTCCGTCTGGGGAAACTCTATTCTAGCTTCGCGCAAGTCGCAAACGTCCCCATCTGAACTTTGTTCCACGGAGTGCTCCGGTTTCTTCGCGCAAAGTTGCCGGCGGACACGCAATTTTGCATGACAAGTCCGCTGTGCGCGCGCAGCTTCACTATTCTCACTTAGGCACTTGGCATGCCGCCTAGAGGGGCTAACCCGAAGATGGCGCCACGAAATTTATATCCTTAAGGCAGGTGCGTAAAGCTTCATAGTTTGATGAAGATGGGCGGCCGAATAGATTGGAATGCCGCGAAATTAATGGTACAAAAGAAGAAAAGACGGAAAGAAAAATAATGTCTCTGTAGGTCCCTCCCGCGGGAACACAGGTATCCAACGCCCCAAACGCCTGTAGTCCAAGTCCTGCCCACGCACACGGCACCTAAGCCGTGGGCGTTGAGGTGGCCTTGGGGGTGTAGTCCCTAAAGTTGGCATTGAGCGGATCGCGGTCCAGCAGGTACTTGAACTTGTCCGAGTTCTTCTTGACGTAGTCTGGCACGTCGTGGTTCTCCTCGATGCGGTCAAAGTTGGACTCGCCTCGGCCGAAGCTGTGTCGTGTTAGTCAGAGTCATCCAAAGTCAGCAGACAGACTTACATGTCGTGACCGCGGCGGGCCACGGAAACAATCCAGTCGGGGTCCTTGAACTCGGGCTTGTTGAGCTCGGCGTGGGAGAAGGAGTTGATCTTCTGGGCCATCTCCTCGACGGTGCTGAAGCAGTAGCTGCAGTGCCAGCCGCCCTGGTTGAAGTGGTGGTCGTTTGCGTTGTGGCGGAGGTCGTGGGGGAGGACGGTGTCGACGCCGCGGTAGACGGTGGCCTGGGGGTGGTTCCAGTCGTTGCGGGAGAGCCACTGGTAGGAGTAGTAGTAGATCTTGGAGTGGATGGAGACGCGGGGCGGGATCTCGCAGTTGCGCAGGGCGCGGAGGACCTCTGGCTTGGGGATCTCGTCGACGTCGGAGACGATGAGGATATCGTCAATGGAAGCCTGCTGCTCGCCCTCGAGCGTGGGGATGACCTGCTCGTACATGGCGTTGCGGCTCTTGGCCTCGCGGTCCCAGGTGCTGCTCTCCTTGAGGGCCTCGAGGTCCATCTCGCGGAGGATCATCTTGTGGTGCCACGGCTTGAAGAGGTCCCAGTTCTCCTTGATGTACAGCGGCTTCTGGTTGTCGGTGAAGGTCAGGGCCGACTCAAGAATGACAAAGTAGTCAACGTAGGGAGCCATCTGTCCGAGGCGGACCTCGAGCATCTCGACCTCGGTGTTGATGAGCAGCAGGTCGTACACCTTGCGCTTGCGGACCAGCTCCGCGTTGGCCGGCTTCAGGCGGAAGTGGTCACAGTACTCGACGGCCTTTGCGGGAGGGAGGACCTCGCTGTTGCCTGCTTTGGCAAGGCCATCGTAGGGCGTGCTGTTGGGATGTGTGATCTTGCGGGCATGCTCGGCCACCTCTGAGTGAAGATCGAGACGCCAGACGAGCCAGATGAAAACGAGGGACGCCACCACGGCCAGATACTTGATCTGGTGACTTGACGATGGTTTGTTCATCATGTTGGCTGGGGTATAAGCACAAGTGACGAAGATGAAGGAAAGGATGCCCCGAGAGAAACCGCTCAAACCTTGAGCTGCAAGATGAACAAGACCACAGAGAAGAGAAGATGGGGAACGGCAAACTATCGGCCAACTCTTGCGAGCAGTGAAATAGAAAATGGGCGAGGTGAGGGGTACAAGCTGAACTTGTTGAACTCTGCGAGGGACACAAAGTCGGCTGGCGGTTGGCCTGAGCTCTCTCAGAGTTCAGTCTGAGTCGTCGGTCTCGAACGTTTCAGAGGACAATCCTATAAGTGTCTCGCCTCCGCTAAAAGGCGTCGTCCGTCATGCTTGTACATTTCTAAGCCCGCCGAGCTGAGGTCCGCCCTTTGATAGTCTGGACAGGGGTGGGCGTTAATTGCAGTGTTGGAACCCTTTGGGCCCTAGGGGCCATGCCATTCGAGAACGTGATAGCGGGAATGCAATCACCGAACGCAGTGCGGCGTGCCTGTGGCGGACAAGGCGATGCCGCGATTGACGCCAAGATGGGCCAACAGGCAGCCCAACAGACAGCCGCAGGAACGTGTAGACCCGCGATGGCACGAGATGATCACGACGGTGTCCATATGTAGACGGGACGAGCGGACGGCTAAAGGGAGGTTGACGTGCATCAGACCTTGGGACGAGCATCTTGGGCGGCACTGGCACGCAGATGCTATTCGCACGCATACTTCCGGCAGGGAGGGCGCGCCGCTGCAGTGCGAATGTCCTCATCCAAAGCCGATGCAGGGGGCGGCCATGCCAGCTTGGCGGCAAGATAACGACGGTCGACACTTGTCAAGAATCCCTTGATCTGCCCTAGCACGCCTAGCCTTCCGGTCGTCTGGGTATGGTTTGTGGACCATTGCCTATGGTCCATGGACCGAGCCCTGTGGTTGCAAGCGGGACGGTACGGGATCCTCGGGGAGCGAAGTACCCCTGTCCGAGGTCTTTGCTCGCCGTGAGCAGAGGTGGGCTTGCAGCTGGAGAGCAAAAGAAAGAGAGGCGGCGAGTCACAGGCCAGCGTGGTAGACTGGGCTTGCAGAATGGCGGGCGCGCTTTGTGATGATTTGGTGTTGTGTTCTGAACACATTTCGGCGGTGGCCCGAGATGTCTCGATTGACGTTCCGCTAGTTTGATGATGGGCCTCACGAATCGCCCATCTACTCGTGGACGGTCTCCAGCGCGGTGGACAAGTACCACGCGACGACAGCCCGCAGACAAGGCCGGTTCGACAAAGAGAAGATGGCCTGTAGTGCAAAGCAATCGAAAGCGTCGTCGGCATTGGGTTTCCCTTTGGTTTCCCTGGAGTTACACAGCACGCGTTGGGTATTCTGTCTTGGATCCGAGAACCGGGTCGAATTGTGGTGGCAGCCAAGGGAGTTGCGTTTTCTCCCGCATTCCGTTGGTGTTGGAATGCGGATACCGAGCGATGAAGCATCACATCGTGGTTGACGATGGTGTTGATGGGCGAGAAGCCGTGGGTGATGCAAGGGAGCGTGGGGGAGATGAGGCCACTAGAGAGCTTGGCGGGCGCCTTTGGCTTTTCCAGCGATCCCTTGGTTACACAAATCGGTTATGCAGAAGGTGGACAAGACATCGTGCCTGCCGTTTTGTGCAACCTCGCTTGGTGTTGCTGGTGCTGCTTATCTAAGATGCTGACCTAAGGTGTACTTGTGTCATGTACCTCTGGATGCACCATGGCACCATTGATGGCACCAATGCAGGAGATGGAGCCAAGTTTTATGCTTCCCCTGGCCTCTGAGCTTAATTAAAACATGACAAGCTGCGAGCAGCAACAGACGGCCAACGGCACAGGCAGCGCCCCAGCACCAACTCGTCAATCCGCTGCATCGCGGGGCCGAGCCAACAAACTTTCCCCTTGATTGCCTTCTGTCAATTCCATGTGTACGGACTCTAGAGAAGAGGCTAGAGGTATTTCCCCTTCCCTCGCGTTACACGACCCCCCTTGGCTCGCCGTTGTGTCTTGCATTGTGCCTTTGTCTCGCCTTGCTAAGTCCCAGGTCCGCCGGCACTCATCTCAAGCTTTCGCTCCTGGACTTCTTCCCCCTTCTGATCATCACCACAACTCCCGCTGTCCAACTCTCCTTTCCTCATCCGAACACCTCCACTCTCCCTTGGTCCCCTGAAAGCCTCGAGGCAAATTGCCTGCCACAAGGTTCATTTGCAAATTCCATTGCACGCACTTTGCCGACACGTTGCTCTTTCGAGTCTTCTCTGCAGTCTACTCTGCGAAGTAAGTCCAAGGATCAAGACCGACCACATCCGTCCGGACACAATACCTCTCCGGGCAATTAGCAACTCGTCAGTGAACCGGCCGTAACTGTGGCATCTACAGCTCCATCATCTTTGCGACTGCCAGAAACCAGACCGCAACCAACATCTCCAAACTGCACTGCAACCAACGTCAACTCTCGCAACTCCAACACTCCAACTAAAGACAAAAGACAGGGGTCGCTCCCTCCACGTGCCGGCCGCCCGACTTTAGCGCCTCCTCCCCAAAGCCCCCCTTCTCCGCCAGCCTTTTTCAGGCCCAGCTACGACCGGTGGTCAGCCCAGTCCAATAAGGTGCCGTCCTATTTCGTACCATCGCCAGGTACATTGCAGCCAGCAGAAAATACGAGAAAACCCGCTGCGGAAGGGGGCTCGTTGACACCAAAGGACCTCGAGGTACGGAGTACCAGGCACCAGTCCAGCAAACGGCGCAGCGCTTCAAACATCCGCCTGCCGCCACACACCTTGCAGTCTTCACTTTCTCTTCCTTCGTTTCTCTCTCCGTGCCACTCTCGCTCTCGCCTCTTTTGTCACCTTGTTGACCTGCAAGGTGGTTCGCATTTTGCATCCTCCTCAACCTCCATCTTTTCTTCTCTCGTCTTTCCTTGTCGCTGTTCTGTCGCGTCGCTGCACTGCATCTCTCATGCCTTCCGTCTGACGCAACTTGCAACAACCCCCATCCTTTCCTTCCCCCCGAAGAGTCCGGCCCACCACCGACTCCAGTCCCGTCGTCCGCCCGCCGTCTCCGTCGCCGTATCCTCCGATCACCCGTCGCTTGGCTTCTTGACTTTGTTGCTTGTCACCCCTGTCACAACACCATCACCGCGCAACCATGAGCGAGCTGCCGACCACCGAGAAGCCCGCGGGCTCCAAGGCTCTTCACCCAGCCTTCTTCATCGCGTGCGTATCCCCGTCCTCAGCCTCGCCGGGCCTCACTAACACCTTGACAGAAGCTGGATCTTCTTCTCCAACTTGACCATCCTCTTCAACAAGTGGCTGCTTGACACAGCCGGCTTCAGTAAGCACCTCCCAGTCCATCACGTTGACCGTCACTAACCGCCCACAGAATACCGTACGTCTCACCAACCAACCCTCACTGCTCCCCACTAACATGCTCCAGCCGTGATCCTCACCTTCTGGCACCTCGTCTTCTCCACCCTGGCAACCCAGGTGCTGGCGCGCTTCACCTCCCTCCTCGATGGCCGCCACAAGGTCAAGATGACGGGCCGCGTCTACCTGCGCGCCATCATGCCCATCGGCGTCCTCTACTCGGGCTCCCTCGTCTGTTCCAACCTCGTCTACCTCTACCTCTCCGTCTCCTTCATCCAGATGCTCAAGGCCGCCGCCCCCGTCGCCGTCCTCTTCACCAGCTGGATCTGGGGCGTCGCCGACCCCTCCATGAAGACCTTTTACAACATCCTCCTCATCGTCGGCGGCGTCGGCCTCGCCTCCTTTGGCGAGATCGAGTTCTCCTGGATCGGCTTCATCTTCCAGATGGGCGGCATCATCTTCGAGGCCATCCGTCTCGTCATGATCCAGGTCCTGCTGAAAGGCGACGAGAACGCCCAGAAGATGGACCCCCTCGTCAGTCTCTACTACTACGCCCCCGTCTGCGCCGTCATGAACTTCTTCGTCGCCTGGTTCAGCGAGTTCAGCAAGTTCAACGTCGAGGACTTTAACAAGGTCGGCTTCACCATGCTGCTCCTCAACGCCAGCGTCGCCTTTGCCCTCAACATCTCCAGCGTCTTCCTCGTAAGTGCCGTCTCTATAGTCCATCGACCCCTGCTAACAATCACAGATCGGCAAGACGTCGGGCCTGGTCATGACCCTCACCGGCATCCTCAAGAACATCCTCCTCATCGTCGTCTCCGTCCTCATCTGGCACACCAGCATCACGGCCCTGCAGTTCATCGGCTACGCCGTCGCCCTCTTCGGCCTCGTCATCTACTCCACCGGCTGGGACCAGCTCAAGGCCTCGAGCGCCGGCGCCATCGCCTGGTCCCGCGGCGTCTGGAACTCCCACGCCCTCGACGAGGGCCGCCTCTCGCCCCTCCTCCGCCGCGCCATCTTCTTCGGCCTGCTCACCCTCATCACCCTCATGGTCGTCATGGGCTTCGCCTACAAGGGTGCTTCTGCGCCGGCGGACTGGTTTGCCAAGACGAGCGCCGTCAGCGCCTAGTTGTGTGGACTACTTCATTTTTCCTTTTTCCATCATCAAAGCCTGGAGTTTTGGGATAGCGCGTTGTGTACAAAAGAGAACATTGGGATCAGAAAAATCTGTGACATTGGATGGAGGAAGGGAGTGTTGGGCTGGCTTTTCAAACGCGCGGGTTTTGGGTGGTCTTTGGGTCTAGGCCGCCCGGTGTTGTAATATTGTATATCACGAGCAGCATGCATCACAGGCACAGCTTTAGAATACATGATCTGAACGACGTGCCTCCTATCTCTAAACCCGCATGACAAAGTAGCGTCTGCCGACTAGAAGCAGCATCGCGATCCATTGACCTATCACAAGGTTCGTAACCTGCAGCCAAGGCTTACTAAACTATGGAGCTCCATCCCAACGACCGCCCATCTCGCAGATCGCGTGTCATTGAATTCGCGCGCCTCGGAAGAAGCCCCTTTCCTTAACGACATCAAGAGACAGAAGCGACCAAACCAAGCGTTCCATCTTCAAGTCCCAAGACCAGTCCGTCAAGATGAACTTTACATCCACCCTCCTAACCACCCACAAATCCCTCTTCCACACCTCCACAACAGCAACCTTCCTCGCCGCCGCAGCCCGCGGCAAGGTACCCAAACCGATCCTCGGCCGCTGGCTCGCAAACGACAGGCTCTACATCCACGCCTACATCAAAGGCGCAGGCCGCTTCCTCGCGCAGCTGGATCTCCCTGACGTCGTCGAGCCTTCTTCCCATCACGATATCTCCGGTCACGATGCCGGCTCTCCCACGGTGACGAACAAAGCAGCAGACAAAGCGACGGCACCCGTGACAGAACGACTCCTCAACTGGCTCGTCGACGCGCTCGTCAACGTCCGCCGCGAGGAGAGATTCTTCATCGACGTCGCCGCCCGCTTCGGCATCGACGTCAACTTACCCGCCGAGCCCGCTTCCGAGAGCGGCAGCAGCAGCACCAACCGGCGGGTGAAGGACGAAGACAAGAACGCAGGCCTCCTCGCCTTCGAGCGCCTCTTCACCTCTATCGCCACCACGCCTCCTCGCGGTGTCCTTCTCCCCTGGCTCGCCCCCGCCGTCCTCTTCTGGGCGACGGAGAAGTGCTACCTCGAAGCCTGGTCCGGCGCGAGGAACATGCTTCCTTCGTCTGGCTCCGATATATCTGCCCCTGGTGCCTCTGGAAATGACACGGCCTCGGACTTGGACGGCGGCGCCCTACGAACAGAATTCATCCCCAACTGGAGCAGCTCGGCCTTCAGAGCGTTCGTAGACGAGCTAGCCGCCATCATCGACGACGGTGTCGACGAAGCGGTCCGACTACACGGCGAGGAGGCCGTCAGGAGCGAGATCGATCAGGCTAGGGTGACGTGGAGGGAGGTCCTACTGGCGGAAAATGACTTTTGGCCAGGGGAGATGGAGGAGGGTGGTTTGCGAAGGGTTCCCTCTGACTAAAAGACGCCTACGTTCATCACACATGCTTCAGCATCACGGCACGGCCCTCGCATCCAGATATGCAGTAAATTAACTATGCCATTACCCGATCCCGTGACCCTAGCAGCCAGAGCATCCTCCAGCTCAGTATCCGCGCCGCGAGCGCATGGTATTACCGCGGAATCCCAACGCCTATCGCTATGCTATAAAACAACCAAGTGCAACAATGTTTCTTACACAGAGCCCATCAGACGGCAATCATCTGCGGTCCTCGCTCGGTCTGGTTCTCTCCCAGCTCGTCGTCTCCATCCCCCGGCAGCGGTACAGACCGCGCCTGCGAGACGTCTCCCTCGGCGACCGCCACCAAAGTGCCAGCCACCGGCATCTCGTTGTCGTCTTCGTCTGCCGATACCTCCTTCACCGTGCAGGTAAAGGCGGGCTTCTCGACCTTTGGCGTCTCTTCGTCCTCTGCGTCCATGGCGTCTGCATCCTGGACAGCCTCGACAGCAGCAACCTCGGACGAGGGGATAATATTGGGGTCGACACAGTCGTAGAATAGCATAAAGACATTACCCTGCGCCAGCAACTCCTCTTCGTCAACCTTGCGGAGCGTGTCGTCACTGAGACGCCACCAGTCCATCTCCGCATCATCGTCCAGAGTCTCCTTGGGCGAGACAACCTCCTCGCCATCACTCGGCGGCGAGTGTCGGGGGAACTTGCGGTAGCAGACGTAGTGCCCATTTTCGTGACGCCCATAGTGCGTGACGACGGCCCGCAGCTCGTATATCGGCCCGGTAATGAACGACTTGCGCTTGTCGCCGGCAATCATGGATGACCTTGGATCCAACAGCCACTGCTCCTCTTCCTCCAAGCCGTCAGTGGAACCCATCTTGCTGGCACTACCCAAACACCACGGGCCCAAGTCCAACGTCAGAGGGAACCGGATCCCCGACGAGTTCTTGTACATCATGCCAGTGTTCTCGTCAAACACGGACCTGTTCATGTGGACGGCGAGACTCTGCGGCGGGCGCGCAATGACGGCCTGTTTTGTCTTTGTCGACGAGACCTTGAAGTTTGAAGGAAACTTGCACTTTTCCGTGAGCGTCTTGTCCTCGAAGTCGTCCTCTTCCAGCGCCTCCTCCACGGCCGCCAGTCGCGACTTTGGCTCCTTGAGCTTCTGCTCGTCAGTGTACGACGCTTCCGCTCTCTCGACGAGGAGGGCCAGCAGTCTCTTGGCTTTCAAGAGCGTGCACTTTCCACACTCGACGCCCTCGATCGACTCAATATGGGCGTACGCGTCCAGCAGCTCGTACAGGTCGTGATCGTTGCCGCCCACATTCAAACTGAGCGTGAGGCAGTTGAAGGGAATCATGGACAGCCCATCAGAGTGCCCGCACTCGACGCAGGCCACCCGCTGGGCGACGAGCCCTTCGAGAGGGTTCCTCAGAGACTTGGAAGCCGCGCTAATCTTGGAGGCCGTCGAAAGACTCTGGTAGCCGCTGTCGTCGCTGTGCTGGCTCGTCGCGGTATCGTCGCTGGCGCAATCCGCCTCGAAGCCCGAAGACTTGATAGTCGCCTTGGCCACCTTGGCAATCTCCCTGTCCACCTCGTCGAGCAGCTTTGAAAAGTATTCCTGCGCATCCTGCTGCTGCCACGTGCTCATGTTCTTGAGCGAGCCTGGCGTCCATAACGTCTTGCCGTAGTTGCTAGCGCTGTTGAGGTCCTCAATCAGGTTCCGCAGCGTGTCGACGGCCTCGACTTTCCGGCGGTCAATCTCGGGGTCCTGGACGGGGTCGGCCAGGTACTTTGGAAACGGCTTGAGCGAGGCGAGTCCCTGGAGGATGCTGTTCTGGTAGCACGAGTTGTCGAGGTTCCCCAGGCCCGGCGGGTAGTTGCTGGAGCCCTTGAGGCTCATCATGGCCCCGGAGACGGACGACAGCCCTCGAATGCCGGCTTGCGAGACCGTCCCCATGATGCCTCCCTGTCTGTCCATGCCGAGAATCTTTTTCAGAAGCGCACTCTTGGCCGCATGTGTTCTGGCTTGGTTCTGGAGCATCGGTCGCGGAACGAGCGGCGGATGCAGCCAGGCTTCCAGAAGGGTCAAGGCGTCGTGGGGGATAAGCCAGACGATTACGTCCCAGAGGGTCCGAGAGGCGTGCGAGAGTAGGGTGGTCGGAAGGGAAGCGCCGAAAACAGAGACGAGCGCTGTGAGGACGAGAGCAATGAGGGACACGACGACGCTCGGCTCCGTCAGCCTCGTCCAAATGGTCTCGTCGGCGTGAAGTCGTCGGTGGTAGTCGGGTCCGCCGTAGTGCTTGAATGCGGGAGAATTCATAGTGCTGTGTTACGGGTGCTTGTGGAAGTGGGAGCTTCAGGCGAGCTTCTGCAATGCTGTATCGGAGAGGCCACGCGCTGCCATGTCGAGAAGGCGATTCGAAAGGTGTCCAGTCGTGGCGATGCTCGCTGATTAAGTGGTGGTGGGTGAGTAAGGCTCTGGAATGTCTGCACGGATGGTGTTGAGGTGTCGCGGCAGTGCTAGGAGGAAAGATGCCAAAGTTGAGCGGGACCAGGGGTTCCACAGGGGCAACGCTGCGACAAGGATTGGTCAGAGGGCGGTCCCAAGGCTTGTGATCGCCCCGCTTATCGCGATAAGATAGCATGCAGGTCGATAAGGAATTTTATATCCCCCACACCGCGGCGAGTCTGGCGGTGCACTCTACACCACAGAACTCGATACGATCGCAAAGATGGCGAAACCGGGTGCATCCAAGAAGAACAGACGTGAGCCTGCCGTATCTGTTGTGTAGTGGCCTACTAACACAAGCAGAACCCTCGCTCCACTCGAGAGCCGCAAGGCGGGCGACGGACGTCGACATCGACACGGACAAGTCTCTCAAGGAAGTCAAGGCCCCGGCCGCCGCGACCGACTTCCGGCCGTCGGTCCTCAACGCCCAGCACAACTCTGGCGTGTCCAAGAAGACCAAGAACCGCAAGGCGCAGATGAGCGCCAAGGCCAAGGAGAGGAAAGAAAAGGCGGCGGACCGCGCCGAGGCCATCATGGGGCGGACCTCGACCAAGACGGAGAAGAGCAAGGACAGGGCGCGGAGGGTCCAGACGCGGAGCAAGCAGTGGGAGGACATCAACAAGGGGGCCATTGCGGCCAAGAAGTTCCCCGACGAGGAGGATTCCGAGGTGGAGCAGAGGCAGACGAAGAGCAGGACCGTCGAGGTGGCTGCTGGCAAGGGCTGGGAGACGGACGAGGAGATGGACGGCGCTGATGATGATGTCGCTGCGCCTGCGCCCGCGCCAGCTGCTGCTGTGTCGGCACCTCCCCCGGCAAACGACGATTTCGATGAGGAGATTTTGTAGTCCGTTGTCAGTTTCGGTTCAGGTTGCCCAGAGAGGTGGTCCTCGGGCTATGAGACTCATGATAGATACCCAATGATGACCATTCTGCATGCAGGTCCTTGAAAGTTTTCAAAGCCTCGACGCAAAGTGCGTGCCCATCTTTGTTAAGCCTCCTTGGACGTCTTGGAGGGGCCGAAAGCTCTGCGACACCGCCAGGTCCACTAAAAACGCTAAACTTACAGGGCCACCCAGCGGGGAAACACTTGTGCAGTTCCGTCAATCCGCCAGGGGACCTGAGGTGCCGTACCTTGCAGCCTCGATTTTCTGCCGGACGTCATCCAATTCACCGTCCACGACATCCACACAAACCACAATATGCCACCCAAGCGCATGACTGCGAACCCGGTCAAGCCGGGACGCTACTTCCCCGGCAAGGCCGTCCCCCAAGAGGACTCATCAGACTCGGACGCGAGCGATGACGAGAACACCACCGCGAAGGACGACGACACCAAGGCCCGCGCGATCAAGCCGCCGCCAAAGGCATCGAGCGCCGCCAAGATCGCCAGCAACCTCAGCAAAGTCAACCTCGACGAACGGAGGCGCGAGGCGCAGGACAAGGAGAATCAGAGGATAGCACGCGAAAAGGCGGAGCGACTCGCCGCGGAAGAGGGTTTCGTCACGGAAGAGGAGGAAGAAGAGGGAGAAGATGATGACGAAGGCGACGAAGAGAGCTCCAGCGAGGAGGAAAGCAGCAGCGAAGAAGAAGCCCCCCGCCGCCTCATGATCCGACCCAAATTCATTCCAAAGAACCAGCGCAACGCAGCAGCGGCAGCCACCAAAGGACAGCCGTCCACCAAAGACGACGAGACGCGCCAGGCAGAAGAAGAAGCCCGCCGCAAAGCCGCCGCCGACGCCCTCGTCGAAGAACAAATCGCAAAGGACCTCGCCGCCCGCGCCGCCGGCAAGAAGCACTGGGACGACGACGAGGCCTCGGGCTCCGACGTCGACACGACAGACGACCTCGACCCGGAGGCCGAACTCGCCGCCTGGCGCCTCCGCGAGCTCAAACGCGTCAAGCGCGAGCGCGACCGCATCGCCGAGCAGGAGGCCGAGTACGCCGAGCGCGAGAGGCGGCAGAACCTCACGCAGGAGGAGCGCGACGCCGAGGACGCGGACAAGATCGCCGCGCAGCAGGACGAGAAGGACGCCAAGGGCAAGATGTCGTATCTGCAAAAGTACTACCACAAGGGCGCGTTCTACAGCGAGGAGGCCAAGGCGTACGGGCTCGACAAGCGCGATCTCATGGGCATGCGGATCGCGGATGATGTCAAGGACCGCAGCGCGCTGCCGGAGTACCTCCAGAAGCGCGACATGACGAAGCTTGGACGCAAGGGCGGGACGAAGTACAAGGATCTCAAGAGCGAGGATACGGGACGATGGGGCGAGTTTGATGACCGGCGTGGCGGGGGTGGTAGTGACCGGAGGAGAGGTGGATTCGATAGGGATGTGGACGAGCGGTTCCGGCCGGATAATGACCGCGAGGTCAACGGTGCCAACGCCATTCCCTTGGGTGACCGCAAGGCGCCTTCAGGTGGTGGCAGAGGTGATCGTGATAGGTATCGCGATGATGACCGGCGCGGGGGCGACAGAGACGACCGGCGCAGAGACAGGGACGACTACCGCCGTCGCGATCGGTCGAGGTCAAGGTCGCCGCGCCGCGACTCGCGAGACGACTACAGGGACCGGCGGAAGCGCAGCCCGTCACGCGAGAGAGAGCGCTACGACAGCGACAAGCGGAGGCGCGTGGACTCTAGATAATATCACCGAAGAAGAAAAAGGCAGTGGTCGTCATTGCAAAATGTATTAAGAAGCGTATCCTAACCAGGCTCACTACGAGCGCATGCTGAATATACCCTCCCAACCAAACTCCGAGGCCCTGAAAGAAAACCCTTTGCCATCGTAAACGTCATAGAGGTGCGCTTCAAATCTTCTTAATCTCCACCCTCGCGCGCTCAAACACGCCGTGGCTCACCATGGCCGCGGACTGGCCCACGTCGGCCTTGGGAGGGAACAGCGTCAGGCGGGCGTACGTGCCGGCGCCGCGTCTCTTCGAGAGGTAGCCCGGGTTGATCACGAGGACGCTCTCGACGACCTAACATTGTCAGTATGGTCCCACAGTATACAGTCGACAGACTCACCTTGGCAAACGGAGGCAAGAAGCTGGGCGCCACCAGCACATCCGGGCGAACGTTGACCATCTCGCCCAGCTTCAAATAACTAAGATCCAGCATGGCACCGGGCGGGATGCCCTCCTCGGTCCCCGTCTTGGGCAGCTTCTGGCGGTCCGTCGGCGGGAAGAGCGGGAAAAAGTGCCTCTGCTCCAACAGGTACCTGCTAAGCCTCGACAGCAACGACGGATCCGCGGGGCGGCCGCCGACGAGCTCCTCGTGCCGCAGCTGCCAGAGCACATCCTGCGACGAGATGCCCATGACCATCTCGTTGACGGACAGCGTCATCGGGTTGGTGACGATCCTCGCCGTCTTGGGGAGGCCGAGCTCCTTCTTCAGGACCGAGTCTTGCGGCCACGAGACGTGCTTGTCGATGACGTCGCGCACCGAGGGGACGAGGAGGATGGTGATGCTGGGGTTGGCGGACACGAGGCGGTTCAGGGCCGGGGAGAACATGTACTTGAAGACGGTCGACATGGTGGCCGTGTCCGGCTCGATGACGGCTTCTTCGGGGAGGTCAAAGTCGCCCATCGCGATCAGAGGGTGCTCGCTGTCGATGAACGGCCCCGTCAGCACCAGCGCATCCGCGTACGTGTCGGCGGCTTGGTCGCAGAGGGCGTGCAGCGGCTCAAAGTCGAGGTTGTCGTCCGCCGTGTACGGACCGGAGGCGTAGAGAATGTTGAGGGGCGCAGGGTCCGAGTCAGTGTCCATGGCGTCCGGGTCGCCTCGCAGCTTCTCGCGGTGCGCAGCCAGTGCGGCCGGCGTCGACGCGGCATTCGGCAGCAGAGGCACCTCGAGCACATCCTCCACGACAAACTCGTTGCCCGAGGTGTTGATGCCCCTGAGTGCCACAATTTGGCCGGGAAAGAAGCTGTACCCCTTGTTGCGCATGTTCAGGGGCGCCCGCAGACCACCACCCACCCGCCTCGACATCTCCAGCACCAGCGACGCCGCGTTCAGCTTGCCCTCTGGCGCATCCGAGGCGATGCGTCCCACGGCAATCACCTCTGTCGTGCTCTGGCTCGCCGCGTTGCCGAACTCCGAAAAGTCCAGCTTGTGGTAGTCCTGGATGATGTGCATGAACTCGTCTATCCTGTCGTCGAGGATCTCGGACGCCTCTGACAGCTTCATCGCCAGGGGCTTGTACGCCAGCTTCTTCTGGTCTGACGCCGCCGTCAACTTGATGCGGGGTTCGGGGTACGGGCAAATCGGCGGCTCGGGAGCGTCGAGATGGTCGTTGAGCACTTCCACCGTCTCGCCGGCGTTCTGTCGATCGTTGAATGAGCTGGGTCTGCCATCGTCAGTGTCTGTGTGAAGGGTAGGGCCTGCATTCCTACAGTGACATTGCGTTGAGCTGCTCCTCCATCTTGGAGGCGCCCTTGTAGTCCGGCGAGCTCGAGGGGATCTCGGCCTTGACCCGCGACATCGTCGGCGTCTCGTGCGTCTTCTTGCGCAGACTGCTCGGCTTGTTCAGCCTCCCTGACGCCGGCGTGCTGGGCACCAGTCCATCCAGCATGCCAAAGACGTCGCCGCCGCCCCTGCCGGCTCGCGGGGTGCCGTGACTGCGCTTCTCCGTCTTGATGTGCGTCTGCTGTCGGTTGCTCTTCTCCAGTGCGTCTTGGATATCCTTTTTGAAGTTTCGCACGTGCACAATGTCGGGATTCATGGCGTCCATGTCCATCTTGATGCAGAAGGACTCCCATTTGTAAAAGAGGTCCTCGGCGGACAGGTCGTGCAGGCGCAATAGGGACTGCAGCTCGGTGAGAACATCAGGCTCAAGAGCCTTGTCTCCCGAGGTGAAGAACTCCTTCAATTCCGCTTCCGCCATTGTTTCTGCTGCTGTTGTATGTGCCGTAGAGTTGAGCGCCGGGAAGTTTGACGACGGAACATTTAGGTGGGACGCGACGAGCGCGTCTTGGTGGGATGGCGCGTAAAGTGTTGGCGGGGCATACAGTGTGGGGAAGTTGGCACGGTCTTGCAACGACACCTCCTGAGCTTCTTGCCCGCTAGACTCTTGGGTTCGATTCTTCTACTTGGATACCTGAACTGCTTCGCTACCACTCGCTGATGACATCCCCCCCATAGCTTTTACCAGACGATGTTCTTGCGAGCCCAGTCCTCCTGACGATCGGCCTCCTGCTGTGCCATGTAATCCTCCGTAGCCGTTCTGGCCATCCGAGACGGAGCGAACTTGACGACGGCCTCCGTGCTGACCTCATACTTAACGGTGCCGTCCTCGTGCTTGGTACCGAGGTCCGCCATGCCTCCGGTGAGCTGATCAAGGTAGGAGCGGTAGTTTTCGGACTTGCGGATGCTGCATCGGGTCGACTCCGACTCGGAGTGGGCGGTTAGGGACGACGCATCCCTGAAGTAGCGCAGACAGCCGGGGCACTGCAGCTTGGCGTTGTAGTGCGAGGCCGCCGACTTCATGTGGGTGATGAGGGCGCTGCTGCTAGGGAATGTCTTCCTGTTCTGGTGTCAGTATCTTGCCATGCGTGTAGGAAAGGGGCCACGAACTTGCAGGACGGCTGAGGACACTTGTACTTGCGCGTGAGGGTGTTGTAGTACTTTCTGGGGTCGAAGAGCCGGTGAGACGGATTGTTCACGTCGTCCACTGCCGTCTTCTTGCCATCGTCCGATTGCTGGATGTTCTCCAGGCTCTCGGTGACCTCCTTCAGATTGGGAAAGTCCTGGGGCTTGAAGAAGGTCGGATGAGCCATGTAGGCCTTGTCGTCGAAATCGGACTGTGCATCAACAGTGGACATGGCATCGAGGCTGGACTGCGCCTCGAAGGCGGACTGGACGCTGGGGTGGGACACGGGGAAGTAGTCTCCGAACTGGGAGCCGCTGCGCTTCTCGAGCTCATGGGAAAAGGTGAGCTTCTTCGCGCGGTTCTGATCGACGTCTGCGCGGCGAATTCCCGGGCAGTCGTCATGCTCGAGGTGTCTCATCCATCCGGCCAACCGGACAAACTTTGTCTGACAGCCGGGGCAGGTGAGGTTCTGCTCCTGAGGGTGTGCCTGTTGTCGTCAGTCCATGTTCAAGCTGGAGATCCGGTCGCACTCACCTCCAGAAGATGCTTGTTCAGGGCGTCCTGGCTGTTGAAGTCGCGGGTGCACACGGCGCAGTGGATGTGGGTTCCCTCGGTCAGCATCGCCATGCGCTTGTGTCCCATCAGCTCCTCGAAGCTGGGGAACCTTCTGTTGCAGACGCTACAGAAGACGGCCTCATGAGGGGCCGGCTTGCGGATCAGAGGCCTGCTGGACGTGCCGCTGGTGACAGACATGGTGATGATTTGGAGCGGTGGATTTGGAGCGGTAGGGATTTGAACGATTAGTTTTGCTGGGACAAAGGTGGCAGGTCTTGTAACGAAGATGGATCACTGAATATCCTCTGTGGCGGAGAGAAAAGATGGAAGAGATTCCGATGCCGCTGGTGGATTTTATAAGCGAGAGGGTTGGGCTGCGTGTTGAAGAGGAAGGAGGGACGTAGGCAGAAGGAAGGAACGAGTCACTTGGCCCCTATTCAACGTGGGATGCCCGTCTCCTATGATCGTGTCTACTTCAGTCGCCGGGACCAAACCCAAACGTCCTCTCTACAAGTCAAGGTTGGCAATGTCGTTTGTCAAGAGACACCGCGTATGCTTGGCAACCATGGTTGTCACAATGTCTATAGCTTCTTGGGTCCTATCTCTCGGCAAAGATGTGGGAGTATCTTCGCCATCACAAGGCACACCCACTTTGGACCATCAGGCGTTCTTTAGATATTCTGCTTACGAATAAGCCAGAAACATGGCCAAGCAGAGCCGAGTGGTGATACCGCGGAGACTTTTGGTCCTTCGATCAACAGACACAACATAGATCTTCAGCAAGTCGTAGCCCACAGAGCCATCATCAACAGAGAACAAGGCGTCCTCGAACATCTTAATAAGAGACTTAGTCTCTACAGAGGAGAAGTCGATGGAATTCTCGTGGGATATACGTGGGAGCCTCGGCCGAACCCCTTGCAGCTGGATCTTTCGTACGTCTCGTGGCCAGAGCCCAGAGCAAGAAGGAAACCAACGCAAGATGGAGAAATTGTCTACTGGAACGGTCAAAGATGGTATAGCTTTTTGGGGGCCTAGGTGGGTGCAATCCTAATGCCCCTATTCTGCGTCTCGTTCTCGCTAGTCTGCGTGGGCATCTCCAGAGTCCAAGTCTGAAATACAGGCCTCCGGTTTGGTCGTCGTCACTTGGAAACCAAATTCCAAGTAGATCACGGGGATTCCGACTATTGGACGAGTTGAAGATGTGCGGTGCGTCCAACAACGTCGGACGGTGGATCATCAGAGCATCCTGCCATCTGACGGAAGATCGGGGAAGCATATCTGTCCACACCAAGGCGTCCAAGAGACTGCAATACAATTCAGTCACCTACGAGCACATCTGCCCCTTTTCAGACCAGAACCAAGTCCCACAGTCCCAAACTCGCCTTGGGAATCCACGCCTTCACATGCTTCGTAGCATCAAATCGAAGATTCACCCCGGCACCCATGTCTCGAACAGCCAAGCTTTGGAATCGCCATGTGTCGTGGGACTGGAATGCCGATGATGCTGGCCCTGTCTCGGGTGACTCAGATACAGGCCGTTTGAACCGCTCCCTGGGGTCGACGCTCCCAGTTTGCCAACCACCGAAATCCAGTCAGCTGCAACGGCGAAACAGGAATGTCTCAGACAGTCTGACGTTTCTTTGGCGTGACCTTTGCCATCCAGGCAAGCGAGCCCCTCCACCTCACCCAGAAGCCCATGGTGGTCATCGAATACAGGGTTACCACGCCGGAGTTCTTCAGGATGGCGGCTGTTCTGCGACGGACCTTTCATGCCGGACGCAGGCAAAGTACGAGAATCCCATACATCGGAGCAGACATCGGGAACGCCACAGTGATGGCGTGAGTTGACGTGTAACCACGCCTTCCGCGCCTCGCCGTGTAAGTGCCCAGATCAGATCGATCCATCTATCCTATCCGAGACACCGCAACACCACCAAGTCAACTGAGAATACAAATAGGACTCATCACCTCGGTATCGCTCCTCAGCGCGCGCGCCTCATCCTTCGACCAAAGATTCCAAAATCTCTGCCGCACATCTAGTGACCCTCTCCACCAGAACAAAGAAACAGCCCGCCCACCAGCCTCCGGCACTAACTTCGTCTGGACATACTTGATGCAAAGAACAGCCCACCAGCCACTCGCTCCCACAGTTTCCGCGGAACGACGACGACCGGGTGCCCAAATCTAGACCGGAACCCGCCAAAGCAGCGTATCGCCGTTTGGCTATTCTTTTGGTGGCTTGATTCCGCGCCGGCAGCACCGCAGCCCCGGGTTCATCAACAAAGCCACCGGATCGCTTTCTAGACAAAGTCGGCCATCTCTCTACCCGCCCGTCGACATTCCCGCTAGCCATTGAAGTTTGGTCTGCCGGACTGACGAGTCTTAAGGAGAAGGCCCGCCCCTTTTCGCGCTGACGACCCGCCGCGAGGACCACGTACGAAAATAGGAGGTCGGAAACATCAGAGCCCCTATTCCATCATACAAATAGCAACTTCACGGCAAACCCGCACCCCGATTCATAATGTCTCTCGCTCAAAAGCTCAAACGGGAGGCAACAAGCCGTCCCACCTGCGAGATGCCCCTCCCCTTCCTCCCCTTCGTCTTCCTCGCCCACTTCACCCAAACAATAACCTCCGTCCTCACAACCGAAGCCCACCGCACAACCGCGAGCATTTCCAACCACCTCGAGGGCCTGCGCCTCCAGGTACACGGGCCCGAACACACCTTCCACCCCTTCTCCCGCTTGCCAGCCGAGCTCCGCCTCAAAATCTGGCAGCACGCCTGCGACCACCCGCGGACGCTCCTCGCAACACACGCGCCGAATCCAGCTTTACTTGCAGTGAACCGTGAGGCGCGGTACGAGGCCCTGCGGCGGTATACCCTCGTCCGGCTAAACACCTGGGGTGACAGGCGGATCTACATCGACTTCTTAAGGGACAGCATCGCTGTCGTGGAGGGCAAGGGCGGCGGCGGGTTCCCTGTTCGTGGGGCGCGGCATGTCATTGTCGTGTGCGAGGAGCCGTTTCGGGATCCGGGTTCGTGGCTGAAGTGTCGGTACCGGAGTGGGTTGGAGACTTTGACGTTGGTGTTGAGTGGAACGAAGACGGGCAGCAGGGTTCCTGCGCCGCTTCCTGAGATCCGGGAGTTGTGTACGCCCGAGGAGGTTCAGCTGCGGCTTGGGTACTCGAAGGAGGAGGCGGAAAGGATAGGGGAGGAGGTGAGAGAGCTGGCCGAGGGGTGGGGCCACACGCAGATTCGCGTAGGGGAGTTCATCTGAGCTCCAGAGGCAGAGACAACAACGGAGACGGAGGACGAAGCGTAATGATCCATCGACACGATATCACAATACCCATTTCAATGTAGTCAATCTTCTTAATTCTACACACGTACACCATCCTACAAACCCTCAAAGCTTACTCCGTCCGCCCAGATAAACCTCCCCAAGCCTCAACTGCTCCGCCGCCTCCTTGACCATCTCCTCCACAATCTCCCCCGCCGGCTGAATCCGATCAATCGCGCCCGCAACCTGCCCCATCAGATGCGGAATCTCGATATCCTCCCTCCCCTGCTCGAAGTCGTACTCAATCGGCACCGTCCCGCCCTCCGTCAACCGCTTAATCTCCTCCGGCCGCGCGTGCCACCCGCGGATATACTCGTTCGTCTTCATCCGCAACGGCCGCCCGCTAATCACCAGCGTCCTCTCCGTCCCCTCGAACCCGCACGACACCACCTCCTCCTTGTGCTCCTGGCTGCATCCGGCCTCGACGCTCGCCACGAATCGCGTGCCGACCCACACGCCCACGGCCCCCTGCATCAGCGAGCTCGCGAGGCTGCGGCCGTTGTACATCCCGCCCGCGGCGATCACCAGCGCCGTGGAACCCTTGAGCATGGGCGGCTTGTACCGCCTCGCGACGTCCACCACCGCGGGGATGAGCACCGAGTTCGCCACGTCGCCCGTGTGTCCGCCCCCTTCGCCGCCCTGCGCGCAGATGATGTCGACGCCCAGATCCAGGGCCTTCACGGCGTGCTTCGGGTGCCCGACCATGTTCATGACATAAATTCCCGCCGCGTGCAGCCTCTCAATCACTTCTTTGGGGGGGACCCCCACCGCGCTAACAAACAACCGCGCGCCAGACGCAATCGTAATGTCGATGAGCTCGTCGAGCTTGCCGCCCGTGTAATCGTGGTTCGTCTTGCGCGCGTTCCCGCCGACCTGCGGCAGCGCGAGGTCGACGCCGAACGGCAGGTCGGGGGCCTTGAAATTCGCCTTCATCTCGGCGATGATCTCGCGGAGCTGGTCGGGTGTGTACTGGAAGCCGCCGATGACGCCTAGCCCGCCGGCGTTGGAGACGGCCGCTGCCAGGGGGCCGCCCGAGGTGCGGGCCATGCCGGCGAGGAGGATCGGGTGCTGGATGCCCAGCAGCTGGGTTATGGGTGTTGTGATGGGGCCGGAGGGTGCCATCTTGTCTGGTGTCTGTCTTACACTGGTCTTGGCGTGTTGGTCGTCGTCCTTGGTCTGGTATATTCCCAATGTGTGACGATGGACAGAAGAAGCGCAGAGTGATGTACAATTTAAAAAACGCAACAAAAGGCCAAGAGGTTGGGAATAAAAGGGAGCTCAATGACACGCTTGAGCTAGTCGTCGAGGTCGTGCCGAAGCACCTAGGTAAATCCGGGGTGAAGAGTGTGGGGTTGGGGGCGATTGGGGGGAGCTCTTTGCGGGGAATTCACACCGAGGCAATTGCCTTGTTGGGACAGCAGCTCGCCCGCCCGTGACCCCGAACCCCAAGCCCCGGAGCGGCCTGAAACGGGCAACCACAGCGGCATGTGAGTCGGCCATTCTCTGCCCCGTCCCCCGTCCGACCGTCCTTCCGTCGTGGACAAACGTTCTTCACACGGGCTATCAGGTCACGAAGGAAAAAGTCAACCTGAGTGCGCCGCGCCATGCACCGCTTCTATTGAATGCTGCCCTCATCTCCCTGCATTGGTATCGTTATGACATGATTATCGTTGGCGTCGCCCAACTAGTATACAATAAAACCCACGTGGTACACGTCCCCTGGGCACTCTGGCCTATCGAAAGCTCGGTAGACGCGCCGGGACGAATTCTTCTGTCCGTATGTACTGCTCTTGCGTGGTGGACCGAATGACGGGCGCGTCGTCGCCGTGCGTAGACCTCGGCGGCGATCTTTGACTCGGAGCGTCTGACACGTAGTCCACCTCGTCACTTTTGGCGTAGTCCACTTCGGACGCTGCCCGCTCCTCGGACGCTGGCTCCTCCCCGGCATCGTGCAGTCCCCGTTCCGACGCAAGCTGCAGCGCCGCCTGCCGCTTGCGTTCGACCTCGTCGTCCTCCTCCCTCCTGATGCGCTCCTCTTCCCTCTGCAGCTCCTCCATCGAGGCCTCCATGGACGGCGCGACGGGCGTATCCGGCGTCGTGGGCCCGCTCGTCGAGCTCCGCCGCACGCTGGGACTGAGCACGGAGTGGCTAGAATCGATCGTCGCCCTCGACACCGTCCGCGATATGGGCCGTCCGTCGGCCCGCCGCTTGCCCTTGCTCGCCTTAGTCCTGCTGCTGCTGCGGTCGTCCCGGACCTTGTCCAGGACCATGAACTCGTCGTCAAACGGCACGGCGTCCTCCTCGCCCTCGCCGTCGCTGGGGAACAAGTCGCCTCGTGACCGGTACGAATCCGACGACACCCCGGACCCCGTCGTCCCGCTGCGATTTCTAGTCTTGGCGGTCCGGCTCTGGAAGACGTCGTGGCCGTCGTTATCATCGTCGTCGTCGGAATCGTGCGCAAGCAGCGGCTCCGTCTCGCCCATGCCCATCTCGCCGTGCTGCCGCGGGTGATCCTGCAGGTCCGCCGCGCTCGGCTTGTAGCGGAGCGTCTTGCCCAGCTTCCACGGCAGCTTGCCCAGGAACCCAATGGGCTGCGTGCTGGGGATCACCGTCGGATCGGACTCGAGCGCCTTGCTCCCTCTGCCCCGCGTGCCGTAGCTCATGCCGCGTTTTCGTTTCGGTTGATCCTGCTGCACATCGCCGCCCCCCGTGTTGTTCTTCTGCTGCGACCCCGTGCCCGCGAGCAGGCGGTCCCAGTCGTCGTTGCCCCAGCCGCCCAGGAACCCGCCGTCCTGGTCCTCGGCGTACCAGTCGTCGTAAAAGTCGAAGCTGTATTCGGCCCTCCCACCCGCGCGATCTCGTTCCCGTCGCCTCCTCGCCCGCTCCTCGCGGTCGCCGAGGCACGGGTTGGCGCATTGCTCCAGAGAGGCGGCGAGGGAGGCGAGACACGGGTTGATGTAGTGGTGCTGGAAGCTCCAGATGCCGGCGGCGGCGTTCTATGTAGTGGTGCTGGAAGCTCCAGATGCCGGCGGCGGCGTTCTCCGTCACCTCGCCGGCGTTGTGGGAGATTTGGTTCCATCGCTGGCGCAGCCGCGGGTCCTCCAAGAAGGCCATGGTGATGATGGCTGCTGCAGGGTCTCGAGGGATGACGTCGCGGGCATCAAGAAGGGAACCAAAGGGAAGGAAGTGGATTTTCAAACGATCAGCGCGGCCTCGACCTGGGGTGCAAGCAAAAAGGGCAGAATGTCGAGGCCCTCGTTGTCGAATTGCTGGCGATGGAAAATCAGGTGAAGAAAAGTCCAGAGGCGAAGGGAGCCATGGGACGTGGATTGGGCGAGTAACGGTTGGTTTCAAGTGCGCCGGAAACAAAAGGCAGCCTCACCTCAGCTGTCAAAAGTTGGGCTCAACATTCCGCTGGTTGCAGCAGGCGGGCGCAGGCGCAGGCGCAGGCAGTCAGGGTGGCACTCCCTTGGGGCCCTTGGGGTTCGCTGCAGCTGCGGGTGCGGGTGCGGGTGCTGATGCAAGCCCAGTGCAGTGGACTTTCGGATTGTCAAGGTCCATGGGCCATGGCACGTGCGTCGGCACTGTCTGTGGCTGGTGGCCCCTTATCGCACATTCTCCAAACGGATAAGGCACCCCCAAGGCACCTTTGGGTGGGATTGACTTTGTGGATCCGGGGAAATTGCAGACCTCTCGCCAGGTTGCTGACCAACTGTGGCTTAGCCTCTGGCGAGACCCCTGGAGATCGACGTCACCCCTTCAAGGTATCGGAATGCATCGTCATTTATAAACTTTGAGCCTCGCAACGTTTGACTTTGGGGTACAGTCCCCGAGACTATGTACTTAGACTCCGTAAACTCTGCCAAACAAAAGCACGTGGAGATTGATTGTATTCCGAACCACTACAGACGCCGAACGCTGCTAATCTAGACAGAGCTTGCCAAGGACCATCATCATCTCAACCCCTGTGCTTGTTTGCTCGTAGAAATCATGACGGCCATGCCCCTCGTGCCAGCCAAACCCATTGGGAGACATCAATGAGTGCCAGACTAAGGATAGAGGGCACAACGGTCCTAAGAGAAGACCGACAACAGCGCATTCATCTTTGCCTGGCAGAAATGCCCGACTCGTGAAAGAACACGGCCAGTCTTCTGCTTGAGGGACACGTGCTTCTTCTTGTGATGCCACATGGGCAGGATGGCGGCCGTCTCGCTGGTGGACTGGGCATCGAACGCAGGCCCCACCGGTGTAGCCCCCGAAACGCTCTGTCCGGATTCCTAGTGGCCGTTCGTTGCAGCTTGGGGTACTGGTGGTCTCTCTGGACCGTAGGGTCTGGGGGGTTCTGGCTCTCCAGGCTGGGGCTCCTCCTCCGTGTCATCGTCAAACTCGCTCGGATCCTCCTCGCCCTCCTCCTCCTCGTCCGAGTAGTCGCTGCCGTCCCCGTCCATGTGGCCGTTGCTGTCCGAGTAGCAACTCTCCAGCGTCGCCGCCGCTCCGGGCGGAACCTTGCGGCCCTGCTGCTGCATCTGCTCGATGATGCTCCTAAGCTTCTCGGCTCTCTTGATCGCCTCGGCCGCCTTCTTGCGCCAGTCCTCGCGCTCCTCGGCCATGCGGATGATGTTGGCATTCGTCGCCTCGTGCTTGCGCTTCATCGTCTCGTTTTCCTTCTCCAGCCGCTTCGTCTTCTTGGACATGTCCTCCATCTCCTTCCGAAACGTGAGAAAGAGGTCGTTGCTGTTGTTGAGCGTGTCCTCAACCTTGATCTGTCAGCCAAAAGCTCAGCCCAAACCTCTGCAACTTTTTGTTAGGCGTCATACCTGCTTGAACTTGTCCACGTAGACGTTGAGTTGATTCCGAAGCTCCGTCTCCGTCTTGGTAAAGGTCTGGACCTGCGCCTGAAGATTCCGCGCTCTCGTCGACTCGGCCTCTGCGAGCTTCTTCTCTCGTTCGTAGCGCGCCATGTTGTATTGCACCTCCAGCTCCTTGGTGCGCATCGTGGAGTGGAAGTGCAGCTCACGCAACTCGTACTGCTCAATAAAGGACTTGAACCGGTTCTTGAATCTGCAGGGGGTTAGTCCAGCGCAACAACCACGGCAAGTGACATACAAGGTGTCGACGCTCATGTCCACAACCTGCTTCCGCGGATGGTCCTTTTCTTCTTGGATCCCCTCCAGCTTGGCAAGCAGGGCCGCATGCTTCTCGTCATACGCAGAGCTGTTGTGCTTCAGGTTGTCCTGGAGGGTCTTGTTCTCGTTCTATACCCAATATCAGCCGTGCCCCGTCCGCTGATGACGGGCCGCAAACCTTGTACTTGTTGTTGTCCCGCTGCAGTTCGCGACAGAGCTTCTCGAGCTTCTCCTTCAGGCCAACCGTCTTGCTGAGCTCGGTGCGATTCGCATCCTTTTCCTTTTGCAGGGCGTCTCCGCGTTTCTTGTTCTTCTGGTTCTCGCGCTCCACACGGCGCATGTCGGCTAGCAGTTCGCTGGACCGGCGGGTGAGATGCTCAATCTTTTGCAGATCGCTCATCTTTGCCACCTGTTGGGCCAAATCGCGGTTCGCACGCTTGACCTCGCGCTCTGTTGCCGTTAGCCCCGCCACTGCAGAAATAGAACCCACGAACCGCCAGCAAAAGAGACTCCCGCCTGATCATGGCCATGGCCGTGACCGTGATCATCGTGACCATAACTCTTTGAATACTCCAGTGACCAGACGCGCGACTCGGCCCCTCCGGCCTCAGGAGGGGTAAGGCATGATGGGAGGCGGTACGCACCAATCTCAGCTTCCTGATCCTTCTCTCCAGCTGATTCTTGCTCTAGCTGCGAGATGCGTTGCGCGAGTAGCTTTGCAGACTCGTTCGAGTCGACCGCCTTCTTCTGCTTCCCCTTCTTCAGGGACGCCGGCGGGTGGGCGTGACCATCTTGACCGTTGGACATGTCGGCGTCGGCCTGGCTGAGGGGCATTTACTCGGCGGGCAGGAGGGGTAGCGGTTGTATGTGTTTCTCCCGTGTCGTCGGCGACGAATTCGCATCCGTGTTCGATCGATCGAGCGGGTCGGTGTCGCAAAATCGAGTCGTCGTGGGCGTCGAGTCGGGTCCCTGGTTTCCCCGCGGCAGTCTCAACCGCAATGTTCGGAGCCAGCAGTCGGTTCGTGTGCTCTCGCCGTCGTTCTCCCCTTCATTGACCTCCTTTGCAGATTTTCGACGTTGGACGGAACGACGGGCTAGGGTGAGGTGCCTCAGGGTGTGGTAGGTAGGTTGGTAGCGTGGTCTGCGTGGTTCAGGCGTGCGCATTAGAAATGCCACTGTACTCGAGAAAAACGGGTGGAGGAGAGACTTGCTGCAGGCCTCGTTTGTACCTACCCGTCGAGTACCTTGGGGCCGGCAAAAGTCCAAGTACGGAAAATCACTTCAGATGCCGGTATGCTGGCAGAGTCCGCAGTAAGAAAACGAATTGCCCACGATCCCACTGGTCGCCTTTTGGAATTCGCGATTTCCCAATTTCCGTTGGCGGGCGTGGAAGGGAGGAGAATAAAGTGCACCTGGAGAAAGGGCGATGGAGGTACTTGCCTAGCGGACGACGTGCCAATCTACCGGGCGGCGTCGCTGTTGTCGGTTGCACCGTGTTAGCTGCTCGTTAATGCGTTACGCAGACCCAGGCCCACTGACCCGGTAGTGCCTCAGAGAGCGTTTTGGTGAATGCGGTCCCCACATGCCCTGTGTGATGACGAATAGCGGCAGGCCAGCGCCGACAACGCCTAAAAATTTCCAGCCAGAAACCAGCCGAAAGCTGCGAATCGCCTCCCGCTCCACAGTGGCTCCTGTTGTACTCGACGGCCGCCCAGTCATTCTTAGAACGAAGCCCCCGTCTTCCTCTCCCTCCGGAATGAGGCTCTGATCCTCTACAAACACCTCCCACTCGTCAACATGCTGCGCAACGCCGTCAACACGGCCAAGAAAGCCGTGACCGAGCTCTCCCAGTACCCCAAGCCCGGCGACAAGCTCCATGGCTTCACACTCCTGCGGACGAAGCACGTGCCGGAGCTGGAACTGACGGCTCTTCACCTGCAACACGACAAGACCGGCGCAGACTACCTACACATTGCCCGCGACGACAGCAACAATGTCTTCTCCATCGGCTTCAAGACGAACCCTCCCGACGACACGGGTGTGCCCCATATCCTGGAGCATACCACGCTGTGCGGCAGTCAGAGGTGTGTTCACTGTGACCTACATGCCTTGCTCTGCTGACCTTTCAGATACCCCATTCGCGATCCCTTCTTCAAGATGCTGCCGAGGACGCTGTCCAATTTCATGAACGCCTTTACGGCGTCGGACCACACCTTTTACCCGTTTGCGACGACCAACTCCCAGGACTTCAAGAACCTCATGTCGGTGTACATGGACGCGACGCTGCACCCTCTGCTCAAGGAGTCTGATTACACCCAGGAGGGATGGCGCATTGGACCGGAGAACCCGCAGGCCGCCAACGGCGAGGAGAGCGACCTCGTCTTCAAGGGCGTCGTCTACAACGAGATGAAGGGCCAGATGTCGGACGCCGGCTACCTGTTCTACATTCGGTTCCAGGACCACATCTTCCCCGATATCAACAACTCTGGCGGCGACCCGCAAAGGATCACCGACCTGACGTACGAGCAGCTGCGCAAGTTCCACGCGGAGCACTACCACCCGAGCAACGCGAAGCTGTTCACGTACGGAGACATGCCCCTGTCGGACCACCTGCAAGAGGTCAACGCCCAGCTCAGCGCGTTCGAGAGGATACAGGAGGACAAGACGATTCACCAGCCGATCAACCTGGCTTCTGGGCCTAGGGAGGTCACCGTGAAGGGCCCCCTCGACCCCCTGGTGGACCCCGACAGGCAGTACAAGACGTCCGTCTCGTGGATCATGGGAGACTCGTCCGACGTTGTCGAGTCCTTTTCCCTGGCGCTGCTCTCTACTCTGTTGATGGACGGCTACGGGTCTCCATTGTATCGCGGGCTGATCGAGGCCGGTCTCGGCACAGACTTTAGCCCCAACGCCGGCTACGACAGCTCCGCCAAGCTGGGCATCTTCTCCATCGGCTTGACCGGCGTCCAGGAGGCCGACGTGCCCAAGCTCAAGGCCGAGGTCCAGCGCATCCTCCAGGAAGTCCGGCAAAAGGGGTTCGACAGAACAAAGATTGACGGATCTCTCCACCAGCTGGAGCTGGCGCTGAAGCACAAGACGGCCAACTTTGGCATGTCGATGCTCCACAGGCTCAAGCCCAAGTGGTTCACGGGCGTCGACCCCTTTGACTCGCTGGCGTGGAACGACACCATCTCAGCCTTTGAGACCGCGCTCGCCAAGGGCGGGTACCTGGAAAGCCTCATTGACAAGTACCTGCTGAACGACAACACCCTGTCCTTCACCATGTCGCCGTCAACCACGTTTAGCGAAGACCTCGCGCGCGAGGAGAAGGAGAGGCTGGCGTCCAAGATTAAGCAGGCATCTGAGGAAGCCGGCGGCGACGAGGCGGCCCGCAAGAAGTTTGAGCAGCGCGAGCTGGACCTCCTCGTCGAGCAGGGCAAGTCCAACTCGGAAGACCTGAGCTGTCTGCCGACGGTCCACGTCAAGGATATCCCCCGAAGCAAGGAGCCCGTGGTTGTGCGCGACGAGACGGCCGACGGCGTCAAGATCCAGTGGCGCGAGGCCCCGACCAACGGCCTCACCTACTTCAGGGCCATCAACAGCCTGGAGAACCTGCCGGACGAGCTCAGAGAGTTGATCCCCCTCTTCTCCGACAGCATCATGCGCCTCGGCACCAAGGACATGTCCATGGAGCAGCTCGAGGACCTGATCAAGCTCAAGACGGGAGGCGTGTCTGTCGGGTACCACTCGACGCCCTCGCCCACCGACTTCCACCAGGCGAGCGAGGGGCTGATGTTTACGGGCATGGCGCTGGACAGAAACGTCCCCGTCATGTTTGACATTCTGCGCAAGCTCGTGCAAGACACGGATTTCGACAGCCCGGAGGCCGCCCTGCGCATCAGACAGCTGCTCCAGGCGTCTGCCGACGGCGTGGTCAACGATATTGCCTCATCCGGCCACCAGTACGCCCGCGGGTTCGCGGAAGCCGGGCTCACGCGGAATGCCTGGTTCAGACAGCAGATTGGCGGCCTCTCGCAGGTCAAGCTCGTCACGTCGCTCGCCAATCGTCCCGAAACGGATGGTCTGGCGGACGTCATTGACAAGCTCAAGCAGATCCAGAAAATCGCGCTCGCCGGTGGAAACTTCCGCACCGCGCTCACCTGCGGGGCAGAGAGCACGGGCGCCAACCTCAACGCCCTGACTAGCTTCATGTCGACCCTTCCCAAGGACCTGCCCCTGCCGTCGACCTCCCAGCCGGCGACGCTGCAGAAGAACATCAAGTCCTTCTTCCCGCTGCCGTACCAGGTCTATTACGGTTCGCTGGCGGTGCCCACCGTCTCGTACACGCATGCCGACGGCGCGCCGCTGCAGATCCTGGCGCAGCTCCTCACGCACAAGCACCTCCACCACGAGATCCGCGAAAAGGGCGGCGCCTACGGCGGCGGGGCGTACTCGAGGGGACTGGACGGCCTCTTTGGGTTCTACTCGTACCGCGACCCCAACCCGCAGAACACGCTCTCCATCATGCGCAACGCCGGCCGCTGGGCCGCGGACAAGGCGTGGGCGGACCGCGACCTCGAGGAGGCCAAGATCTCCGTGTTCCAGGGCGTCGATGCGCCCCAGTCGGTCAACTCGGAGGGCATGGGCCGGTTCACGTCCGGCATCACGGAGGACATGAAGCAGACGCGCCGCGAGCAGCTGCTCGACGTCTCCAAGGACCAGGTGCGCGAGGTGGCGCAAAAGTACATTGTCGACGCCCTCGCCAAGGAGGAGGAGAGAGTCGCCTTCCTGGGCGAGAAGCGCCCGTGGGTGGACGGCACCTGGAAGATTCACGAGATGGACATTGGTTCCGAGTGAGTCGTGCGCGACCGGTTTGTACCATAGAGACCGTAGAAAGGGGGATTCCTTCCGGTCAAATCTGTAACCATATCTGTACAGCACCCATGTTGTAACATTATACCCACCTCCTGAATAGAAGCCACTGTATGAGGTTTTTTTCGTCTGTCCTTTCTTCTTCTAGTCTAGACACCTACCGACGCGTTCAGATACGATACGTCTTCCTGCCACTCTCAATGGCTTGGAGACCACTAGACAACGCAAGACAAAGGAAACTATCTTGAGCCAGGGTAGCCTGTGTACAACTCTGTTGTGTAGCGGGATAACCGGCTCAAGAGAAGGCTCGTGCTATCAGACCCGGCATCCTCAGCTTTGGATCGTCGGACTAAGGCGCAGAGTACATGCGACGTTGGCGATGTTGCGTAGTGCCGAGCACTTTGTTTGGCATGCGGCGGGAGACAGAGAGACGGAGAGCCAATCAAGTGCGGCCAATTACAAGCCAGCAAAGTAGAATGACTAAACGGGAGATGCTCGGGATGGACTATGGATTGTATAATGGACAAAAAGGAGAGAAGAATGGGAGAGAATACAATTGGTTCACAAGAGAGAGGATGCCCCGCATACGTCACCCAAGGCACAGCGCCACAATTGTATTGTTTTTTCTCATGGTTCTGTGCCAATGTGCAAGGTTGAAGTTCGACTTTGGCGCTGCGGCTCGTGGAAAGGCTTGGGGACTTGGGCACGCCGAGGGGCATCCCGAGTGGATGTTTAACGGGAGGCAGCCCAGAGACATCTTGGGACTTGGAGGGGGATTCTACGCAGGAGGCGGGAGAGCAGTGCCGTGACTATGCGCCGGTGAGATTTACGATGTGGTGTGGGAGAGGCACATGCTTCTGGGCCTAAAGCTGTGCCGGCTGGACGGCAGTCTGTCTTTGCCATGATTTCGTCCAAAGCGAGCGGCCGTTTGGGGAGAACGGTGCGTGACAGACAGAGTGCCATCGACAGTCAGCGATTTGTGACAGAAGCTAAACCGGCTGCCCGTACATGTGCTGCTTTGGACGAGTGGCATGGCATGGGGGAAAGAATCAGGCTAATTCTGGCAACTGTCCGAGTGGAACACTGCGTTGAGGGAATTTCTTTCCCTTCAGTAAGGAGATGAGCAGCCCTCTTCCAAGCGAGGCATAGACGGCGGCCTGGACTGGGGACAGGTCTCGTTACTTTTGCCAACACGGGCGAGGTGTTCCGTTTTGTCGAGCAGCTGCCAACTTGGTGCTGTTGTCCTCTTGGTCGTGGAGATGCGGCGTCTGAAACGGACAGTTAGGGTTGATTGTTCTCCATCACACCCACAACTACGATAACCAACGCCGAGTCTACAAAGTCTCGGGAAACTTGGAAGAAACACCGGGTACTAGCAGACTAGGCCGTCAAGTTGACAGCAGGCGTCAAAAGGCTAAAGCTAGTGAAAGCTGGGGCAAGGGAAATGGAAATGGAACCGGAGGGGCGGGCGGGCGCGAGGATGACAGCGAGACTACGGAGTACTGATGTACTGATGTCCAGGGCTCCAAACTGGTGCTTCTCGAACTGGGAAAACGCGTAAAGTTGCGGTCTGGGAAATTTACCGATGGGTCTGCGTGATCGTGATGGGCACGCGAGGCAGTGGTGGCTAGACGCAAGTTTGGTAGTTGCAACACGGTCCTGCATGAGATTGACAGAGAGAAGAATATCAGAGACGGTCAAACAGGCACTGGGCCGTCTGGCACATGGGATATGGAATTGGGAACACGGGGGAGAGCAGCTGGTTGGTGGTGGTGGTGGGCTGCGGTGAATCGTGATGCATGGCAGATGGAGCTGCAAGCAAGCAAAGACGGCAGCAGCAGCAGCAGCAGCAAGCAACGAATTCGTAATGGTGGAGGAATTCCCAGCCATAGCCAACCCTCCAAGTTGAGGCCTTCCACATCCACGCCTGCTGGGATCTGTGCTTCGTAGACACTGGGAGGTTTTCCCGATGGAAGCACTGCAGAGCGATGGCCCTGGGGACTGCTGGGAGAGGGACATCCACTGCGGTGCCTCGCGCTGCATGTTCCGGTGTCTGAGCTGCAGGGGTGACACCGCGAGGGGGATGTACTCCATACATGACCTCACGCTGAAGAATGGGCAAAGAAGAGGTATCCAGACTCTGGTCTGGAGGCTGGACCTTTGGTGGGATCAATGGAGACGGCTCCCCTGGACAGTTGGACCGGGTACAATTCGGAACCTGCTGTGCTCGAGACTCTACTCTTCGGACCGTTGTTTGTTGGGCTTCAGGCTTCAACTTGTTTGAATGGGACGGATATTGAAACTGGGTACGACGGGTACTTGGCGGGCGAGCATCATTATGGAGACGCCTTGAACCTTGCCGTCAAGTACCTTGCCTTACATCAGCACTCGAACACCAGACGACGTACGAGGTACGCAGCAGCATCCGGGCAGGGAAAATTTTGAAAATTTGTGGGCAGGTTGTGCTGTTGACAGTCGTGGGCTGTGGGTGGCCAACCTCGCATCCCGGCTCCACTTCAGAGGTACCAAAAAGAACCTGAGGAAGACAGACGAAACCCTCCTCCCAGGCTCCGGGACCTCCACGGCCGTCGCAATAAAAAACAGTCCCCCCCCCGCCACACACTTACCTCCCGGGACACCAACCCAAAGGTTTATCGTCAACCCGCACCACGCAACAGCTCCCGCTATTCGCACCATTGCAATTGTTATCCAGGTACAGCTGTCTGGACACCTCGGTTTCGACCCTCCCGTCCGGTTTCTTTGTCTACTTGGTGAGTCAAGTCCCGACTGTTTTGAACGGATCCCGCGCGGCGGCGCATCTTCCCGAGCAATCACATGGCATCGTCATCGCCAGCTTTTTTGCACCGCCGGCTTTTTGCACCGCCAGCTATGGAAAAAACCTACACGCAAAACCACCACACAAAATAAAATCGCTCTCACAACAAACCGCATCTCCCCCTTTCAGCACCACAACCACCACAACCGCATAAACCGCGCATACAAGGAATCCCTTTGCTAACCAAGTGCATCGTCTGTCCAGATCTATAAGATCAACCCCTTTCACCGCCAGACTTAGCCTTTGGTCAACTCAAAGGCACCACAGCCCAACACGGCTTCTCTGGCCGTGAGCTTCGTCAGTGACCAAGATTTCAGCGTACGAAAGACTCGACACATTGTCAACGCCATCCCCCCTCCACCGCCTGCAGTCGTCTAAGCAGAAGCTCGAGTTCTTCCTTCTCGACGGTTTGCTTCACCAGACGCCCCCGTCCAACCCCACCCCCAACCAGCTGCCGCATAAGACGGGCTCTGCAGCTCTTCCTCTCGCCGAGGGGGAGTCGAGAAGACCTCGTCAGATCACTGAGGGATCTGTCTGCTACCGCTTTCGACCACCCTAGAACTCTCGTGTTGTTCTAGCTTTTTCATCACCCAGGGGCAGCATAGACAAACCCACGCGTCGAAACAGATCGACCATCATTCGTCCCTCCACCCAACCCACACCTCTCTTCATCAACCACCCCGTCAACCGCTTGGATATGGTTATGGCAACAGCCGCGATCGAGCACTTTGCACCAGCTACTATCAATTATGCTAGTACCTACCACCAACCGATCCTCAAAACATCGCACTTTGCCGATCACCCCGTCAAACATGGAGTGATCAACCCCAAGCAGCTGATTGGCGATGCTCTCCGCCAGCGTGTCGAGAGCATCGACCATGAGATTTGTGAACCAGGCGACGAAGACACCTTCTTCGTCGGTGATCTCGGCGAGGTCTACCGCCAGCACATGCGCTGGAAGCTCAACCTGCCCCGCGTCAAGCCCTTTTACGGTGAGTCTCCCGGATGCCTCCGTATCAAACCAGACTAACAAGTGCAGCCGTCAAGTGCAACCCCGACCCCAAGGTCCTGCAGCTCCTGGCTGCCCTCGGCACCGGCTTCGACTGCGCCTCCAAGACGGAGATTGACCAGGTCCTCAGCATGGGCACCGCCCCGGAGCGCATCATCTACGCCCAGCCCTGCAAGACCAACTCGTACGTCCGCCACGTCAAGGCCATGGGCGTCAAGCAAATGACCTTTGACAACGCCGACGAGCTGCGCAAGATCGCCAAGCTCTTCCCCGAGGCCGAGCTGTACCTCCGCATCATGACCGACGACGAGTCGAGCCTGTGCCGCCTGAGCATGAAGTTCGGCGCCGCAAAGGAGGCCACCAACGAGCTCCTCGGCGTCGCAAAGGACCTCGGCCTCAACGTCGTCGGCGTCAGCTTCCACGTCGGCTCCGGCGCCTCCGACCCCATGGCCTTCTACAAGGCCGTCTACGACGCCTACGAAGTCTTTGAGCAGGGGCGCGCCTACGGCTTCGAGATGAAGACGCTCGACATCGGCGGCGGCTTCTGCGGCGACACGTTCGAAGACATGGCCGCCGTCCTCCGCGGCGCCCTCGACGAGTACTTCCCCGCCAGCAGCAACGTCAACATCATCGCCGAGCCGGGCCGCTACTACGTCTCGGCCGCCTTCACCATCGCCTGCAACATCATCGCCCGCCGCACCGTCGACGACCCGTCCCTCGGCGAGAAGCGCTACATGGTCTACGTCAACGACGGCCTCTACGGCAACTTCTCCAGCATCATGTTCGACCACCAGCACCCCGTCGCCAAGGTCCTCCGCGCCGGCCCCGCCACAATGTACGACACCGCCGCCGCCAACGCCTGCCCGGACGGCGATGGCATCCGCTACTCCGTCTGGGGCCCCACCTGCGACGGCATCGACCGCATCACCGAGACCATCTCGTTCGAGCACGAGCTCGACGTCGGCGACTGGCTCTACTTTGAGGACATGGGCGCCTACACAAAGTGCTCCGCCACAAAGTTCAACGGCTTCCCCGACTCGCACGACGTCCTGTACGTCTGCAGCGAGCCCGGCGCCAAGGCCCTGCTCAACATGTAGCATGGTCATTGTTCAGAGGGTCAATTCGTCAACAACGTTTGGAATTCGAGACTAGGAAACGGAAAAAAAAGAGAAAAGGGAATAAAAAAAAAAAATCATAGACTTGGAGAAACCACAAAAAAGAAACTCCGGCCCAACAGCACGCATTGTAGAAATGTAGTCCATTCACTTCGCCTGTCAGCTTCGATAGAAAATATGCTTGGGAATAATACAGTTTTTTTGATCACGGGCCAACATCGTTGCCAGCTACTCGTCTCTGTGCCATGTGTGTCTGTCTCACCCGTCAATGTGCCACCGAGACTCAACGTCGTGACCGGCAACACAACCCGAAAAGCCCCCCTGACTCGCCAGCACTCATGCAAACCCCCAACGTCAGGACGAGACCCAAGAGGACTGGCTCACGGTATGCAAGGTACAGAAACACATACACCTCGCCGCACATTGTACTCGCAGCCCTAGCCGCAGGCCGCAGCCAGTGATCTGAGTCTAACTATGCAAGGCGGGATTGGGGGTTAGGTAGTTACGGCCCCCAAAAGTCTTGGCTAAACGTCAGTCTCCAACATCAACAGTCTACATCAACAATCTACCGCTTCAACGACACTCGTGCATACAAAGTCTTGGATTCATCCTTTTCTCTCATTACCGCTTTTGACTGATTTGAAGCCCATCGCTCGTCACCAGTTCAAACCCCCCCCTCCCCCCCCTCCCCCCTCCTCGGTGGCCAGCACACGCTACGCTTTTGCAACAAGGCTCCATGAATGCCTACGTCGTATCGTGGTGGGTGCAAACCTCAAAAAGCTTCTCTTGCTCTCTCTCTGTCTAATCTGCGCCATTAAATGCCAAAATGAAAAAAGTCGTGGGACGCTTCGAGGGTGTGTTTTTTGTTTTGCATCATGCGATCCATCCGCTCCTTTCGTGATTCCCCTTTTTTTTCCGGCCTCCTGGCCAATTCGTTACGTTAGAAATGTCCTCCAAGGCCATCCCGCCATTCATGAACCTTGTGCTTCATCCGACTTCATGCTGATCCCGTCATCTAATTAACCCTCCTTGGCAGAGAGTAGTCGTCTGTACGTTGTGTTGTCCGGTTACACATATCTCTCCCGGAAACGCTAATGGTGTCAAAGTCGAGAGACTCGAGCAGCTCACGCGGCCGCTTCAGGACGGATGATGCTCCGCGCCGTGGCTTCGTCATAGCCAATGACGTTCGTCAGGTACGCCATCCTAGATCTAGTCAGTATGAATTCCACCCTCCCAAATCCAACGTCACTCACTTGTCATTGTCGACCTCGGTCCATTTGAGGTCCTCGAACCTCTGCTGGCAGTCCATCCACGCCATCGCCCGCGCCTTGGGCTGAATCTTCTTGACGGTGAACTTGAATCTGCCGGTGACGGGTCGGTGATCAGAGACGCGCACTTCGTGTCGCTTGTAGTCCACCTGCTTGATCCTGCCACCGCCGCGGTAAAGCAGCCGATCGCACCACGCGGGGGAACGCTTCTTCTCGCTCGTGTCGTAGTTGTCCGTTCCGACGTCGTACTTGTACGTCGGGGCAAAGGTGATGGGCATCTCTTCAAACGCGCGGAGCTTGAAGGCAGGGTTGCGCCGCCTGGCCACGAGAAGCTGGTCACGCTCGAGAAGCTTGGCGAGATTGTTCTGCTTCACTGCGATGACGACTGTGTCGCGCGACATGGTGTCGATGCGATAGTTCAGGTCGCCGTTGAGCAGGCAAAGCTCGTGGTCCAGGATCATGGTGCCGTCTCCGCCGCCGACATAGCTGTCGAGGCGAGCGCTGGGGTCTCTCTCGGGCGGCAGGATTTGCGCCTCGAGAATGGCGGCGATGTCGTTGTGGCGACTGTTGGCCTGCGACTGACCCGCTGCCAAGTGACAGTTGATGAAGCACATGGACGAGTCGTCCACCATGAACCGCACGACGATGGCGCCCTTGTTGCCGTGAAGACCTCCCATGCCTCGCTTAACTTCCGCCGCGCTGAGGTTCTGGATCCGATCTCTAAGCGTCGACTTGACAAAGATGCAAGTGAACAGCCCAACCAGCGTGGCAGTGTGGAGCAGGTGATACAGACAGTCCGGAGGCATGTAGTCGTCGAGGCTCTTGAGGAGGAAATCTCTCCAGTCGCGATACTGGTGGCTCATGCGCTCCTGGTCCGAGCCCTCCTTCTTCTTCACCTTGAGGAAGCGTTCTTTTACTGTTAGCGTGGTTTTCGAATCGAGAACAGAGGGACCTACTGGCTGTTGCGGTTTTGTCTTCCAGGTCCACGAGCTCCTGGAACCCAAAGATTAAAATGTCGGGCGAACTGTTGGAAGTGAGCAGGCTCTTGATGAACTCGGCATCTTCCTGCGCGTATCGCAGGCTGTGGGGTGTTGAAGCACCCGCGTTCCACGTCATGCACAGCACCTTGAGATCTTGGAACTCGCAGTACTGCGTGTCCATGGCCTTCATCTCCGCTTCGTGCCAGTCGTCCTGCAGCAGGCCGTCCCAAACGCGGAGCATGTTGTCGGCGCCGAGAGAGATGACCTGGTGGCGATCCAGCCTGTAGCAACTTGATGCATCCGAGACGAGCTTCACGACGGGGTTCTTCTCGTGCGCCTGCCAGTCCTTCTTCTGTGCCCAGGGCGTGGGCTCCATGTCATAGACACCAATCTTACCCGTGTTGAAGCCTGCCCAGAGGTGATCGCCCACCCCCGCGAGAGTGTTGATCTTCCACGAACTCAAGTTGACGAGGCCCAGACACGAAAAGTCTTGTGTGTTGTAAATGGATACCTTGCCGTCGGCGTGGCCAAAGAATACCTTGTTCGGTTGAGACCGAACTTGCGTCCCCGACGTCACCTCGCCCGCCGTGTCCTGGGCCAGAGCGCGGACCAACACTTGGAATTGGGTTTGTCCGTCTGACGATGGCGCAAAGACGCGGATCTCTTTGCCTGTCGCGTGCCACAGTTCGTCACCGACAACCATGGAGAATGAATGGCCCTTAGGTAGGCGGAACGCTTGGTGCGCGTTGTTGGTCAGATTCGGCGTTCCAGTCTCTTCATCTGCAGCCCACACGAGCAAGCCGCCGTTCTCATCCAACGACCACATCTCGTTAAAGTGGCGGTAAATCTTGACAACCTCGTGCCGGCCGTGAGCCCCTGGCTTGTTCGCGACCACGCTTTGCGTCGCAATGTCGGCTTCCATCAGCTCGCCAAAGTTGTTTCCAATCCATAACCTCTTTCCTTCCTCGTCGACATTCAAGCCGGGCTTGAAAGCCACCGTTGTAGCCTTGATACCTTCACCGTGAGCAAAACTCATCAGCAACTCGCCGTCTCGGAGGTTCCACACTCGTGTCAGGTGGCCCGTCGTGCAGATGAGATCTCCGCACACGTCGAACGTTCGCGGATCGTACTTGGTCTGGATTTCGTGCATGCCATGTTTGATGTAGGGCGGTCGTCGGTTGACGTTTGCGGGATCCGGGAAGTTCGGTATGTTGCCGTTGATCTCGACCTTTGACGTGTTGCTGGAGGGAATCAGAGAGACAGTCGGCTCGGGTGGTGGAGGTTGCGCCGGCTGGACGTGGACGGGCTGAACGTGCTGCACTGGCTGAGGTGGTTGAGGAGGCGGCGGCCGCGGTGACGTCCGGTCCGTGACTGTATTTGCACGCCCCGGTAGCCGTGATGGCGGTGGGAGATGTGTTGTTGTCGGCGTCGAGACGATTCGCTTAGGCGGAGGCTGGAAGTCGACCGAATGGCTGACGGAGTGGCTGGCGACGTGGGTGTTGATGCCGCCTGCCCTTGGAGGCCGCGGAGGCGGTTTCATCGTGACGGGCGGCCGCGGCGGAGGCTCCGCAACGGTCTGCGGTCTCGCGGGAAGAGCGGGTACACTGGGCCGGTCACCCGTAATCTGCGGAGTGATCTGACCCCTGATGAACCCATTCGTCTCCTGCTCCCGCTGGTTCCTCTTGGTCATGATGGAATGGTGAACGGGGGGCGGCGCGAACCCGACATCTATCGGTCTGCCTCTCTGGGGCGGCGGTGGTTCCGTCAGCGTTGCGAGAGCCTTTGGCCTGGTGGGGAGAGTTGGAGGGGCCGGTTCGTGGATACTATCGGGGCTTCCAGGCGGGCTGCTAAAGGGAGACGTCTCTTCCCTGAGCTTGCCCCTGATTTCAGCGGCCCCAATTTGGTGATCTGCGTAGTAAGGGGCCTTTGCCTGGTCTCGCATCGACGGCTTTTCGGCACGGTTGATTGGCGGGGGCACGGCGGGCTTGTGGTCCCTACGTATCTCGCCAGATCGTCTCGGCGGCGGTGGTGAAGGCGGCTGTGAAGCAGACAACCTCGGTGAACGTCGCGGATCGAGCGAAGGGGTGTGCGGCCTGCTTGGGATCTTGAAGGCACGCGACGTGGTTGGCGTGGTGGGGGTGGAAGAGCCGGAGTCGGCGGCGTTTAAAAAGGCCGGTGCCTCGGCGATGGAGAACCTCGAGATGGAGTTCTTTGGCGGTGACTGAGGCGGTTCTATCAGGACCGAAGGGGCCTTGACGGGCTCCGGTTTCAAGGTGGGAGGGACACCGAGGGAGCGGCCGGGTGAGCGAGGGACGGGCTCGTGAAGAGGAGGCGGGAGTGACGGTGCCGAGATGCTCGCGCGCTCGCGGGGTCTCGGGGGAACTGGGAGGCTTTGGAGGCTTTCGGAGGAGGCTTTCGCATCTCGAAGGAACTCTGGCTTCGGGGCCGGAGAGATGGTTCGGGGCGGGGAGGGACCAGGCGCGGCGGCAGATTCGCCATTCTTGTTCATGTTCTCGAACTTGGCCCTCAGCGACGAGACGGGTTTCTGCGTATGGTCAGCATTGTAAAAAAGACAAAAGACAGGACGGCGTACAAGTGACGAGCCATCAGGCCCATTCTGAGCGGGAGGAGCCATGGTTGTAGCAGAAACGACAGCGGGAGCCCAGGGTGCCGATACCCATTACACCCACGGCTGCAAGTGTATCGTCATGAGCCCTCCAACGGCGTGTGGTCTGTCGCCGGCTTAGCCAAGCAGGGTAGGTTGCTGGTCGTGGATTGACGAGGTCGTCGAGTGTCGTCGCAAGGATGCGTAAGCGGGCGTGAGGGCGAGAGTTTGTTGCGCGCGTGTAGTCGGAGAGATTCTGACAGGTGGGATGGACGGCCGTGCAAGAGGGCTGAGGAGCATAATGATGCTGGGCGGACGTTTCGAAGCTAGCGAGATGCGAAGGCGAGCATGGCCAGGTTGCCGTCACGATGGGCGCGTGGGAGGTGAGAGGGAAAGCAAGCTTCGGGTGTTTTTCTGGAGCAGTGGCAGTAGGCAAGGTGCGGGAGGTTGTGATTGACGACGAAGTGGCATTGCAATGGCCCCTTGGAGCAATAAGATTCCCTCCGTAAGGTAAGGTACTTGGTACTGCGTAGCCGTTTTGCTGGGACGGCAGTGTGTGGATGGTGTACCTGATTCGCCGGTACCTGGGTTGGCGCACCAGTCTGGGGGATGGAGGGAAGTACCGCTCTCCGAGATGAGGCAGGGCAGGCGGGCAGGTGTGTAGGCACGGCAGGGAAGGGGAGGGGAGGGAAAAGGGAAACGTATGCTAGGCACGTAGGCCGCAGTAGTGCTTTGCGGCGCCGTGCACACAGCGTATGTACTTCAAGGTAGAGAGGGTGGGTGGTAACCGATACTGACAGAAGACAGAGGGGAACGGTACGTGGTGGGATGTACGTAAGGTTTGAGGGGACTCGCCATCCAAACACTGCCGTCAATTACGACTTGCGCTGCGACGTGCCGTCGTGCCTGTCCCGCCGCAGCATTGTGGCCCGTCTGGGTTTAGCAGTCCCCGTAATGACATATGACCCTGCCAAGCAAGCGTCTCCATCTCTGTCAGCCTCACCAGTTGGGCCCAGGGTTGAGAGCCCAGTTGCGGGACTGGCGAGCTCGATACGGAGTACTTTGTCGAGAATTCGAGATGCGGATTACGGAGGCCCTCAGCCACAAGGCAAGGTACTTTGGAGCATGTACTTCGCGGCTGGGGAGACGATGAGACCAGGGCCGCCGCCGTTGGCCTTGCCGCCTTGGTTCCTGAGGAACTTCAAGGTTGGACACTAGTCGTTCCGTAATTTGGCGAGTTCACAGGCTGAAGGCACCCCCTGTAAACTACGCAGTACGTCCCTCGCAGGCGTGGCAGGCACGCACAGCACAGCGATCGTTGAGTCCGGCGCACCTGTCCCGTGCCTGGGGTCTGGGACTACGTACCTGCTTACCTCAGCTTGAAGCCGTAGCTGGCACCTTGGGTCGAAGCATCTCGGCCGCTCCCAACCCTGAATTCCCGGTTATGGTACAGAGCTGTTCCAGCTGCCATCGATACACGGTACAACTTTGGCCTCTATGCCATTTAGAGAATTCCCAGCCTGACTACAACATAAGCGCAATCCAAAATATTCTGGTGAGTGCCTCTATCTCTCCGTAGCCAGTGACTGGTGTGGCTAACCTCTTTCATCTTTCGGGGTCCACAGCTCGCGTGCACGGTGCAAAAGGCCAAGCCATCGGGGATTCTCGAGCTCCATCATCAGACCATCCCACTTTCTACAGTGCGTCCTCGTTGCTCAGTGGCAGCTTGCGCTCCGATCGACCGGGTTCCCAATCGTCCTTTGAGCGAGCCGACAGGGCTACATTTTTTCTTTCTTTCTTTGGCTGTTCAGACCAAACAACACAGCTCTCTCCATTGCAACAAAACCGATCTGTCCGAATCCTCAAACCCTCACGTCCCACCGCAAACATGAACACCGTAAGTTCCTCCCCGGCCGTCGCACATGGTTTCAAGTTCTTGGCTGACATCAAGCCTAATCCTAGGTCAAATCATTCTGGTAGGCTTGACTCGTCCTTCGTCGCAAACCGCTCTCGTCGATCAACAACACTGACACCTTTCGTCTCGCAGGCTCGGATGGGGCTCCCTCTGCGCAGGTATGTCGTCGCCAACGTGCTCTGCTGGGCGCAGCTAACCTGTCGCAGCCGGCGGAGCTGCCTACTACTTTGCCAAGCAGAGCATCAACGCCGATCGTGCCGCCCGCTTCGAGGAGCAGCGCCAAAAGAAGGCGATGGTCCAGTCTCTTGAGTACGGCGACAACGTCCCCTCCCAGCCCGGCTCCGCGTCCGCCATGGCCGGGGCTGCGCGCACCGATACCGCCGGCTCCCCTAGCCAGGAGTCCAGCTCCGATCCCGCCCCGACCCGCCACGCCCCGGCGACCGAAGCGCAGAGAGTGACGGAGAAGAGCAAGTACGAAAGTAGTACGCCGTTCAAGAGTCCAAAGGGAGATCGTTTCTCGTAGTCACTGGACCACGGCGGTGGATGGACCTAGAGCTCGTGTAGTATAATTGTTTGCTCGGCCGGTGTTGGCTGTACATTGTATCATTGAGGACGACACGAAGAAACGATGACCGATCTCCTGCGCCCTATTTCTTGCGTTTGTCGGGCTTCGCGCTGGTGACTTGAAAAGCAGTATCTGTATTGGGAGCTTGTCAATGATTCATCACACCTCGGGCATGCTTCGTCTCCGTTGGTGAATCCACGCAATGCACCGCTCTCGACATCAGTGCCTCCATCAGTCAACGAGTCCCTACCATTAGCCTACGATTGGTCGTTCTGTATCGGCAAAGCATGTCAATTGCCCCAATACCAACACCTCAATCTTGTCGACTTCAAGCACGAGGGCCCATCGGCGCAAACCGCTAAGACACAGGCCGCTGTTCGCACTGGGCAGATGGGTCCTTCCGGAAGATGCCGCAGGCGACCTCCAGCCTCAATCCGAGCTAAGCCACTTTGGCCCTAAGCACCCAGCTGTCGCGGCCGTTGCAGCTTGTGGCGGCACGTCCTTTTGCTCCAGCTCTAGCTCGACCTCGACATCCCACTTCAACCTCACCTCTTTGCCCAATTCTGTCACTTTCCGCCTGCTCTCCCAGATCCAATCCACCCAGCAGGCATGCGACCGGGTCACAATGGCGAACCCTGAGCTAGCGATAGCCAAGGCCTCCTTCAGCGCCATCCTCTTCCGCAAAGAACCCGTCTCGCTCACCCGGCCCGAGATCGAGAGCTTCCACACCCTCCTCCACGACACGATACACCAGTGCTCGCCGGCCAACGTTCAGGTTTGACGCCCTCCAGCGGCCTCTACTATTGCCGCTGTTCTCTCTCCATCTCTATACATCTCTGTGTGCGCTCCTCTGTGGTTGCAAGGTCGACTAAACTCCCGCCGCCTCTAGAAATGCAAGCGCTGGATCCTCAAGAACCTGGTCCCCTCGCCGGCGCGCGTCAGCGCCGTCGGCAAATACCTGGCCGCCCTCTCCAATTCGTTCCCCGATGACGGCAAGACGAAGCCCTCGACGCGGAGGAAGCGTCTGCACATTCTCTACCTCATCAACGACGTCCTCTACCACGTCGCCGTGCGCGATCGGGATGCGCGCTTCGCGACCGCCCTAGAGGCCAGCCTGACACCCCTACTCCACGGCGCCGCCAAGTCTCCAAACTGCCCCAAACAGGCCAAGAAGCTCGAGGACCTGCTGGCGCTGTGGGAAAAGCAAAAGTACTTTTCGGCGACCGTCATCGACGACCTCCGCGAGACCGTCAAAGAAGCCCCCCACGGCGGCAAGGTGGCAAAGGGAGAACAAGGCCAGACGGGGTCCAACCTCGGCTCGAAGCCCGCCAAAGATGCGCCCTACATGATCCCCTCGATCCACGGCGACCCGAACACGCCCTGGTTCGACCTCCCGGCCGCGAATTGGCTGCCGCACCTCACGCCCAACTCGACAAAGGCCATGAACCCAGACATGATCAAGCCGCTGCAGCTCGCCCCAGGACCCGCGGACAAGGCCCTCGCTAAGGCGGTCAAAGACTTGCTCGCAGACGTCGAAAGGCTCTACAACCCAGGCGCGGCCCCGCGAGACGACCAACAGCAGCAGCACACCGGCCTCAGCGAGATGGGTGAGCGGGTCGTTCTCGATGAGATCACGGGCGAGGTCGTCGACGGGGAGACGTACTACGGGTGGTCCCGCAGGTTCTGCGAGAAGATGAAGCAGCGGAGGAAGAAGACGAAAGGGGGAGCGACCGATCGCGGCCGTGGGCGATCCGAGTCGAGGAGCCGTTCTCGGAGCTCCTCCCGTAGCCGATCCAGCAGGAGCGACTCTCCGCCGGCCTTTAAACGACGCAGAGTGTCGCCCGACTCGCGGACGCCCAGCCGCAGTCGCAGTCGGAGTCGGGATCGTCGGCGCAGCCCTGGGCGTGGTAACCGCTACGACTCAAGAGACTACAGCAGGTCGAGGTCGAGGTCAAGGTCCAGGTCCAGGTCGCGTGCTCGGTACAGATCAAGATCAACGTCGCGCGATCGTGGTCCAGCAAGAGACCGAGACAGGGACCGGGGCCGCGCCAATGCCAGCAGGTCACCACTACCACCACCCGACCGCAATCGTCACCACAACCCCCCAGACTTTGGGACGGGAAGCCACACCGCCGGCTGGGGACAGCAGCAACAGCCGCCGCCGCCGCCGCACCCTCCCTCAAACTTCAACTCCTCACAAGTCCAAGCCTTCCCGCCGTACCCCCAACCCCTACCACAGGCGGCAGGCGGCTTCGGTCACTTCCCTCCGCCGCCACCGCCTCCGCAAGGCTATCAGGGTCAATGGCCGCCGCCGCCGCCTCCACCACCTCACCTAGGCGGTCCCCCTCCCTCACACGGCTGGGCTCCTCCGCCGCCGGGCCCAGGGGTTCCACCGCCGCACATGGGCGGGTGGGCGGCTCCTCCTCCTCCTCCACAACAGCAGCAGCAGCAGTACAATAATTATCAGCAGTACGGACGAGGAAACGGCGGCGGGTACCGTGGACGCGGGGGACGAGGCGGAGGCTCTGATCGCGGCAGAGGCGGGTGGTGAGGTCGTCACCGAGATCAGAGACCGAGATCAGAGAGAAGAAGAATCTGTAGATTAGCAAAACAAAACAAAATACACGCCATCAAACATGAACACGGTGCCACTGCGAGCAAACTCCCCACATAGTTCTGCGTAAGCCGTTTTTTGTTACCCAAGTCTAAAATGGTGGCGGATCACACGCCAGTACTCATTCATCGTCCAAGACAGAAAATCAAGGAGGTAAAGAAACCATCGCGATTCCCTCAATTCCTCGCGAGGCAATAAAGCTCGCGGAGAAAGAGACGAAGGACGCATCGTCTTCCCTCCCTGAATTTCGTCCTTTGTACGCCAATCCCATCTTTCTCGTTCGTCCACGCCTTCTTGTCCTTTCCCCTTCCCCCAACGCAACGTTTTTCTTTTCGCAACCCCCTCACACCAAATCTCTGTCACCCCATAAACGGCGGGCGGGAGAAACAACTCGATCTCGAGTCGAGTGTGTATTCCACGCAGAAAAAGAGAAAACAAAAGAAGTGACATCATGAAAATTAAGTTATGTTTCCGGGGGCTGCGAGGCCCCATCCCTAGCGTTCGGAAACCTTTCTTTCCCCTCCGCACCAGAGTCGTTTCCTGGGTGATCCTCTGAATCATTCCCTCCAGCATACAACTCATGCATGAGTTTCCCCTTTTAAAAAAATCTTCCCTCAACCGGTTGAAGGCATATCGTTCAGTGATGTCGGTCCCCGTCATGACTCCTCGTCCGCCTCGGCCTTGACTTCGCCGTTCTCTTCGGCGTCCTAGAATCCGACATGTTAATCATGGTCCAGTGGGGCGTGGGGCGCAACAAGTCGAACAGAAGGGGGCGCAAAGGCACGCCAAACATGAGCAAGGGACAAGCGTAAATCATGGTGTGGGCTGATCATACCGAGTCTTGTTGCTCTTGTCGACGATCCCTGCGATCTCCATCCTGCAGCTTAAGAGAATCTAGACGCTTCTGGTTATCCTCGGTGCCGTCAACCTCGTCGACGCGGGAAAGGGATCCGGCGTGGGCTCTACCCGCGGTCGGTGCGCCGTTTGCTGATCGCCTTTGCTCGGCCTGGTCTGAGATGGAGGCCCATTTCCTCTCGCGCAAGGCTTCTCTGGCCGCGGCGCTGTTCTGTTGCTCGGTGTAGTCGTGAGAGCAGTCATCGAATAGTTGGGGGTTGATCTCCATGAACAGCTTCATGGCGTTGTACACCATGCCGTGGATGGTGCTGTCAATGGTTAGCGGGTCTCGAGTGTAGGGAGCGTCCGTACTCACCGGTTCCAGTGGCCCTTTGAATTCTCATAGAGCGGCGCAAACATGATGGGCAGGATAATCTCAACGTTGTCGCTGACCAGGTTGCAAAAGTACTCGTTGTTCCAAAAGTAGAGCGCTCGCTCCGCCACCTGGAAGTGAGGGCTGGCTACCGACTTGGCGAGCTGGTGGAACAGAGGCTCCTGGACCTTGGCAAATTCGGCTGGATCCATAACTTCGAAGATGTCTTCGACCTCGTTAAGGAACATAACCTCTTTTGTGCTGTTGACCTTGGGCCAGTATCGCAAGAGGCCGAGCACGACCTGTACACGTTAGCTCAGTCACCGACAGAAACCCAAGACGACTCACCTCTTCCGTCAGCGACGCGTCCTTTTCGAGGAACTGGACAATGCAGTATGCCAGCTGCGGGTGGTACATGCTCAGACTCTTGACTTTGTGCAATGGTATCAGCACCCTTGTCAAGAAGGTCTTGTGCTCCTCCTTCAGCGGCAGGGCGAATCCGTTGATAATGGAACCCAGAATCTCCAAAAGCTCGGCGATGCCGTTGAATCGTTCCGTTTCGTATGTGAACTGGAAAAAGACGTTGTTGATGGAGCGGCGGATGAAGGAGCGGAGGTTGAGGAATTTGCCGTAGATTCGGTGCAGGGTGGTCTTGAGGAAGTCCCTCTCGCGCGGGTCCTCGGAGTCGAAGAGCTCCAGCAGCTGGAGGACGAAGCTGTGGTCAATGTAGGCTTTGGCAATGTTGGTGTTGAAGTCCTGGCTCTCGATGAATCGGAGGAAGAACTCGTAGACGACCTGGATATGGGGCCACGCAACCTCCAGGACGGGCTCGTCTTCCTCGGGATCGAACGCTTCGCCCTGGGGGTTCATCGGCGGGGGGATGGGTCGGAAGAGGTTCTTGGCGAACATCTCGACGACTCTGGGGTACATGGGTTCCGTAATGACTTGGCGGTTGTTAGCAACATAGTCGAGCAGCTCGTGGAGCGCCAATCGCTTGATCTCCTTGGACTTCATGTCACCGCTGGCATCGTTAAAGTCAAAGATGACGTTGCACTGGTCAATCTTTTGCATAAACAGCTCCTGGCGGCGGTTAGGGGGCACCTCGTGGAAGCCGGGGAGCTTCTCGAGCTCGCGGTGGGCCGAGATGTCGAATCGTGAAGAGTGCTGTCGCTTGGGTGTCCTCAGACCCTCGGGGACGTCCTTGGGGGTCTGGTGCAGGCGATCGAACATGAGCGACTTGGTGCCGGCCTTGGGGGGCGCGAGATCGTGCGGCATGGTCTCTGCGGCGCCGGGAGGCGGGACGTGCTGGGAGAAAGTGTCAGCGATCAAGAGAATCATGAACGGGACGAAGGCCACAAGCGTACCGGAGCACTGGGGCTGATGATGACGGTAGGCGGCAAAGTTCCATGACGGCCTGGAGAACCTGCCCCGTTAGCACCTTGGGCAGCACCCGCAGAGCTGAAGCGGTCGGCACCTTGCTGGTTGCTCAATGGAGAGGGCTGGTTCGCTGTGCCGTGCTCTCCGCCGGCGTTGTTAGGAGGCAGGGGCTTGTTGCGGGCATCGGCGAGGTTCGTGGTGGAGGACGAGGGCGTCGGGTTGGGTGACTGGTTGGCATCTCGGCCTGGGCCAGCGCCGCCGGGGGATGCGGTGCCATCTTTGGCGTCCTTGTTCTTCTTAGGCTTATTGGGGTCTTTGCCGCGCGAGAGCTGAGCATGCTGGGTTGTCAATATCGTGTTCAGCAGCAGGATTGGGCTTCAGGGGCAACGGGTATTGACGGAGACAACTCACCACCCTCTGGCTGAAGCGCTTCATTGTGGACGTCACTGTAGTGTTCCCTCTCTCCGTGGGGCGACAGGCTCGCCGACTCGAAAGCTGCAACTAGAGACTGTAAACCGCAATGGACGCAGGTCCAACAACGACTCGGGATATGGAGGAGCGCAGGGTGGACGGTCGAGGTGCAGGTGGTGGTGGTGCTGCTGCTGTAGGGGGTTCAATATCGGCCGGGTGTCGTCGAATGTGGGCAGGCGATGCGGGCGGATTGGTAGACGGCCCGGATGGCGAGCTGCGCAGTTGAATGAAAGGTTATGCGTGGGCGCGGTGGGTGTCTAGGCGATAGCGAGCGCGTCGGCAGATCGATGTCAACGTGATGATGAAAGGAGGGCGTTGCCGTCGCTTGTCGCTGTCGCTGGTGCTCGGCGAGTGCTGGGGTTGGGTTGTCAGGAAAGGGTCGCTTCTGGATGCGAAGAGCAGGGGGTGGAAGCTAGAGTCGAGGATTGGCGGGTGAGTTGCGACAAGGTAACGACGCATCAAAGGTTGGCAGATGTAGAAAAAAAGGTATGAGCGATCGGGCAGCGAAAGAAGAGAGCCAGACGCGAGAGGTTGAAGGTAGATGGGGGGTGGAATCTCTGGATCGTCGGTAAAGCTGAAGTTGTTTGCGGGGCCCAGGTGTGAAGTGTGAGACGACGACGACGCGGGACCAGAAAGCCGACCTCCCCTAACGTGCTAGCGGCGGTGCGAATATTAAGGTAGAGAGAGTGGTGCTTTGGGAGTTTGGACAGCTGGAGACGGCCCCAGGGGTGCGGCGACAGCCAGCCAGGAACAGGCCTTGACACTGTTGACACTGTTGACAGTAGGAGGCGCTGTTGACGCGGGAGTTGGGGGTTGGATAAAAAGGTTTAGATAAGGCAAGTTCGACAGTCGGTCAATGACAGAATGGGTTTGGAAGAAGAAGAAGTGGTGTTGAAGATGCGCATTGGGACTCTAGAGAGGCACGCAGTCGGCATATGGGTGCTGTTGATGTAAGAGGGGACGGACGAGGTTGACGAGTGGAGGTCAGGCAGTGGCAGTGGGCATTGGAAGGTGTGGTCTGGTGCTCCTCGCCTGCATCATCAACCCAACTGGACAGACTGCAATCGCACCTACTGCGCAGGAATTGGGTGGGCACGCCGCACCACAGGTGGGTTTTGGGCTGTTGAACTGGAGACGCACCTCAGGTCAGTATGTAGAGTCGCTGCGAGGACCACAACAGGGCACCACGAAGTACCTTACCTACCTACCTAGGTAGTACCTAGGCCAGCAGCGGCAGGCGTGCAGGCGCAGGTGCTGTGCAGAACGGATGGGGTAAAGGGACTTTGGTACCTCCCAATGAGGACAACTGTCACCGACTGCCACAGACTGGTGGCTGAGCACGGATCCTCCTGGGATTAGGTAAGATAAGTTGCCCTCGTCTGGTTGGACAGCTGGGGTCACTGCTTCTTGCACTTTGGCAGCTGTGATTGGCGGTGTGGAAGCTGGACCCTGGAGCTCAATTTCTCCTGACGGCCATAGTGTTATTCCGGAGCATTTTGACGGGTCCGGGTCGGGTCACTGCACCACTGCACCCCCTTGGCCCCCACAGACCATCTCCACACAAAAGACATCACAATGCACACACAGAGGGCCATGACAGCACACTGCCAAGCCACGCTGCGAAACTGAAGAAAAGGGTCCCATTTCGTTTGAGCCGTGTCGTTTCGACCCAAGCACACACTGTGATGGCATCACTCTACGATCCAGCGCTGCTGCTGCTGCTGCAAGTCACCTGCTAGCCCTTGCAGGGACCTCTCCTTGGGACGCATCCCGCGCCATGTGGGCATCATCACATCACCACGGGCCCAAGCTGCCTCAGAAACAACCGCCGCCCAGTCCTTCGGGAACAATTTTCCAAGTGATCAACATTGGACGAAAATCAAGGGCCAGCTGAGCCATCTGAAACGCGAATACGTCTGTCTCCATTCCTGTGAGACTCTGCATCGCGGTAAATAGAGATGATGGGGATTCCTGATGGGAGAATCGTCGCGTGTCTATCACGTCCTTAATCCGTGTCTGGGGCGAGATTCATCTGATGTCTTCGGTGATGCCACACTGGACCTACCTACCTACTGTGTGGCAGAGAGAAAACTTCGTGACAATTTTTGTCGATTCCATCGCGCCTGCCGTTGCGCGAGCTGTACAGTGCAGGGTCTCCATGCGGCCCAGAGCATCCGCTGAAATGCAGTGACCATACGGAACGGGCTACACTTCGCACCGTGCATCAAAATCATCACGGTCGCTCGGGACGGCATCACAATTCCAGTGACAGCCACGGGGTGACCAAAACGGCGTTCGGCCTGGAGTTCAGTCTCGCCAAGTGCTCCCGCTGAGACATCTTCCATTACACGCGCTTCCACGGCTTCAAGTCGGAAGCAGCCAATCATCTGGCCCCGACTGACCACCACTACATCTCGAACCAAGTGTGTCGATAGAAACCAACAATAAGCCGTCGCCATGGACACCCAGGTCGAACCAGTCAATGATGGAACGGCGGAAGAAAGCATCGAGGGCGTCGAGGGCGTCCAAGGTGTTAATAAGGACGATGCCCCAAAAGACCATGGCCCGTCACCACCCAAAGACAGCAACTCGGCGCCCCGGTTCCCGATCCCCAAGAGGACCATGGGCGCCGTCGAAATCCCCATGATTGTCATGAACCTGGACCGCACAGAAAAGGCTTTTGGCAACGTCTCGTCTTTCCAAAATGTGTGTATCGCGGCGTCCAAGTCTCTATCCGATACTGACGCCAGGCCAGATCCTCGACAGTGAGCGCAACACAATCCCATTCTACCTCAACCCAGAGAGCCCTTTCCGCAGACCCATCATGTCTCACAGCGCTACGAGCCACAATGTGGTCTTGAAGGTCACGGTCCCGAAGCGGACCGGCAGGAAAAGGAAGAGAGGGTCGGATGGGCTGTGGGAAGGTGAAGTCGACATGCGCGATGTGCCCAGGGCCAGCCCAGGAGCCGAGCCCATTTACTCCAGGTCGAGGCTGGACAACCCTAAGCTTCTACGGCGGAAGATGCGAGACAACGTCGACAGGTACAGCGTAGAAGCCGTCGGCGTCATCAAGCACACCCACCGCTTCCGAGGTGAGGACATTCCCATCCAGCCGCCTACCCCAACTGACAAGAGACAGGCATGGCGGATTTCCACTGGGGCCTCGAGCAGTCTCCCTTCATTTCGAGGTTCATGAACCAGGTTATGCCTGGCGATAGTAAGTCGATTCCGAGCGCTGGCCGAATGGCATCTAACACGCCACAGTCACCAAGATGAGGGACTTCAAGTTCATTGACGGCGTCGACAAGGGGCCCAACGTCGACATTGTGCCGCCGCCCGTGTGGACGCCAATGACGCTTCCCTTTATCTACAACTACTCCCAAAACCCCTATGTCCGCACCGAGCTCGACCAGACAGGCCAGGCGCAGCTCATCAACACCCAGCTGCCCACCCTCATCGGCTACTTCCTCAAAGCAGACCAGTATCCCATTCCGCCAGGCCCGCAAACACCGTACGACGGCTCCGACGAGGAGGTCACGTACTGCATAGCCCGCATGCTGGAGGCGATGGAGGAGCGGCCTATCTGGACGCGCCGGTCCCTGATGAACAAACTCGGGTCCGTTGTCCGCAACGCCAACGTCATGAAGCGCTGTGTCGGCTATGTAGGCTACCAATTCCGTGGCGGCCCCTGGCGCGATGCCATCATCAAGTACGGCGTCGATCCGCGCACCGATCCCTCCTTCAGGACGTACCAGACGATGATCTTCAACATGCGCAAGCTCCAGGCTGGGCACATTGGTGAGACATGGCATGCTATCCGCAGCCTGCGCACCGAGCAGCGCCAGCCCCAGGGCGACAACCACGAGTCCCACGTCTTTGACGGCAAGTCGTACTGGACCGACGGCAAGGTCTGGCAGATTTGCGACATAACGGATCCCCTGATTGCAAACATCTTTGCAACGGCGCCGCAGCGTCCCGAAGTGGACATCTACAATAGCGGCTGGTACCACCAGGGCACGTGGGCCAAGGTCAAAGGCATCATGAAGACCAAGATGATTGCGATCCAGTTTGGGCGCAAGCTCACGGATGACGACTTTGCCGGCATCTACGATGTGCGCGACACGACGCCGCCGCCGGGCTCCTCGAGCGTTCACGTGCCGCTGCCCGATCTCGAGCTCACCGACGCCGAGAAGCGCGTGCTGTACGGCCGCCGGTTCAAGGAACCCAAGAAGAAGCGCAAGGGCACCGCGTACCGCGTCACTAAGTCTAACGGGCCGCGGGGCGTTGCTGCCGCCGCCGCTGCGGGACGCAAGGCTGCTCGTAAGGAGGACTCAGGTGCGGAGGAAAGTGACGAGGTCGAAAGCGAGGACGACGTTGACTACCTTAATGATGACGATTACGAGCCCAAGAGGCGGGTCTTTGCACCCGTGCCTGGTCTTGATGAGGGCATGGAGGAGGAAGAAGAGGAAGAAGAGGGGCTAGAGGAGGAGTACGGCGATGAGGACGACGATGGAGAGGGCTACGGGTACGAAGACGGCGAGAGATATGATGAGTATGATGAGAGGCCCTTCTATGGTGCTAGTGAGCGGCGTGGCGTTCGCTTCGCAGACGATCAGGGAGGTGAGACGGACGTGGATGCGGCGTACCCCTCGGAAGTCCTGCCTTGATGTGAATAGGGTATGCCGGAGTCCTCGACCTAGGGGTCATCACAGTAATGCGGCTCAAGGTGGAAGCAGAGAATCACGGGCGTCGAAAGAGTTCGCATTATGCTCTGTTTACAAACTAGGTCCCCCGGATATATATCCCATGCCCGTCTCTTATGCTACCATATTCCGTTGCCTACCCCCCAAAGTTTAAAGATAGGAGAAATGCTAAGACGCGGCAATGAAGACCCTACAAAACGTATATGTAATAGACATCGCGAAGGGGGGAGAGACCCTCACTGCACTCTGAGCACCTTGGTCTTGTTCTCCTTCTGCTGCCGCATCCCCTCCACCCACGCCGCCGTCTCCCGCAGCGCCCGCCGGGGATCCTTTTTCCGCTTCAGCAGGAACCCCTGGATCTCGGCCGGGCTGAAGAGGCCGTCGGGGATCAGGGCGCCGAACTCGTCGGCGATGCGTCCCAGCTCCTCGCCGTCGAATTCGTGGCGCTTCTTCTTATCTGCTGCTTGTGCCGCCGCGGCGTCCGTCTCTGGTGATGGTGACGACGGGGAGACTTTCTCTGTCGAAGGGGTAAAGGAAGACTGCGAAGGCAGAGGCGTCGACGGAGATGATGAAGACGAAGAACCAGAGGCGCTCCCGTTCCCGTTCATCACAAGAGGCGGCGCCGGGTTCGTCGGCGGCGCGACGTGCCCGTCGACCCTCTTGGCCGGGCTCGCCCCGTCGGCCTCGTACATGCGCTGGAACAGCTCCGTCGCCTGCGCGGGCGTGGCGTTGGTGAAGCCGACCTGCAGGTCGACGCGTCCCGGGCGGATGAGGGCCTCGTCGAGGGACTCGGGCTTGTTGGTCGTCATGACGAGGATGCGGCCTTCCTGGGACGCGACGCCGTCGATGGCGTTGAGGAGGCCCGAGAGGGAGATGCCCTTTTTGTCGTCCTTGGCTTCCTTCTTCAGGGCGCGGGCGAGGTCCGAGACTTTCCAGTCGTCTTTGTTTGTTGTCGAAGAGGTCTTTTTGCTACTTTCGTCTTTGGTACCGTCGTTCTTCTTGTCGGAAGGTTTGGAGTCGCCGTCTTTGGTGCCGTTGGGGGCACCACCGCCAGCGGCGTCGGTCTCCGTCTCGTCTTCGACGCGGGCGAGGCCCGCGGTGTCGATATCCTCTAGTAGCACGACACACCGGCGCGGCAGGGAATTGAACAGCGTCCCCAGATCCTCCTCCGTCAACGTCGGCTCCAGCAGCGAAATCACAAAGATATCAAGCCCAAACACGCCAGCGAGCGCAAACGACAACGAAGTCTTGCCCGTCCCGGGCGGTCCGTAAAACAAATACCCCCGCCGCAGCGGAATCCCGCGGTTCGCGTACCACCGCGGCGTCGCCGGGTGGAGGTACTCGTTCATGTCGGCCATGACCTGCGCCTTCTGCCGCGGGTCGAGCACGACGGTACGCATGGGGCGGACGGGCCGGTTGGCGACCTGGCTCCAGTTGTACCGCCCTCCGTAGCGGCGCATCGGCGCCGGGCTGGGCCGCTTGATGGTCGTGCGGGCGTAGTGGTCCTGATAATAAAACTCCTTGACGAAGCGGAGGAGCTCCTTGATGGGTTCCGGGTTGCGGCCGAAGCACGAGACGATGAGGTCCTCTTCCTTGCGGAAGGTGCCGTAGTTGGACTCGCCGTCGAAGACGGACTGCTGCTTGCGGTGGAGGCGGAAGTAGCGCTTCTTGTACCAGAAGCCGTGGACGCCGACGGCGGGGACGTATCGCGGGGGCTGTTTCGGTGTTAGTTACGTCTCGGACAAACGACAGAAAGGGGGAGACACATACAGCTTTGGCTTCTTGGTTGGAAAAGTTGAGAAACTCGGTCGCGCCGCTCCCGCTCCCGGCAATCGTCCTCGTCTGCAGCGCCTCGAGCTCCTCCTCCTCCTCCCACGCCGTCTTGCTGACCGTCTCGGCCGTCAGGGAGCGGGAGCTCGCCATGAGCGGCTGGAGCGCCAGCCACTTCATCATGTGCGTGTAGATCTCGTCGGTGCTCGAGACGTGGATGGAGCTCATGAAGTTGTCCTGGATCAGGCGGAAGACGGCGCCGTAGGCCTGGCGGACGACGCGGTTCGCGGCCCAGAAGAAGCCCGCGAGCGTCAGGATCAGCGTCGGGTCGATGCCCAGGTTGGAGCCGATCATCTGGTACAGCAGCATGAGGGAGCGCACGACGGGGTTGAACTGCCCGCCCAGCATCGGCAGCAGGGACTCCATCATCTTGTTGCTGTTGCCCGCGCCGTAGCCCCCCCGGCCGCCCGTCATGTTCTCCGCCATGGCGGTTAGGTTGCCCTTGAAGAGGGTTGAGAAGTCCATCTTGCCTAGGTCTATCATCTTGGTGGCGATGGAGTAGAGAACGACAAGGTAGATGCAGACGCCTGCTTGTTTATATAGACACCCAGAACTAGGTCTAAGGGCAGAAGCAGTGGAGTGCGGGTTGAAATAAGAATCAGTTGAGGCAACCCAACTTGAATGAGCCGCGTACCTGATTAGGCGGTCGTTGCCTCGCCTTCGTGCCTAATGTCAGATACAATTCAAGCGAAAAGGACTATGCATAATAGACCAACTAAGAGTACGCGCCACTGTAGCCTTGCAGTCGACTCTGGAAGTCCGACTAAATCGGATTCCGAGGTCAGCAGAGTTGCCTGGAGTGGCGAATGAATCTACGGCCTCTGCCATGAGAAGAACTAAAGAGATTTGCGGCTCTGTGATTGCACCGTTGCGGCAGACTACCGGTTCGAATGCAACGAAAGAGAAGAGTGTGGGGGAGTGTACGTCAACGTCATCAGCAGCTCCAATGACCGTCAGCCTGCCAGGCTCTCGGGATGGGAATCGATTGGTCTAGCCTAGCAGACGAGAAACGATCCACGCTCGCGGCAGGCAGTGAAAGAAATCTGTTTGCGTTCCCAGGTTGCACTTGCAGGTGCCGCGTTAGCCAGACTCGCCAGGATGGTGACTTGCAGAGAGATATCGAGGTCGCATGTGACTCATGGGATCTAGATCTTTGCAAGACAGAGACACACCATTCCGGCAACTACAGTGACTCTTCATCAGAGTTGGAATGGCAAAAGGGTCGGCTCCGAGGGACTGCCCAGTTCAAAACCGAGTTGCATTGTCTCTTGACGCTAAGAGGGGGCGAAAGATGTGTAGAGAAGTTGCAAGACTCAACGTTGACAGGGTGCAGCACCCGGGAACAACGCTCGCGCAGTGGCGGGCTTGTGCTCTTGAGGTCGCAGTCCTATGCCCGTGTGGCTGAGGGCGCTGAGCCGTTTCTGGCCGCCAGTGCATGCTTCTGGTAGGGGAGGCCTCAGGCAAGTGCCGTCTTATCCGGGTAACGGTATCCGCAACGGCCCGGCATAATCCACTTTACTCGGTGTCAACGACTGCCGCATCCGGTCCGGACTTTGTCAGCTCTCCGGCCGCCAAGCTACGAGACAATTTACTGGAGCGAGACTACATTCAATGAAAGTAGCAGTAGAATATTACTTCAATTACTCCGCCATCGGTCTATCAGCGCAAGCAACGGTCCGAACGCCTCCCAATGCCATTTCCAATCGTCTTTCCCAAGTCCCCTCTGCTCTCCTCCATTCTGCTCGCCCACTCCCATCAGCTTGATCTCCTAGGCTCTCCAGAAATCTATATACTCACACTTCACTTGAGATAGCACTGCAGGGCACATCTGTCGCCACCCCAGTTGTTGCTAACATGCTTAAACTTGCGCCCCTCGTTCCTCCCAGCTCGCGCGTAGGGCATGTCGCAGTCCGAGTCCTTGTAAGGGTCGCTGCCGCCGTTGGCGTCGTTGCAGTTGTACCAGGCCTCGACACTGAGCTTCTCGTACTTGCACAGCGGGTCCTCGCTGATGAGTTGCATCGACTGGACGCCGACGACGCCGAGAGCGAAGACGACGGTGGTGAACTTCATGTTGGGGAAGAGACGGAGAAACGTAGAGATAGAGTTGCGTAGGTTTTGGACGTAGAGCAGTAACTTTTGAGTCTAACTTGCTAGTTCCTGCGAGTTGAAGCATCTTATATGAGCTTGTCTGGTTCGGGTTGCTCCCACTTCCCTTTGTCAACTCACCGCAACCGCAGTTGCGTAGATCGCAACTATGTCTTTGAAACTTAAATAGAGTGGATTGATGTGTGCAGTTGATCGTGAACTCTCCTCAAGCTACACGAGGCTATTTTTCGTATTTCAAACGAGGCCAGTCAAGGCAAAGAACAGCAGGAGCTTCCATGGCAGCAACTTCAAGGGCAGGGCTCACACGAGTCGTGTCTAATCTTCCGGGTGGAACTATACAGCACCTAGACGATCCTCGAGACAATGAAGCGGCCCAGGAACGAGCCAGAGGCGCCATCACGCGTATCATTCCCGCCTGAGAATGGATCTCGGACTCTGCTTGACTAAATATCGTGGCAACCAACGAGTCAGTGGTAGTGCTTGGCCACCGGCGAGTTCCATTCTCTGATGAAGACTTCACAACGAATATGGCAATGATGAGCCTCTGGAGCGTTCCACTCTGGATCACTCCGCTGCAGAGACAAACACGAACCGAAAGATAGTGAACGGCGTGAGGTATGAAGCTAGAGAGATTCCGGATTCAAACACGTAAGTCGGTTAATTATTCGCATGCTAGCGATGGGTCGAATCAAGTGCACTTTGTTGATAGCTCTGGAGTTATCTGTAAATGGCAGAAGGGTGGGTGACTATTGTTCTCTCTGAAGCTCGTCAAGTCCTCCCAAGCTCCTGGCTAGGACGACCTGACGGTATTCTTGATGCATGGGCATAACGACAAGGAACGGGTGTCCATGAGAGTATAGCGAGCGGATAGTCTCCTTTAGCATAATCGCTCAGAATCGTCGATCTCCAGGCTAAAACGCCCTAGACCTTTGACAACAGGTTCTTAGAACCGTACATCGACATATTTTATGCGCTACTGCTAGGTCTCTTGATTGTGTGATGATATAGGTTAAGCCCCATGCTCTGTCTCCTGTCACCAGAGATTCCCTTACTGCAATCCTTGTCACCTAACACCTGAATTGGCTTTTAGTCAGATCGGCGTCGTTGTCAACTTGAGGCGAGCGCAGACAACTTCATACAGAACAATAGGTAGGTCTCGAAGTTAGTTGACCATTGAGATGCGAGTTGAGTAGCCTCCGTACACGTAGTTGGCGAGGGATTAACAACGGTCTTCGCATATGCCTACGAGCCCCTTTCACTCCGATCTATCTGGAAAGGCAACTTTGGTGAACAGCTATCTGTCCGCTAAATACTAACAGAACTGCCTGGAACATCTCCACAGCTGGTCAATGTCTGAGGATCTCTGTGCTAGGCCAGTAGTCATTTCACCGTCACCTTGGACATAGGGGTGGGTGTCAGTACGGGAAGTTCAACGCAGAAGTCAGATCGATTCCCGTTCGTGGTACCAAAGTTGGCCGCTTCGTCCAAACGACTGTGTAGGCTGGTCTCCAATCTTGATGTACAGCCAGGTTGAGAGAGCTCAGTGCTCGGAGTCGTGAAGAGTTGAACCGGAATCTTCGAAGATCCGCAACTTTGGCCTTGACTTGGATAGAGAGTGACAGTGAACTGTCATCGAACACACCGCCAGAGCAACTCAATTGCCCCGAGGCACTCAAAGAGATCTAGTGGTCATTGCGACGGTGATGTTCAAATTGGGTTTGGAAACTTGACCAAGCACTACGTTGTCCTCGGGCGACCAGTGCCGCAGGTAGTGGCCTCTGAGATATCTGGATACTGGATCGCGAGGCTGCATTCATAGCGTGGATTTATCTTTCCTACCGTTTGCATACCTTCCAGAAGTCTAAGCCACATGATAAATTCCCTAGCTTACTGGACAGACCGCAATCGAGTTTCTCGCGCTTCTGTCTCTAGCCCGCGACTTGTCGTTAGCTGATCACCACCACGGCTGAGTGTCCTCAGCCCAGACCTAGAGCATAACAGCCTGATCTGTGACACTTCTTCACGTACTAAGACAGTCTCAAGACTATAATTATTGACCGTACTGGATGCGGAGTACATAGCGAATGGCTGACCACCAAGGAGTTGCCTATTTAGAGAGCATGACCACATCGTCACATCTATATTCAAACCGACCATCGACCATACCAGGGAAGTCAACGTGATTTGTGCGGTGCTGAAGCTGAACACAACGTCAGAGCCTCTCCCCTCTACAGTACGTCCGTGGTTATGGGGTTGACACCTGCCATCATGACTGATTGTTAAAGAAGCCGTCAAGGAAAGGAGAAATTAGACGGGAAGAGGCTGAAGATGGAGCACTAGATATTGTCAGCTTAATCTCCCTAGGCATCTAGAAGTCTCCCTTCTTCGCCTAGTATTCAATAAGGTATATGCATCAAAGGCAGCTAAGGAGTGCGAAGCAACTTCTCATGCGCCTGCCTAGGGAGTGTCATGAAGCCATTCATTGATCCCACAATGGCAGACACTAGAACTCTGCCTCATAGACACATGTGGATGCGGCGGAAAGCCACCGCAAATCGATCAACAATTGGTGACTTCAGTTCGAGAGAAGCATCTAGCAGACAAAGCCCTGGAAGCAAAGATATCAGAGCGGCCCCGAGTCGAGTCCTGGCTGCTGCAAAGAAGGCACTCCCACGATATGAACTGCCGCTGCGTTAGCAACACTTGATTAGATCTCGCATGTGAACTCGGGGTGCCTGAAAACAAGTTGGTAGCTACAAATTGGCCATGACAGATGCCCAGAGTCTGGCTGACAATGGTACCTCTCGCTGCTCTCGCTTAGGATCTGACACAGCAGCTGGGTATCTCAGTCAACCTCTTTTCGTGGAAAATATCATCTGAAAGAGTGTACATTTTCAAGTTGGGCCACGTTTACGAGTGCAGGCCTACAGAAGCGCTCCTAGTTGTCTGATATTGGACATGCTCGAGCTCAGCACCTGTGACACAACGAGACGCAGCAACGCGAATTAAATGTGACAGAGGCATCCCTTCAGAGACTTCATGATTAACATCTACAGACCACAACTTTGAAAGAACCAGCAACAGGTCGAGCAACTCATACAGTCACAGGTCGACTCTGGGCAAGCCAGGAAATCGGACATCGAAGCTCCCTTGTTGTCTTCTCTATCTTCCTCGTACCAAAAGACAACCCAGGCACCGGCTGCTCCCCAGTCATAAACATCACACATGAGTATGCAAGCATGTCTTCTTTCCAGACTATCTTACACCAACACAGCTCGACTTAATTCATCGCAGACAAGTCAAAGTTCCACCATGACGTGAAGTCCACCATGAAACTCTCTAATCCCACCTTGAGCTGGTTATCCCGACGGAGTGTCTGTATCGACGAAAACGATGTCTCTCGATCGGCACCGTTCGATCCATTATCTTCCACCTACTTCGCATCGAGTTCCCCAAAAAGCAAAGTTCAAAAGACGACAAACCTTCACCATGCCAGTCCGGCTATTGCAACATGAACAAAAGATCCCATTCGAGTCAGCACATCATCAGTCCATCCGAGTCATCCCTCTCGTTTCCATCTCACAACTCCCGCAAGGATCCAAGTCTGCTGCTCGAGGTCTAGACCGGGTCTAGGATCTTTCTTTTTCGACTTCAGCCCCCTTTCTAAAAGAAGAAAGTAAAAATACTCCGAGGACAAACTTCTGCCATCCGATCCAAAAAGCAAACATGACCCTTCTTTTTGCAATATACAAACCAACAGTTTCAGGGACGAACTAGCCTGGTCTTTTTTGGACAAACCCCAACTATCCCAAAACTCAATGACCCATTGATCCCCATTCGGCCTACATGAACACCCTCTGATCTTCGTCAAACCCAAACGTCCGTCGATATTCTTATTCTGTTAGCCACACATCATTAATCAAAGCCTCCGAGTCCAATCCCAACCGTCATAAAAAAAAATGCTCCGAAAACCCACACCGTCGACCGTTGACCCAAAGAAAGTCTTCAAGACATTAATAACTCTCAAACATATCCCCTTTTTTTTCTTCTCGCCAAAAGACAATCCACGTTCCACACCCCCGGTATCACTCTTACACGCCAACATCCGCCCCTCCTCCAACATCGCGGGCTCCACATCCCGTCGATGGACGTAACCACAGCAGGCCATCGAACCGAGCATCACCCAAAAAATCCTCAACCCATGATCCCAGCCATAGTCCGCTTTCCTAACCTCCCCATGATCCCTCATCCCCGCTAGACTCGTTGCCGATGGGGAGAGTAGAGACCGCCATCTACACAAGACTCCGTCTAATCTCCCCTACTCGTCGTCGTCGCTCAAACGAAACACGCCAACGCGTCAACTTACGTAGGCAAACTTGCGTGTTGGATTGTGTGTTGCCGCACCCTCAGACATTGTGCGCTCTTGGCCTCATTGTACGCTGATGCCCTCGAGACGTGTTGCTGAGACAATTGGACATGAAAATCAAACCCAGTCGGCCGCCGGGCCTTACGCCGGATTTCGATCGGAAGCTATTCCCATCAGGATAACGGCCGAGAGTGCCATGACGGCGATATCTCAGCGACACCACACTCCAGGCATACAGCACCCGGCAGCAACATTCGTCTACACCAGCCGCGCGGCCAGAGATACTTCAGAATATCCATCATGGCCAAACACAAAACTGGAGCTTGCCACAGTACTCCCAGTGCTAGAACCACGAGGATGAGGCTGGGAGCGGTACTCTCTGCCACAAAGTCAGACACGCGAGCAGACATGCCCATGGGCCCATCCATAACGGCATAGAGGACACAATGCCCTCAAGGTCGCAATCTACATGCTTCACCAACGATCCCACAGCCTTTCCCACTGAGCCCACCGCGATCATACCACATCATCTTGGGGGGAAGTGATGGAAAACCCTCCGATTCCGCCGTCCCGGTCCTTGTTTCTGGGAAGCCCGCCGCCCACAGAGTTGGACCGCGAGTTCATCTGTATAGACACCCATGAACCATGGCATCTCATCTCCCACGGGGCCACAAGTACACAGCAGACCCAGACATGCTATGCGACATCTCATCTCCTCCGCATCTCGTCAAACATCGCTCGGCAACGGCATTTGGGATGTCAGAAAACCTTGGCGTATCCGGCTATCAACGTAAGGTAGGGAAAACGCAAGATTAAGCGCACCGAATACATTGATCGCCCGAGTCTATTCCTCCCTAATGTCCCCCTCTGTTGCCTCGAATGCGGGTCCCAACGCTACGGATCAATGTCGACATCTCCAAGGGAAAAGCTAGATAAACTGTAAAGACAGAGAGATACGCGAACTTTTGGTGAGTAGCCAGATAATGTCTGTAGTAGCATTGCTGAGCCACCTCGGCTTGCTCATTTCACATGCGCGTTTCCTCGAGCTACGCCATTATGCCACAAAGCATGGGAACTCCCAGACGGCGAGGACGAGGATAGGCGGGTGTGTATCGATCTGGGCAGAAACCCATCTCTATCTCGGACCACGTCCCTCTAGCATCTTGCAGACTAAGAATGAAAACGTACCAAAGAGCCATGCGTTCAACGGCCTCCCACGCGAGCTCATGGAGCACCGTGATCCACCATCCCCATCTTCGATCCTCGACTATCAGACATCATGTCACGTCTTGCCAGCCGAGTTCTCCAAAGGCCCAACGCACGGGAAACCTCGCCCATGATCCCCACTTTGGAACGACCGCACCCTCCAAGCTCCATGCAACGGGCTCTTCTCCTCCCCGAGCATCAACCACAAGTCCGCCGAGACCACTCGAGTCAAAACACCAGGGAGACTGCCCGATGAGGAGCAGACTGCACTCTGCTAAGCATACTTCCAACTGGAACGAAGTCCCTCTCAGTCCCTAAGAAAAGCTGTCCACCGTTCCCACATATTCCCAAATACCCACACAAGCTCCCCATTGCTCCACAACGTATCCCCATACCGGTGAACATGCCCCCTAGCCGACATCCCACGCACTCAGACGCATACGCTGTTCTCTACGTCTTACCTCCGAGCCTTATCCAGTCTATCCATCTCTCGGCCGTTGGCGCGTGACGGATCTGGGTCTCTGTCTCTCTCTTACAACGTCCAACCTAGATGGCGCCATCAACCGCCTGATCGTCCAACCCGTGCCTCATCTCTCTGCTTGTCATGTTCCCCCCGTTCTGATCCCACGCCTGTCTGACTCGAAAGGGATACACACGCCACAAGAGACACAAGGTTGATCCCCAGACAGACAGGTCTAACACGCACGTAACGGCCGGCTCACATCATCAAGATTCGCAAATCCTAGTGCCACCCGCTGATCCTCCTCAGAGTCCTCACACGCCCGTAGGCAGACAAACGGAACCTGATATCTGAAATCCAAAAGTCTCACTCACATGAGCCCCCAAACCCAAAAAGAACAGACAACCACACACACACCCATCAAGCACCTGCAGGCGTCTACAAGCATCAGATATCAAAACTCCCCTTCTCGTCGTCCCTCCCCAGGATGCTCGGCAAACATCCGGGATATCAATATCCTTCCCCAGTCATCGTCGTCAAGACTATCATCATCCCACATACTCCTCCATGCAGAGCACACATCCTCCTGAATCCCCGGCAGATCCAAGTAAGGTAACCCACGCTGCCAAAAACAAACATTACTACCATTCCCAATGAGGCAGCACTTGGATATCAAAAAAGCTCAAAGCTCAAAGCTCAACCCACGCACCGGACGACAGTATCACATACATCAGTGACATTCGTGACTTTCAAGATACTTCTACTTCGTCTACTTTGCTTGACATCACGATACATTCGCGATACATCCCCTCGAGCTTCCACTAAAACCGCACCCCCTCCAAGCTCCGCCAACAACTTCCGAGCTCCGAGTGACTCTCAATCTTCCTGCTACTACCTCAACCCGCATAGTTCTGACCTTCCCTTGACCTCACCTCACATGGACCTGACCTCACCTCGCTCTTTTGCCGCGAGGAGCAAAGGCAGCCGTATTCCGTCCCTGTACATCGCCCAAGAGCCGGCCGGCAGCACGCCCACAGCTCAGAAACGAAACTACCAAAGCTTCCTTCCATGGCCTGTCCTCTGCATCTGTACCTGTACCGCCGAAGCGCCGCCGCCCTTATTCCCACGTGAATCCCGGCTACGAGGAATCTATAGAACACCGGGCTATCCGTGCTGCAAACCCATAAGCAGCAGACGGGGGAGAGCAATGCTCCTGCATTGCAAAACCTGCCGGCGAGGTGAAGCAGCAGCGGCGGCGCGGACGAGGTGCGGTCAACGGACGAGGGTCCGGAAAGACAGAAATTCACCCAATCCATATGCCGAGCCAGACAGAGCTCAGAGAGCGGCCCTTACCCCCCCAGCCTCTCTCTTCCCACCCATGTCATCAAACCCCTGTCCAACCGTCCAGAAAACCCATGCCAGCGGTCCCAAGGGGCCCCCAGACGGCCCCGACGCCCCTCAAGGTGAGCAGTCAGGTGTAACCCTCTCACCGACATATCCCTCACCTCAGACCTGTCGTCCAACGTCGACTCATATCGAAGGCTTACTGCGTACCCTCCTCCTACCTCCCATCGCCCGCCGCCGCCCAAAAAGGTGTCATGCTGCCTCGATTAGACGCGTCCGCGCGCCGTTCCTCGGCACGTCTTGCCAAACGGCTGCCTTTTCGATACCCCCAGAACGTCCGCCCCCATTGGCACCATGCCTCTTCCACCAAAGGCATCCACGCACCATCACCCCCCTGCTCGATAACGGTGCTGTGTAACCGTTGCTACACCACAAAAGCTGACGAAAGCACTAGGGGGAACCGTTCGCTAAAGAAGGACCAGCCCGCAGAACCCTCGTTGGCAACAGTGCCCCTTGCTCATGACCCCCCGGCCTGCATCTACCCTCCATCACGAACTCTCCAAACTGGTCTTCTTTCGTGCTTTACCCTCACCAAAAGGCCACGGATCGCGGTCACTGTCCGGCTGCCTCCCCTTCTCTCATCAGATGATTCTTGCGTATCCGTACTCGTTATCTTCCCGTTGTCATTGTCCGTGCCTTCCTGCGACTTACCGTCATATTCCCGGCCGTGTAATCAGGCAGCTCACCACGCGGCACGTGTCGTTGAAGAAGAGTAGCACTAGCACTAAACAGAGGGAGGGGAGGGAAAGGGAGGGATGCTCCGCGCTCCGCACCACCGGTGCCTCGATGCAACTCTCACATCAGAAGTGAGGCTCTGCATGAGTAGGAATGCAGTGCATGTCCGCCCTGTTGCTGCTCCTCCGCCCCCGAAGGGAACTCGCAATGGACGCTGTTCGGCAGGATCCATCCCGCTCCTTTTGTCCTGCCAATGACATGCTCACGTGAACAAATGGCCATCCATCGTCGCCAGGGGGGGTTTGCTTGGGGTGGCTGGGGGCGAAAAGCAGGAGGTTTCCCAAAGATGACAACTCCAGAAGAAGATAGGGGCACCAACATCCAGGCGGTCGGTGTCGATCGAGACCACCGCGCGATCCCGGTACCCGATGTACATGGCCCCTGAGAGGGAAAGCCCCCGATGTCGAGCAGGAGAGTCCCGCCGGCCATATCGCGTAGTCTTGCCGGGACGCAATGTCAAAAGGTTCTCTATCCCCGGCTAGCTGTTGTTGTCCGCTGCCCACGCTTTGGTGGTTGGTCAAGAACAAAATGGCCCGCGACATGGTCCGCCCGCCATGGGCGATCGCAGTCGTGTAACGATCAAACCGCCTTTTCAGCAGTGGTGATGCAACGCTGCCAACGGCAAATGATACGAAAAACTCGCATTCACTCTGCTACCGACCTGGCGTCGGACGAGTGTCAGATCCGACCTGTCTCAAAAACAAAAGAAACGACCTCGAACCAGAGACAAAAAGAAAACAAAGCGACGGGTCAGCTCTCACCCGTTTCGTGACGTGGCAGTCCGCACCCTGACGCCTTCTTGATCAATCCACGAGCATCATCAGCAGGCTGTCTCGACGGGTACTGCTACTCGAGCATGCCAGATGCAGGCCGCCGCAGATTCCCCGCGCGTCGCTGCTCAATCGATTCTCACTCACCTGGGGTCAGGATGAGCAAAAGGGAAAAGCTGCATAGTCGGTTCCATCTTTTGATGACCTCGAGGTGTTGAAGACACAGAATCAGCCATATGACAACTCATAAACACCATCCACGGGGGAGGGGGCCAAAAATTCCCCCATCCGTGCTGACATGCGTGAGGCGGACAAGATGCGATTATGCTGTGTAGCTGGATCAGCCAATTCGCTTCCGAGGAGGCCTGGAGTCCCTGCTTTCCCGGCTTGAGCCACCTAGACTTCTAGGCTGAAGTGAAGGCATCCTCAGGTGACACTGGCCCAGGAGTGCTAACGTCTCGAGACCGCTTTCGTCAACACGAGACGCGGGAGCCATGCGGGTTGGTGGCCCCAAGGAGCGGTGGTCTTGGAGCTGACAGCTCAGGTCGTACACGTATGGAGGAAAAGCAAATGCGTGATTCGGTGAAGAGCGCGGATTGTCGTCCGCCTCACCGACGTGCACTGAAACCTGACCCCCCAGTCTTTGGTTAGCAAAAGGCGGCCAGGGCAATAGCGCCAGCTAGAACAAGATCAATAGCGTAATCAGCAGAAATGGATCCCGTGACGCTGGTGTACATCTGCAGGCTGCACGAGGTGAAGAAAGCAGTAAGGCGGAGGATTGTCAGACAGGGTAGGAGGGGGACGTCGGTGAGCCGGCGGCGTAAGAGAGGCGTAGCAAACCAGCTTCTTCGCTGCGGATGCCCGCCGTGCTGGGTGGCTTGTCGCTGCAGACAACGGCGCAAGGTGCTAGGCATTCAAATGCAAGCAGCCGTTGCATCGTAGAAACGACACATGAGCCACCATGAGACGCGGTCCGCAGCGTACCAGGTAATAAGTCGTGACCATCAGCAACCGCATCGGGACAGCTGCGCATTCCAAGACTGACCGGCGTAGCAACGTGTCTCTGAAGCCCCTCAGGCTTACTACGGCACCTCCTCTTCTCGTTTGCGAACGTCCGCTCTGTCGAGAAGGAAACGAAAATGACATGTCGCAAAGCTCCAAACGGCACCTTGGCTGCCAGCGAAGCAACGTTGAGGAGGGGCCGGCCCGGGTAGGGTGTGAGTGCTGCGAGCCGACTACCGATCTCCGTATATGGACGCCGGAGGCCCTGGCCTGAGTTGCCTGATCCGGAGACTCGTGCGGCATGGGATAGAGATTGTAGGCGGAGGGGTGCGCCTTGCGGTTGGAACGGACTCTACCGGATTCAGGGGCCCGGTCCATGTAGGTAGGCTGCTGCACCGTGGCAACTGACCTTTTGATTCGGCGGTCGGTGGTGTTCTGCTCATGAGAGGCGCGACGGCGGCAGGTATTGACTTTGAAGTGCACATAGTAGCAGCGGTGGCGGGAGAGTCCGTCAGAGCTTAGCTAGGCTGGTGGTGTAGTCGGGAGGCGTGCACGTGAGGCCATCGTGAAGTCCCACTCGGCGCCACGGTACGGCGGCGGCCGGCAGCTCCGTCTTCCCCGGCCGTCTACGGTCCAGGCCGGCGCCCCGGTGCAAACGATAATTCGTTCGGCGGAACCACATTGGAGGAACGAGGATGGCGTCAAAGCATATGCCGTCCACTGGGTCTTCTATTGTCCCGTCCTCACGAGGTGGGCTGCAAAGGGCGGACGCCACATAATCGAGGACTAGGAGCAGTCGGCTGCTTGCAGCCAGTTTCCGCATGGTTCGCGGAGGAACAAGTGCACCTTGCAATCTGTCAGCGTCGTTTTGGGCCGCCTCGTCCCACAATCGCAGACCGAAGCCGGCGTTTGAGACGTGGTTGACTCTGGAGTCGGATCGTACGGTTTCCTGTACTGCCATTACCTCCACAGCAAGGGTTGGCTCCCTCCGAGATGAGTGCTCGGAGGAGCTCAACGGTGCGTGCAGCAGAAGGCAATGTACACCACGCACGCACAGGTGTCCATGCCTTGAGAACGGCCATGCCATCCCATACTGCCCTCCGTCAATCTTGCCATGTTGCGCTGGGACACCCGGGGAAACGGGCTACGCTGCCCGGTATATCCAGACAGCCAGGATCGGCCAGCCACAACACAACGGCACGGAGTTTTGAAAGCTCGCTTCCGCATCGTGGCATATCGAATTCAGGGGCCCAATGTAAACGTGTCTATATCAGCAAATGGCCCCTTCAAAGCCCTCAAGGTAGGGCGAGAGCAATGGGCCTCGACAAGCATGGAAAACACCCATGATCCATCGTGATTCCGCAGCAGTGCGACGAATAAGTGAGCCAAACTAAACTCGGAACACGCCTGCCTGGCCGACCCGTGGAGCACTGGAGCTTTCGACCAAAGGTTTGATTGACGAGAGTTTACTGAGCACACAACGCTTCTCCTAGAGGATTGACTCGCTCGGCCGTGCCCGAATACACCCCCCCGGGCGACTTCGTCTGAAGGTAGGGCCGCCGCTTATCGTTAGCGGGCAGCAAGGCACCGCACGTCGAAGGAATTAGTACCAATTTCGAAGAGAGATGGATGTGTGCGACAATTTTACCTTTGCCTGGCGTCAGCATGTAGGTACTCTGACAGACAGATGCAGTCTCATGTGAGAAAGATCAGATGCGGGATGATGATACAGCCAACAAGCTGCTTAGGTCAGAATCGCTGTGCCGCGTGGATGGCAACATGATCTACCGGCGACGACGACGAAGCTCAGATTCGACCCCCAAATCTCGAGTGTATCTGGACGCAGTGGGAAGCCATCGCACAAGAATAGCAACAGCTGCTCCGCAGTCAGCTCCGCATCGCGCCCTGGTTGTACCTTATCCAACGCAGTGGCTCCTTGGTGATATTGCCCAGGGCCAAGCGCAAGCAACACCCGGGCTCGTGCAATTCGACTCAAGCCCTGTCTCGTGGGCTGCGGTCCTCTGTCAGCAGAGGCTGCCCCGTGCCATCCCGGATGCATAGTTGGGGGGCCTGTTGATGCTCCTCCTCATCAACGTAGTAGCGTAGGGCAAAAGTAAGGTGGCATCTCCAAGGAAGACCTTATTGTACAGTCACAACACATCAGACTTTGTGGGGTGGCGGACAAAGACAGCGGCACGCCGCGCAGTCAAGCCCTCGTATGGAGCCATCGGGCGAATTCATGTGTGCGCCGTGGATTGCCATGTTTGCTGTCTGCTTGGGGCAAGGTTGGAACGACGGAAAAAATACGACGAGAACACGAGTAGCGCCCAACGCTAGCCGCCCTGGGAACTTTGGCCTCCAAGATGGGTGTCCACCATGATCCCGCCCGATTCTTCATAGCAGATAACGGCGTTGCGCCGTGAGACGCGGTCGACGGGATCCTCGGCCGCCCCAAAATTCCCTAGCCGCACGTCAGCCACTCCACACTCCTCAAACATTGCCCGCCTACCCTTTCCAGACGGGGATGGAGACTGGGAATTGGAGAAATTTCGCTCAAGAGGAGCCAAAAGCCAAGGGGGAACGTCTGGAGTGGGGGAACACCTTGGGTTCCCACAAGCAATCACAGAAGAAGAAAGCTTCAGAAATTCGTCCACGGAGACCAACAGGACGACAAGAGGAACAACGGCAGCCCCGAGGCAAAGGACCGTCTGCGGAGTGATCTGCACCAGCTGACCGGGGGTCGGGCCCGGAGCTGAGGTTCGCCGAGTTCCCCCAGCCATCGAGACGTTGGATGGAAGCCTTCTAGAAGGAATTGTATCTTTGGATGGCGTGCTCATCGTTTGATAGTCGCAAGGAGTTACAACGAGCGTGCTCAGGAACCCGAGACGACCATCAAAGTACACGTGTGGTGTATCGCTCGGGTTCAGGGGACCTGGCTCGCCGTTTCGACTGCGCGGGTATTCTTTTCCCCATCCTCCAAAGTTCTCGCTGCTTCTGCCGCTTTAGCAGTGAGAAAGGCGCACGAGCAGCTTTGCTGCAATGCCGAGCAACGCGGCCCCTATCGCGAGTCGTGACTGGGATACTCCTGCAACGGTGCTGGGACCACGCGTGATTCTGCACCCATTCTGCCCCCATTCGGCGGTGCCAGCGAGGCTGAGGACGAGTAGGGAGGGCCTGCGCCCATTTGCTCTCAAGGACCTTCGCTGTAGGTACACTTGTCAAGTGCCAGGCACCGAACATGCCGTTTCCCAGCTTTCCAGAGTTCCCCGGGCCCAGCTTCATGCTAGCCGACCCATCGCGACAGCAGTCGTACATGTAGACTCGTAGTCCAAATGCCCGCCAACCCTGAGCGGATGCGCGGACACGGCGCGACGCGGCATCGCCTTGTTGTTTATTGAGTCAGTCCATCGGTATAGCGCTACCGTTTTATAGCTGGCAACGGTTTGCTTGAGGCATTGGCAGCGTAGCCCCCAGTTGTTTATATCGTGACAGTGTCAGGCATATGCCAGAACCTGGTCCAGTCACCCTTGGCCATAATCAAAGTTGCTAAAGTTCCATCGTGTCATTGCGATCGCTTATGAGCCACCAACCGCACTCTATGTGAGACGCGCATCTGTAGGCCGCCACTGGGCAGCATCTATTCCTGGAGGCTGGAGAAAAACAGCCGCCGTGGATCGTCAAAAATATGCTAGATACCTCACGGAGGTTTCGTCGCTGTTTGTCGGGACTCGGTCGTGCCGTGGTCAGGGTCACTGTCTGAATTTCCCGTCAACCCGGCTGCCCGGGTCGCAATAAGTGAGACGCAGGCTGGTGCCATCTGTTCTCTCACAAAGGATTTCCCGGGGCGCATCCGCGGACGCTTTAGCTGTGACTTTGACGCCCGCCGAAAAGAAGATTTTGGGCTTCAAGCGATGAACCATGCAGCTCCTCTATGCGAACGTGTTTGTCGGATGGCCGAGAAGCTGGAACACCCCTTGATTCTTAGGTACTCCGACCAGAATAGAAGGCAAACAACGAGACAACAATGCAGAGGACTATCGGAACGACGCGCAGTGTGCGAGGGTTTGCTTGCTCGGCGCAATAAAATCTGGGGAAAGTCAGGCACAGCCCAAAGGATCGACCAAACTTTGAGCACAAGGCGCGTGTCTGTGCCAGTCGCCGTGTCAGTCACGAGCCGTTGCCAAACTGCGATGATCTTGGAAAGCGCTCCAAAGTTGAAACGACTCCATGGCCATCCTATTTTCCCATGGCGGATGGAGCCATTGAGAGGCATCAGTACGGACAGAAGATCAAAGACAGGCAGCTGTTTCCATTGAGTGATCACAATGTGCTCAATCCCCACAATGTTGACGACTCCCTATTCAGGGTGAGAACTTGCGCCGTGCCACCCATGCCCAAACGCAAAATGATGTGCAGCGTGGTCCATGCGACGTGATCGAATAGAGTTCGCCCATGGAAAAAAGGAAGCAAACTCGAAGGCCAGGGGCAAATTTCCGCCGAGGTGCAAGAAAAGGGGGAAAATTGGCACTGCTCATTGCTGTGTCAGTACGACGCCCGAGCAGTCCGAGACGAACTCCGGAGCAACACAGGGGGTTGGTGTTGCGAGCGTTCTGACAGGCTGGTGCCTCATCTCGAGTCCTAATCGGGCAAGTCGTCCAGTCAAGACAATTTGGCGCGTATGAAACGTCGTCCATCCTTCTCCGTCCAACGACCCATGCCACCATGCGCCCATCGTACTCCTCAAAGATGGGTTGAATCGAAGGAACAGAATACCGCCGAGGCGCATGCGATTTTCGAGTCAAAGAACGCCAGCCGCCGAGATTGGGGTCATCCGAGTGTTCACCATCAGCTGTAGTCGACCCGCGCGAATGGTGCTGCGTCGGGATCCACGGTGGTCCTATGAGATGCTTTGGCGTGCTGCCCTGCAGTGATGACTCGACCTTGCAGGTGAAGATCCCACGACGAACTTACAAGATGCCCGCTGTCGTCCCTGCAGGATCATGCAGCTGGGGTGGTCCCCCCCAGACGATCCTCTTTCTCAATTAACGCTACCCGCGTTCTCCGTTGAGCACAATGGACGTGTCTCCGATACCAGCCGTATCGTGCTGTCCCCCCACAAGCTCTCGTTATCAGAGGCACGACTTGCGTGACGATTACGTCTCGCTGCATTTCGCCATGTTGGTCTGCAGGCGCAAAGATTACAGTCAATCGTGACCCCCCACAGACATCTCCTCATTGTGGTCGCATCGTGATATGGGCGACTGTTGTCATGGTATCCTAGAGAGAAGATGGAGAAAACCAAAGACAAAGAGGTTGGCCCCACTGCGAATACTCCTGCGCAGACACCACCGTGCGGTTGGGAAGCGGAACTATCTGAA